TCCAACAGCCCTGAGCTCTGTCGCTTGATTGATCGGTGTATTGGCAGTGGGGATGTCGAGGTTATCGTGGTTTTTTTTTTTTTTCATTTGTTTCAGCTCCATACGGGTCGATCGGTTTTATTGAAACCAACAACGACAAATCGAGACAAATTTTTAACTCGGGGATGCACAAAGCACATATTTTTGTCTCGCAGTCCACGATGTCATTTTTCACGAGGCTCAAGAAAATACATTCATCAAAAGCCTCTCGTTACTCTCTTCTTTCGCAGGACAAATGCCCGAGACGGAGGAGAGATGCAGGGGACCGGTCGCTCAACGAGGAATACTCGCAGTTATTTTTTTTTTTTTTAACTTAAAACTCGATCAACAGCTTGGTTTTTCCTTCTTCATTACATAAACAATATAATACCCTTGGAAATCACTTTCACTCCGATCGCGTGGGGTGCACCTTGAATCCAAATCAAACGCAGTTATAAACGGGTAACAAAATAATTAACACGCTATAGGCTTTGTTTATTTTAATTGGAGGTTGTTGCTGGGGTAGGGGGATGAGGCAAAGAGAAAATCAGTCGCCAAATGGGGTGAATAGCCGATGGACACCGCATCGAAAGGCAAAGCAGGCAGGAAGAACGTTTTTCAAAAACAAGCCGAACGAAAGGACTTTTCACCCGCAGAGCCACTCGAGCGCACTTTATATATATATTATATGTACCGCGGAAGGGAGATCGAGCGGGGCAGGAAGGCAGGCATGAAAAGCCAAAGACCCGGCGATGCCAGCGTGAAATCCAAAGAGTGCGCGAAGGGTGGGGGACACGAACAGCAATGTGTCTGCCATGTGCTTCCCCATATACGTATAGGTATAAACAGCAATGATGTTTGTTCAGCAAGAGGGTGCGTGACTCCGTGTACATATATGTATATGTATAAGCGGGTGGGGCTACTAGCTGTACTCATGGCAAGCTGCTGTACGCTTGGCTCGCGCGCTGCAGTACCTATACATGTATAGGCTCAAAGGCCGACGAGGGGATGCTCGCGATTCCTACAGCACAGAAGAAAATCGAATCACGGTGCGTTGCGATTGATCGAATTGAAAGTTGATGGAATTTTTTTTTTTTTTTTTTTTTCACGGGCTCAAATGGACGGGCGAAAAGCTCGCTGCTGCACCTACTCCGAGCTTTTTGATTATTTAAGCTCGCGTGGAGTTGTAGCTCCACGATTTTTGCTTCACCACGGATGCTCCTGTGAAATCTGTCATTGGACAAGGGTAATCAAGCCCTGTATAAAGCTAAATAAGTATAGCGAACATTGGAAGGAAAAAAATTATGAAGAGCAGCGAAAACAAAAATATATATAGCTACACCTATGGGTGAAAAAAAAAAAAATTGAAAGCACAATGACGACCGACAGGCATCGAACAAGAAAAGACAAAAAGGGATTGGGGAAGCAAGGGTGAGGGAAATAAGAGGGAGGGACGATAAGACACTTTGCGCGAGCCTTTTCCCGCCCGTATTAATATATATATGCGTGGGTGGATGTGCATGTATGCATACATATCTATGTTCTGGTGATGACAACCAACGCAGCCGGTGGCAAAATTAATATCCAGGAAATTTCTACTTTAGCAAATCCCACGGGTGACAGCTGGGCCACACTTGACGCTCATTGGCCAATTTTAGCCACTCGTAGGGGGAAGGATGGATATTTCCTTGGAAGGAAATTTTCCAACGGTTGTCCAAAGGAATCGAAAACAGCATTGTAAATGACAATGATAAAATGATACTGTGGCTCAAACAAAGACAATAATGTCCCTCGTGGAATTGGCCTGCGCTGCACGTTGTACGGGATTTTCTTCCGCCGATGTACGCGTGGGTGTACAAAGTCAGCGCGTATTTTGCAATTGAGATAATGGGGACGACGACGAGAGGTCCAACTCCTGAAGATTCGAGTTTGAATAATTCATGTGTTGACTCGATTCTGGGGCCGAAGGAAGTCCGTCGACTGTGTGCAGGAGAGCAAGAGAGGTTGGTAGAGGATCGATCGATCTCCAGCATCGACAGCACGACGACAATGGTACACCCACGTGTATAATTATTATTGTTGTCGTACAGGTATAACTTCGTACTACAGATACTAAGTGGATTCTAAACAATGAGCCAAAATAAAGCGACGGTCAGACGTAGATATTTCGTTTGGATGCTATGTTATATGCACTATGGAAAGTATTGAGAAAAAAAAAGGTTTGATACTCAAAGGTTGCTCTTGGTTATAAATGCAAAGTGACAACTCATGAATCAGTTAAACTGATGAACAGCGCCACTTGACAGGCATTCGCATGCAGTGAAATGGCCCAACCCTCTGGGATGAGTGATGTAACTTAATTATACCACCGATGCACTACTACTACTACCACCACCATCATCATCAAAACTGATGCAATAAGAAACGTATATCTATTATATAGTTGAGTATAATATAACGTATATATTTACTTTGTTGATGCGTATAATACAATACAGGTACATATTATACAGATGGTGGGACATATGATCTAGTCTTGAAAAGCAGGGAACAGAAGGGGTTTGAAGTGAGAATTAAAAATCAAGTATACATCTTCCTATAGTACGTAGAGATCCTTTCTTTGTACCGGATAGAGGCTGGGGTGTGCTTGAGACGATCGCTGTATATATGTACACAGAATGGAATGGATGACCGAGTCGCCTGAGGGGCTGCGCTATGGGCCCCGTACGAAAGACTCGTATGTACTTAGGAAAAGAGGAAGGGATATTAGGGGAAAAAGGGACAAGATGGTATCGGTAGGGATACAAGATACGTTTAAATCCTGTAATGGACGTACGTAAAATCTAATAAAATATACATACACGTGTATAATTGTACACAACAAATCGATGAAGTCTGTACAGAAGCAAACGTGTTTACCTGGAAAAATAAGTAATATTATTTACACAAAGTCCCGAAGGAAAACTACATTGTTTTTTAACATATACAGCTCTCAGTAATGAACATTTTAACTTTGTCTCCTTCCGTCCGTTTGGTTTGTTTGTTTATTTGTTTGAGTTTGAATGTAAACGCGTTTCCTGGCTGCTACTTGTTTCCCAAGTTAAATTTAGCGCAGTCACGGAAAAGTTTTTCCATTTCCCTATCTATAAAAGCGCCAATGGTTTTTTTTTTTTTTTTTTTTTTCTACAGATCGCCAGTAAGTATCGGCATTCTATTTCGATTACGAGAGTTTGGCAGTTTTGGTAAACGATGGTACACGCATAACAAGGCGTGAAAGAAAAATTTCCATCCCAATGGCCGTGATAACTAAAGTCTACGCGCCGCCAAGTGAAAAACTAATCTATTTACATGGCGTTTAAAATGATGGTGCCAAATCAACTGCCTGCATAAGGTAGATGAAAGGAAAACTCAGGAGCCCTTTGCCCTCCCCAGTTCGCTCGACCATTTAAATGTAAAGTAAAAATTATCATAATTTAACTTGCAAAATAAGTCCCTATATACATACAACCTTACAAACGCCAACTTGCTCGCGCAAGTAGAGCTTTTTCGCTAACGAATAAAAGACGGAGCAAAGGAGAGAGAGAAAAGTGATTTACCTGGTGAACAGCCTAACTTTCTCTCGTCGTCACTCCCTCGATATTGGCCCCCTTTGTTGAAGACTCGGAGACAATCTTCCTTTTCTTTCAAGCCGCGTAATCAGATTCTTCTTTCTTCTCCCCCTCCCCCTCTTTTTTTCCTTTTTTTGTCTGTACACTGTATAATATAGCCACTGACTTTCTGTACATCGTGGGCCTACAGCACGAGAAGAGTAAAACGCCCCGTGTTTGCGACTCTCCCTTTTCCTTCCTTTTTATAACCGAAAAAAAAGAGGCGCGAGTGACTTTTTGACGGGGACAGAGTGTGTGGCGGGACCGTTAACTCGATGCGTGCAGTCTGACGAAAAGAGCTGCTTTTTGTCTCTTGAGCGTCTCTATTGTCTTCGTCGACTGTCTGCTCTCGATTTTCGCCTTTTGGAATCGAGTTTCACCGCGCCAGGCATGGATTCGCAATGTATACTTGATTGTGGTTACTTCACCAGTGGAGCACACGCCAACTGCATAAGCTTTATCATCGAAGCGTCGCGCGTAACAATAACTCGGTACATCCGTCACGAAGTCTCGTTGTATTCTGCTCGTGACGCACCCCCACAATTTTCTTTGGCCGTTGTTTCACCCACTCTCGCGTGTACCCATGTGTTTTATCTTGCCCCCTATCCCCTTTTTTTCTTTTACGTATACCGTATATTATGTGCTTTCTCTTTCGCGACGCACACGCGTTATCGCCAGCCAAGTGCATACTTAAATACACGATTTTTTTACATAGTCGGAGAGAAAAAATCACCCCCGTAGTCACTGGTATACACAGTGGAGCACCGAAGCGCTCGAGAGGATGGCCGAGCCTCCGCTTGCAGAACGAACACGACTTGTTCGATCCGCCGGGAGCTCGAATTTACTTCCAAAAGAAGGAAAAAAAAAAAAGAGTCGAGGGATGAATAATACACGGTCCCGCCGCTCTAATTCTCGCGTGAATAGAGTCTGCGCGCCGGTAGCCGCCACCGCGTAAATATCCCACGATTGTTGGCTCCGTTGGATTATCGAGCGGACGCCTTTTTGCCGCTTCGCTGTCCGACCGAATAAAATCTTTCCTTTTCATTTGAATCCTTAACGCTGACCCAAGAGGTTCCCTCCTCACTTTATTTTATTATCAATTAGTTTGCAATATATAGTAAAACTGTAGTTAAAAATAAAAAAACACAAGTGTGATGATGATTAAGTCCCTCAATACCATTTCAAGCTAACGATGAACGCGCGAAAACTGCGACTTATCGCAATCCCCGTCACGATGACCAAATGAGTCGAGTTGTTAAGTATACGCATACGAAATTCATATGTATGTGCAAGGAGGAGCGTTAACTTATTGGCTATCCTCGTTTCACGTTTCAGACGGAGCTGTCGCAAAACTTGCAGCAACTATCGGAACGCGCCAGATCTACGACCGAGTTCATTCAGAGGCTCAAAAAAATGACCGACAAAGTGCACGTGAGTACATCATTCGTACAATTCTCATTCCTTATACATCTATAAAAATTATGCAGAATACAATCGTGCCATTTTCCAAATCCTTTAGTGTGAATAATTGACATTTTCAGGGATTAATTCATTGTTACTCGGAAATTCGATGATGGTTTGATTTCTTTCCTCCACAAGTACGATGTAAACGTTGGAATTTTTAATTGCGAAATGTATTTCGATTATTAGCATCACCTAATGGAGTAAAAGACAGAGTGGGCTCTCCTCAACTCGCAATTTTCATTACGACGAACCAAAGAAAATTTCATTAGACCCGAGTCCAGAGTCGCGAATATTATTCAAGATATTTTCTCCGCGCAGGGACTTACAGTTGCACGATGATGCCAAGGAAGAGGCAGCAAACGGTTGAAATGGCTTTACCCCTGTGTATATATATATATGTACGAAGGCTCGCGTTAAAAGTATTGCAATTATATTCTCGAGTCGTCTCGGCGTACCGAAATGAGCGCTCGCACAAAGTAAAACCTCGCAAAAAGAGCGAAACAATTAGAGCAAAGTGCCAGCGTCAATTTATTTGTCCGGAAAAAAAGGTAAAGGGAAAAAGTAATCTCTGACTGGGTTCCTATTTTTTTTTTTTTTTTTTTTTTTTTCATTCCCCGTTTCTCGGATACTCGTAGAGAAAAATTATGTAAAACGCCACCGTGGAAGGGGGGTCTCGGGGGCCGTTCATTACGCTTTAAATACAAAGACAGGGCTACTTTTGCTGTCCCTTAAATGTGTATACAAGAGGCTGAGGAGGGAAAGAGGCCCCTTTTTTTTCTTTCAATGGCGAGAAACAACAAGTGACGTACTTTGCTCCTCTGGACACGTTCCTTGATGCGCCGTGGTAATGATGGAGCTCTCTCTCGGACTTGAGATAGTTTTTTTTTTTTTTTTTTTTTTTGCCAATTTTATTCATAACATTGGAAAAATATATGCGCTGTGTAACCAATAGTCCTAATTTGGTACAACCGTGGTTTATTTGAGTATTGTGCCGCTAATGTGGAAAAAAATCCTTTAGGGTTTCCAAAAAGGGGTTAATTTTGTGATTTTATGGATACATATAGCACCGCGTCCGGTCCACCCCTCTTTTATCCTCTACTTCCCTCCCGTGCGAAATTTACCCGCCGACGAAGGTACACATCACGGCTCGATGGTAAATTAATGAGGATAAATTTGCGACCGGTCGAGCGAGAGACTAACGGGCTCCGACAGCTGATGAGAGGGAGGGAAAAAAAAGAATCCATAAAAACAGGAGGGAGCCTCCCGCCGTGCTGCGGGGAGAGGATGCGCTACATCCGGGGTCGAATGAAAAATGTGTATCAGATGAAACGAAAATTGGAGGCTCGAGTCGGGCATAGGCGGGTGTATGGATTTGGCCAATTTGGCGGATCGATCGGAAGTTCATTATTTACTCTGCTCGGGCAATGAACGCGTGATCGTTTATAATTCATACGGGTACTCCCTCTTGGCGAGTTGACGCTCGATTTATCAAAACGACGATGCACAAAAAATTGATGGAGGAAGAATTATTGTTCGGTGGTTCTGTATTCGTTTGGTTTTGCAAATTCTTAAAATATAAGTATTTTGTCACCCGTACCAGAGACGGAGATTGTTGCCACGGTTCTGTTTTACAATTGTTCTCACATTTTCAATACAATTTACCAAAGTAGAGACGAGACGAAAATTCCTTTCTACTAAAATAAAAAGGAGATCGAAATCTGGTGTAAGAAAGTTGTCTGGAATATCCACCAATCCTTTTTTTGGGCAGCTTAATTTCTTTGGGTGGTTTTTTAAATTGAAATTTTGAAAAAGTTGGTTAAGAAAAGGCAAAAATACTTCAGCCAAGTTGGAGCTCCCGAGTTGGTTGTTGTGAAATTGAATACAATGGATTTTGGATGGTACAGTCTTCCAATGTAGATACGCTTTAACTCGTCTTAACTCGCGAAGGTGAAATCATACCTCATTTAAAACGGTGTAACCCCTCGCAGGAGGAGTGCATCGCTCTGGAGGACGAGGTAGAGGAACGCATAAACAGCCTGATAGCGATGCTGCAGAGTCGCAAGGCCCGGCTGATCGAGGCGGCCCGGCAGACGCGCGAGGCCCGAGTGCGACTACTTCGGGACCAGGTGTCGCGGTGCGCCGGCCACCTGCAGACCACCACGGGCCTCCTGACCTTCTGCATCGAGGCGCTCAAGGAGACGGACAGCGCCGCCTTCCTCCAGATCGGGGGTATGCTCTCGATGCGCGCCGCCGCGGTGGCTGGCTCCTGGGGCGGCGTCGAGGGCGCCCAGGAGGTCGCCAGGCTGCCCTTGCTCGACCTCACGCTCGACGACAAGCCCGTCAGACGAGCCATCGACCAGCTCACCTTTGTCCAGATGAAGCGTGAGTTCACTCCCTCTAACTGTTTTTCTCTCTCCCTTCGAGACGGGTGAGCTTTCACTACCTGCGCTATCTCTCGATAAAGCGGCGCTCTTTTTTTTTTCTCTTGGTTTTTAGATTTGACCCACATACGAGTGCTCACCCGAGTCGGAGATAATCTACAGTATACCCAGTAGTGTTGTTTTTTGGTTGTTTGATTATATACTTTTGACGCTAATCATAATTAGTTAACTTACTAACATCAACAATAACATTTATTATTAATCCATGATGCTTATTCACTAATTTATTGATTACAAGAAATAACCAATGTAGGAATATTAATAATGTACCTTGCTAGTTGTGAAAAAAATGAGAGAGAAAGTCGAGCTGGAGGTTTATTAAAGTGACACTTTTTCATGGAAGTAATATTGATTAACTATTGTACCTTATGTACAGCCTAATGTACAATGTTAGCAAATAAATGGCAGATAGTAATTTTTCTAGTTCACGCGTACTGTTATTGTAAATTGTGTGTTTCTGAAAAAATTATATTGCTCAAAAAAAAAAAAAAAAAAAAAAAAAAAGAAATGGCACATTTTTTACGTCTCTTCAAATTTATTAGATAAAATAAACATTGTACATTACGGCCGCAATCGAGAAAAATAAAGCTCGACTCTCTTGAGACGACGAGACGAGAGGATAAAGGCTTGGTTAATTAATAAGTATGCATACAACAAGCCTGGATGACCAACAAAAAATGTAGCATAATCAGTACCATTTCGTGGTAATTTTTTTCCTTTTTTTTTTTTTTTTTCTTTGCGGACGCAGCCATGGAGGGAGAGGACCGTTACCCAATCTCAGGTAATGTATATAAGATAAAATAGCAACGAAAAAAAAGGAGAATGCCACTTCGCCCCTTTTTTTCCCACTCCCCATTTGCACGGACACGCACGCATCAACGATCGTATCCTCTCCCGCCGCTTTTGCCCATCATCCGAACGAAATAGGTTTTAGATAAGAAGAGACGCGATCCTCGTGTGACGATGTCGATTAAATGTTACCTGCTACCACTTTCTGAAGCTATAAGCACATTACCCCTACTGCCGGCTCGCGAGGCTTTTACTCCATTATTTCGTATCTGGACCTAAAGCGGATATTATTATATAGTCATAGACTTGACGATCTCCCTTTTTTTCATCCATATGTATATACGCACATTAACCGAATACATCGGGTATTTCACTATTTTACGTCCTTCCTCGTCGCCGTTGTAGTGCATACTTGCATGCGTGTATAGCATATGACTCTGCAGACCGACCTATACATATAATGGTAGAAAAGATTTTTAAACTTTCGACCGTGGCGTGTTCAAGAGCCATGATGTCGCTCGCATTCAACTGCCCCATCGATTTAACATGCCGTGGCAATTATGCACCGGCATAGTCACTATTTTCTAAGGGGGCGTACGGATAAAATAAATAAATTTTCAAAAAAAGCTCTATTGAATTCGAGGTGATGGACAATACTTCTCGTATATATGAGTATAAGTTAGTCCGAGCTATTTTCCTCGTATGGTATAAAAGTCGTGTAAAGTCCCGCCGTGGGAAAATCAATTCCAATCTACAGTAGGTGCATGGGTGTATACACGTGCATAGAACTACCAGCTATTGCTAGGTACCGTCGAAACATAGGACAGTTTTCGGAGGATCGCGCGCGCAGTATGGGGTGGCCCAGGGGTGAGAGAGAATCTGTGGCTCGTAACACACACTATTAACTCTCGAACGTATCTGCTGGCCATATATGTATACCTAATAATGGCGCTACTCGACTTTTTTATTTACACCTAAGTATATATATGTATGTGCAATTTACAACTTACAACGTAGCAGCAGAAGCAATGGGAGAGGCGGAAAAGGTCGTTGTCGCGCGTCTAGGTGCCTCCTCCTTCTCCTCGCAAACACTTGGCATTATCTATTGTTTGTCCGACCGAACTCTCGACTCTTACCACTATTACCACTTGTAGCGTTGCGGCGCGCACACACGCCCATATATAAGCATATTCACCCATCACGTATATATATACGTCTCCTATTTCTCCAAATGGGGTCCTCCTCGGTCCTCACTCATTACTCGTCACTTGGTGTGTGTATATGTGTGATGTACTGCCTGTGAAACAAAGTACTTAGTGGTGATGTCTGTACTTACATATATAGATACATGCCATTATCGTCACAATTGTCATTAGCTCCGAATTTGTGTGTATGCCTCTTGGCTTGTGTTTGTCTTGTAATGCTTATACCATAAAATAATTATTGTTATTCAACATCTCTAGGTAACTGGTTGAAAATGATTATTTAAAAAAAATTTTTTTTAATGCTTTTGTACATGTTATTTTTGTTTGCTAATAAGGTACTTTTTGTTTGTACCCTACACTGTAAATCCAACTGTGTTATTTTAATACACTTGGAGCGTGTAGTACCACTACTGAAAATTATTTAAAAAAATTCTTTTGTTTAATTGAAGTTAAAAGTATTAGGCTATTGGGTGATAGCAATATATGTGTAATTAAACACACTTAGATTTACAGTGATTATGCTTTGAACGAGCAAAAGCATGTGTTTGTATTTTGCTCGTTAGTGCACGCTTGGTTCGAATACAATATTATCTATTCGAGTAAATAACTGCTTCGTTAATACATAGTCGCGTCAATACTTGCTTAGTCATTTATAATTATAAGGCATGTTAATTATTGTATACGTTTAAGTAATGATAATTAATGATTATACACGTATCGCATATATATGACATACACGTAACATGACTCTCTCAACTTTACACGTGCTCATACACGCACGTACACTAACACACGTAAACACATACTCTCACCCGAATCAATATGTATTATGTACATATTTTTGAGAGCGAGAATAGGATATGTATTAAGTATATACGCATCACGTGCACGAGAGCCGCGCGCTACTCGAGGTAAAATAAAATTCGCGAGACGTGAGTCGGGACCTGAAATTTGGTGTTTCTTTGACTCGTAGGTGCGAACGATGGTGCTTGTATACGTAAGCTAACGATTTTTATTTAAAGGGACAGGTACCTATATATATATATATATATATATATATATTGTATACATAAGTATGCCATTCGTGTAGACTGCACAGGGTTTGCTTCTGGTTCGGCTAGCGTTTGTTATTACTGACGCTCATTGCACGTAGGTACGTACAAGACGCGATACAAGTCCAGCTTGCAGCACGGAAAATCTCCGCTGTTTATTCGAGTTTAGGTATACGTAGAAGAAAATAGTCAGGCCCGCACTTGTAAGTAGTATGTATCCCTTTAACCGAGCACAGCGCGCAGAAGTACCCACTTCTGAAAACTGCCAGTCCCGGGATATCGATTACTCCGCTCGCCGCAACTGGATATCCCGAGCGGATCTTCAGCCGAGCTGTTAATCAAAATATTTGCTCGAGCTCCGCCATCCGGATATCCTTTTACTCGCTAGTTTCCTCCACGATTTTCTCCCCCCCCCCCCTTTTTTTCTTTTACGTATACCGTATATTATGTGCTTTCTCTTTNCCCCCCCCCCCGGCTCTCGCGAGTCGAGCTTCTTTCAAAGTGGAGCTCTTTCAGTTCAAATGCACTCGAGCCAAATTGCCGGGGGTGGAAAATCCGGGGCGTGCCATTTCCTTGATTAAGAGCCGCTCCGAACTCAATTAGAAATTTCGGCGAGAAACACAAAACAGAGCCTCGATCCCCCCCCGCGAATGGGACCGAGAGGGCGACAAGCCGGGGGTACATCTGTAAGTTTCAAACTCTCTTTCTCATCCTCCGCAGAAGGGCGGATAATATCGGGGGGAGGAGAGGGGGTCAGTTGGGGGAAATAACTTTGGCACTAGGGCCGAGGCGACCGCGCAGTATTGTACGAAAGCCGAGAGCGGTGTCCCTTCGGTGGGGGGGCACGAGTTTATTTGCGGTCGATAGACAAGTTTTCTCGGGTATGGGAAAAACCGTGCCCACCGGATGCGGCTTTTGCGTTGAGCGTCCAACCCTTTCGTATACATACTTCGAGGGTACGTGGTGCAGGGCTTTTACTTTGTTCGAATGACTCCGGAGAGCCATCGGGCACTGGTGTCCCCTGTACTCGCGCTCCGCTGATAAACTTCGACCTTGTCCATAAGAATTCTACAAGCTGCGTTTGGGTTGTTGGCTTCTTCTTTTTCTGATTATTACATCTCGCAAATATACGTCGTCCGAGAGTTTTGAAAGAAAAATAATCATCGGGCAACATGAAATTTAACGAGACATGACTTCCTCCGTACTTAATTGGTCAATAGCCTCGAAACGCGTGGAACTTGGACTACCAAACATACCAAGCGAGGCAATACAATTCTACATGTGTTTTTTATTTTTTAAAGAACTGCGATTATAGGTATATATAAGACCATAACAAGTACCCGAGAGAATTTCGGTCTGATGGCGTGAAATATTTTTTTCAAAACTTTGATGATCTCATATTTTTAACAACTAAGGTTAATAAATTTCTAAATTATAAAAAAAAAAAAAAAAAAATGATTGTTTAATTAGTAGATATTTGCGTTAAGTTATGCATAATGATGAATTCAATTGTACTGGGCTTATTCGGTATGTATATTATAACTGTCACGCTGTTTGACATATATTTATACACGTTTCAGCTCCATTGACAACGCCTGTTCATGCAATTACTTAATGAGAATAATGTACTCGTAAGTATACGGATGAGCATCCTAGTTTTCAACCCCAATTCACTGCCGCATGTGCACGCGCATGTGATCCCGTGCTCAGTCGGAAATACCTACTTATTAAGTGAAGGTACATGCAGTTATGCAGCAACAGCGGAACATCCGTGGGAGTGTGTGTGCTCAGTGTACTTATTCAATTCAATCGCACGAGTTTGGAAATATAATATGAACGCGCATTCGAGTTTTGTACAAGTATATAGGCTTGTCATTCCGCGTAAGAAATTACGTGCTCGTACTACTACCGATTCTGTAATTACTATTTTTCGCGATACGAATAATATATACCTGCATCATTATGCAATCAAGTAGCGCAGGGTTTACACCCGATTTTCGCAGTACATTCTCTGAAAGTGGCTTCACGATTTGGAATAATCATGCCCGTTGATTTGCATCTCCAAATGTTATATATTTTGCGCGATTTCCGTTTCCACGTTTCGTATATGTTACGTTAACTTGGTCAATACTCATTGGAGTTCTTGGGGAAGCTATCACATGTATACCTACTTGTGCTGTTCGCAGTTCGAAACGATTCAACGCAAAGAGAGACGATGTTCCATAAAACTATCCGACGTATTGGAGAATCCAATTTTAGATAGCCGAGTTTGGTACGCAAATATCTTGTTGCTTCACAGCTAACTTTGAAATAACGAACGATGCGCCGGCGTCCAACTATTTCCCGTAATAAGAAAAGAACTTGCTTGATGGCAAAGTTCGGCTGTATAGAGCACATTGCGAAGACTCGTGCGCGAACTGAAAGTTCATTACCTACCGTGTAAATTCTACTGTTGGGTATAGGCATCCACTGCGATTCTCTGCAAGAGGTGCTCTGTTAATTACCTGTTCTCTTTGATGATGCGTGTATGAGTTCACATATTTGCGATACGTACCCATACACGTGTGGCTTCTCAATTTTTTAATTGGATGCTGTTCAATTTTCGGATGGATGCGAAAAATCAATGTATTGTTCAGCCAGTATTTTCTAATTGGATACAATTTGTTTACTTCGATCACAAAAACAATACAACGACAATGGTAATACATTGCACTGAGAGAAGGATTTGTTTACTATCAACGTACAAGAATGTTAACAGGAAATTATTTTACATGTTCTTCATAACTTTTTAAAGTTTATAAATTTTATAAATTAAAATACTTTTACCACTTTAATATCATTAGAACAACATATTATGCAATGACAATACAACTGCAATTACGTGCAGTCCTCTATTTTATGTAATAAAAAACGAAGTTCACAATTTATCATAAAATATAGATTTTGTTATGGAAATATATTGAAATGAAATATTCATGTTTTAACTATCACAAAACATATGGTTTCGGGACACATATTATACGTAAGATAGCAGTTAACAATAAAGTTGATTACTAACAAATCCTTCTCTCAGTGTGCAACAAGAATATACCAATTCATGTAATTACAACGAATGATGGTAATTAGAGTTTTCCAGCAAAATGATTACTTGCACGTAAAGATACAGTAAACATAAGCAGTCATTTCGTATAATCGATAAAGTAGGTCATACGAATCGAACAATGTAGCGAGCATCTTGACGCGTATAATTATAATCTTTCACTAATATCACAACAATTGCTCTCAGCGCAAGGTAAATAACATCCAAAGACCCCCAAAATTGCGAATCATTGATTCGATCCTAGGACGTTTCAGCAAAAAAAAAAACAACAAAATACAACGAAAACTTTGCATGAGATATACACTACTATAGTATATAATATTTCAGTTAAACTGATCTGAAGAATGCAATGTAAACAATTATTATGATTATTTTTAATCGAAAATTATGATAAAGGAACAAAAATAAATTGCTCTTTCTCATATAACCAGCACCGAGCCCGCCAATCCTAATACCGGAGGAGTGTAGCGCCGAGAACAATAGCGTGACCGTTGCGTGGCAAGCTCCCCAAGCCTGCAGTGGTCAACGGGGACCTGCCATCGAGGGCTACCTTCTCGAGCTCGACGACGGCTGTGGCGGTGAATTTCGGGTAAGCTTAACAATGCGTGGTATGCGTTATTTAAATAAACTAATCTTCAATAAAAGTAAACTCCACGTAAACAAACTGTATCCAGATGGCAAATTCTAAAGCGCTCAATGACACTCACTGATAAACTCATGTTCAATGTCCTAAAAAAAATAGTGGCTTGCTTTTATTTGCAAAATATTTATGTCAGAAATCATCGAAATTTTAAAATCGCCATATCTCCGTAAATAACGCAGATACGGCCAAAAGGACGGTATTTTGGGATCACTTGAAATTAAAAAAATTTATTTTTAAAAAAGTGGGACTTTGGCTATTCAGACATTTATATAATCTATTGGGACACTGTAATATCACGCGTACAAGCTAGTTGTACCTTCTAGGACCTAAAAAAAATATTGTCTTGCTTTTATTTGCAAAATACTTAAGTCAGAAATCATCGAAATTTTAAAATCGCCATATCTCCGTAAATAACGCAAATACGGCCAAAAGGACGGTATTTTGGGATCACTCAAAATTAAAAAAATTTATTTTTAAAAAAGTGGGACTTTGGCAATTCAGACATTTATATAATTGATTTAACCACTGTAATATCACGCGTACAAGCTAGTTGTACCTTCTAGGACCTAAAAAGAATATTGTCTTGCTTTTATTTGCAAAATATTTAAGTCAGAAATCATCGAAGTTTTAAAATCGCCATATCTCCGTAAATAACGCAGATACGGCCAAAAGGAGGGTATTTTGGGATGACTTGTAATAAAAAAAAATTCATTTTTCAAAAAGTGGGACTTTGGCTATTCAGACATTTATATAATTGATTTGGACACTGTAATATCACGCGTACAAGCTAGTTGTACCTTCTAGGACCTAAAAAAAATAGTGCCTTGCTTTTAGTCGCAAAATATTTAAGTCAGAAATCATCGAAATTTTAAAATTGCCATATCTCCGTAAATAACGCAGATACGGCCAAAAGGACGGTATTTTGGGATCACTCAAAATTAAAAAAATTTATTTTTCAAAAAGTGGATCTTTGGCTGTCTTTGGCTGTTGATACAATTATATGAGTAATCTAAACACTGTAATATCACGCGTACAAGCTAGTTGTACCTTCTAGGGTAATATCACGCGTACAAGCTAGTTGTACCTTCTCTAGGACCCGAAAAAAATCAGTGGCTTGCTTTTATTTGCAAAATATTTTAGTCAGAAATCATCGAAATTTTAAAATCGCCATATCTCCGTAACTAACGCAGATACGGCCAAAAGGACGGTATTTTGGAATCACTCAAAAAAAAAAAAATTCAGTTTTCAAAAAGTGGATCTTTGGCTGTTGATACAATTATATGAGTAATCTAAACACTCTAATATCACAAGTACAAGCCAGTTGTACCTTCTAGGACCCAGAAAAAATAGTGGCTTGCTTTTATTCGCAAAATATTTAAGTCAGAAATCATCGAAATTTTAAAATCGCCATATCTCCGTAAATAACGCAGATACGGCCAAAAGGACGGTATTTTGGGATCACTCAAAATTAAAAAAAAATTTATTTTTTAAAATGTGGCACTTTGGCTATTTAGACATTTATATAATCTATTTGGACACTGTAATATCACGCGTACAAGCTAGTTGTACCTTCTAGGACCTAAAAAAAATAGTGGCTTGCTTTTATTTGCAAAATATTAAAGTCAGAAATCATCGAAATTTTAAAATCGCCATATCTCCGTAAATAACGCAGATACGGCCAAAAGGACGGTATTTTGGGATCACTCAAAATTAAAAAAAAATTTATTTTTTAAAATGTGGCACTTTGGCTATTTAGACATTTATATAATCTATTTGGACACTGTAATATCACGCGTACAAGCTAGTTGTACCTTCTAGGACCTAAAAAAAATAGTGGCTTGCTTTTATTTGCAAAATATTAAAGTCAGAAATCATCGAAATTTTAAAATCGCCATATCTCCGTAAATAACGCAGATACGGCCAAAAGGACGGTATTTTGGGATCACTCAAAATTAAAAAAAAATTTATTTTTTAAAATGTGGCACTTTGGCTATTTAGACATTTATATAATCTATTTGGACACTGTAATATCACGCGTACAAGCTAGTTGTACCTTCTAGGACCTAAAAAAAATAGTGGCTTGCTTTTATTTGCAAAATATTCAAGTCAGAAATCATCGAAATTTTAAAATCGCCATATCTCCGTAAATAACGCAGATACGGCCAAAAGGACGGTATTTTGGGATCACTCAAAATTAAAAAAAAATTTATTTTTTAATAAGTGGGACTTTGTTTATTCAGACATTTATATAATTGATTTGGACACTGTGATATCGCGCGTACAAGCTAGTTGTACCTTCTAGGTTCTGAAAAAAATAGTGGCTTGCTTTGATTCGCAAAATATTTAGGTCAGAAATCATCGAAATTTTAAAATCTCCATATCTCCGTAAATAACGCAGATACGGCCAAAAGGACGGTATTTTGGGATCTCTTAAAATTAAAAAAATTTATTTTTTTAAATGTGGGACTTTGGCTATTTAGACATTTATATAATCTATTTGGACACTGTAATATCACGCGTACAAGCTAGTTGTACCTTCTAGGACCTAAAAAAAATAGTGGCTTGCTTTTATTTGCAAAATATTCAAGTCAGAAATCATCGAAATTTTAAAATCGCCATATCTCCGTAAATAACGCAGATACGGCCAAAAGGACGGTATTTTGGGATCACTCAAAATTAAAAAAAAATTTATTTTTTAAAATGTGGCACTTTGGCTATTTAGACATTTATATAATCTATTTGGACACTGTAATATCACGCGTACAAGCTAGTTGTACCTTCTAGGACCTAAAAAAAATAGTGGCTTGCTTTTATTTGCAAAATATTCAAGTCAGAAATCATCGAAATTTTAAAATCGCCATATCTCCGTAAATAACGCAGATACGGCCAAAAGGACGGTATTTTGGGATCACTCAAAATTAAAAAAAAATTTATTTTTTAAAATGTGGCACTTTGGCTATTTAGACATTTATATAATCTATTTGGACACTGTAATATCACGCGTACAAGCTAGTTGTACCTTCTAGGACCTAAAAAAAATAGTGGCTTGCTTTTATTTGCAAAATATTCAAGTCAGAAATCATCGAAATTTTAAAATCGCCATATCTCCGTAAATAACGCAGATACGGCCAAAAGGACGGTATTTTGGGATCACTCAAAATTAAAAAAAAATTTATTTTTTAAAATGTGGCACTTTGGCTATTTAGACATTTATATAATCTATTTGGACACTGTAATATCACGCGTACAAGCTAGTTGTACCTTCTAGGACCTAAAAAAAATAGTGGCTTGCTTTTATTTGCAAAATATTCAAGTCAGAAATCATCGAAATTTTAAAATCGCCATATCTCCGTAAATAACGCAGATACGGCCAAAAGGACGGTATTTTGGGATCACTCAAAATTAAAAAAAAATTTATTTTTTAAAATGTGGCACTTTGGCTATTTAGACATTTATATAATCTATTTGGACACTGTAATATCACGCGTACAAGCTAGTTGTACCTTCTAGGACCTAAAAAAAATAGTGGCTTGCTTTTATTTGCAAAATATTCAAGTCAGAAATCATCGAAATTTTAAAATCGCCATATCTCCGTAAATAACGCAGATACGGCCAAAAGGACGGTATTTTGGGATCACTCAAAATTAAAAAAAAATTTATTTTTTAAAATGTGGCACTTTGGCTATTTAGACATTTATATAATCTATTTGGACACTGTAATATCACGCGTACAAGCTAGTTGTACCTTCTAGGACCTAAAAAAAATAGTGGCTTGCTTTTATTTGCAAAATATTCAAGTCAGAAATCATCGAAATTTTAAAATCGCCATATCTCCGTAAATAACGCAGATACGGCCAAAAGGACGGTATTTTGGGATCACTCAAAATTAAAAAAAAATTTATTTTTTAAAATGTGGCACTTTGGCTATTTAGACATTTATATAATCTATTTGGACACTGTAATATCACGCGTACAAGCTAGTTGTACCTTCTAGGACCTAAAAAAAATAGTGGCTTGCTTTTATTTGCAAAATATTCAAGTCAGAAATCATCGAAATTTTAAAATCGCCATATCTCCGTAAATAACGCAGATACGGCCAAAAGGACGGTATTTTGGGATCACTCAAAATTAAAAAAAAATTTATTTTTTAAAATGTGGCACTTTGGCTATTTAGACATTTATATAATCTATTTGGACACTGTAATATCACGCGTACAAGCTAGTTGTACCTTCTAGGACCTAAAAAAAATAGTGGCTTGCTTTTATTTGCAAAATATTCAAGTCAGAAATCATCGAAATTTTAAAATCGCCATATCTCCGTAAATAACGCAGATACGGCCAAAAGGACGGTATTTTGGGATCACTCAAAATTAAAAAAAAATTTATTTTTTAAAATGTGGCACTTTGGCTATTTAGACATTTATATAATCTATTTGGACACTGTAATATCACGCGTACAAGCTAGTTGTACCTTCTAGGACCTAAAAAAAATAGTGGCTTGCTTTTATTTGCAAAATATTCAAGTCAGAAATCATCGAAATTTTAAAATCGCCATATCTCCGTAAATAACGCAGATACGGCCAAAAGGACGGTATTTTGGGATCACTCAAAATTAAAAAAAAATTTATTTTTTAAAATGTGGCACTTTGGCTATTTAGACATTTATATAATCTATTTGGACACTGTAATATCACGCGTACAAGCTAGTTGTACCTTCTAGGACCTAAAAAAAATAGTGGCTTGCTTTTATTTGCAAAATATTCAAGTCAGAAATCATCGAAATTTTAAAATCGCCATATCTCCGTAAATAACGCAGATACGGCCAAAAGGACGGTATTTTGGGATCACTCAAAATAAAAAAAATTTATTTTTAAAAAAGTGGGACTTTCGGCTATTCATACAATTTTCTAATTGATCTAGACAATGTAATATCACTCGTACGAGCTTGTTGTAGCTTTCAGGACCTAAAAAAAATAGATGTTAGCCTGTATCTGCTCAATTTTTTAGTCAGGAATAGCAAAAAATTCAAAATCGCTGTATCTTTGTATATATCACAGATACTGGCGGAAGGACGGTATTCGGATTATTGGAAATTAAGAAAATGATATTCAGAAAAAATCAGTAATCGGCTTCTCAATCGATTTTTCAGTTATTTACAACTCTGTTAAATCACTCGTATTAGCTTTTTATACCACTTAGAGTTTTAAAAGTATCGTTTTTTTTAGAATTATTTAAAAGAAAATTTTCTTAAATCTTAAAAACGTATATCTTCGTAAAAAAATGCATGCATGTTGAACAATAAAATATTTTGGATTTTTCGGAATCCAAAAAAATCCACTCTTAAAATAGTGAGACTTTGACCGCTTGATCGATTATGTAATTGAATAATTAAAAATTTAGAATTACTATATTTTTGTAAATTACTCATAGATCTCGTAAAGTACGATGTTTTAGGGTTATTCATTTAGGAAATCTGTTTTCTGCAACTTTATTTGTTGTTTTTTTCTATCAGAACTTTACATGTGTTTTTGTCTTATGTAATATTAATGTTTTCATTAACGCTTTAGTATTATCCATGGATGCATAGTCTTTTTTTCTTCAATAATATCTCCATTTGTTATAATTAATGATCTGCCTTACAAATATCGATGACTTACCAAGGATGATGATCATTTTGTGTAGGAGGTTTACTGCGGCCGCGAGACTATCTGCACGGTAGATGGGCTGCACTTCAACTCGCTGTACAACGCACGGGTGAGGGCATTCAATAGCGCCGGCGAAGGTGAATACTCGGAGCTGATAGGCTTGCAGACCGCCGAAGGTGCGTTTCGGCAGGATTCCGAGAGAAAGCCTGTCCCTACATCATGTTTTATGTTTTTTTTTTAAACTGGAAATAAAATTAAAAAATCATACTTGACAGTGGCGTGGTTCTCGTGGTCGTTGACCGCCCCAGGCTTGCCACAAGAGATCTCCATGTCGGCCGACATGATGAGCGTCTCGTGCGAGGGCTACGAGCACCGGGTCATCCTGTCGACGGTCGGTTTCTCGAGGGGCATCCACTACTGGGAGCTGGAGATCGGGCGTTACCACAGCGACACCGATCCGGCCTTTGGAATCGCACGTGCCGACGTCTCGCGCGACCAGATGCTCGGTAAAGTCCATACCATTAAAAAAAAATACCGGTCCTTCGTATTACCTACAAGATCTCAATGCTTATTATTTTGGGGATGATATGCAACCTGGCCACGATTACAGGTAAGGACGAGCGTGGTTGGAGCATGTACATAGACCGGCAGCGCTCGTGGTTCATGCACGGCGGCATGCACGCCCAGCGCACCGAGGGTGGCGTCCAGGCGGGCTCGACCGTGGGGGTGCTCCTTGACCTCGAGCACAGCCACACCTTGCGCTTCTTCGTCAACGACCAGCCCCAGGGGGGCATAGCTTTTCGCGACCTCTACGGGGTCTTTTACCCGGCCATCAGTCTCAACCGGGGGGTCAGCGTGACGTTACACACGGCCCTCGATGTCCCCCGCCACCTGCTCGTACAGGGTCTCGATCCCCAGCTCGACGAGCAGCCCTACGTTTGCGGCAACGACGCCCTCCTCCAGAGCTAGGGGTACCTGCTCGTCCTTAGGAGGGGCCTACTGTTGCAACAGCAGGAGCTGCTGACGCCGCACTTTAATTTTTCCCAACAACAGCAGGTTCGTCATTGTTTGCACATGATGTACATAAATACTTGGTGCACTTTGTCAATTCTCATTTTGAATCATTTTCTCCGCTGTAGAGCCACGAACGATTCAACGAGCTGGCCCAGGTGCAGACACTCGAGAGAATCGTCGAGGAGAGCGTGGCCGACGTCTGTGCCTAGGTGTACGTACACCCGCGCTTCGAAACAATGCCGCTATTATCACTACTACTACTAATATTGATTGCTCGACGAAAAAATAATCTTTTTTTTCTTTCTTTTTTTTCCCACAATCGTATTTTTTGACACGCCATGTGACTTTATCTCGATCGTAAGTGTAATATGAAGGAAAATACCTTGTCGACTGCCATAACACAGATCATAACGTATATAAGTAGCGTTTTCAAGGATGATAACTTGCAAATTTTGGTGCAGAGGAAATGATTTTGCCAGCTGAATTCGGACACTTGCAGGGATTTTATTCTTTGGATAAAAAATGTATTTAACGACACGTGCTTTACAACGTCAAGTCTTTTTCTCTGCACAATAGGATCAATATATTACAAGGAATGTTATTACATGAAAGTTTTTTCTACATGTCAATCGTTGTTTGCTTCGAACGTATTTATATATGTATACATGTAATATTTATTTCATGGACGTAACAAAGGTACACAAGTAAAAGTTGATGGATGAATGGAATATAATTCTTGTGTATAGATTATATAAAATTGACGTATGAGGTGCGTGATTTCTCGATGTACGAGCTTTCAATTTTTTTTTTTTTTTTTAAATTTTGAGAAAAATGTTGTGACGGACACAAGACTGTACAATACACGTATAATGTACACCTAATTATAAAACCAGTAACAGTAAGTATAAGGATAATAATGAAAGAAATGAGCTTTTATACCTAACAAACATATAAATAACTATAAAGTGCAGCATATCGATCGTCTTAAGTGTCATAGTAAGCTGCTTCGTTAAGTGCATCAATTTTCCCCAATTGCCATTTCAATGTTGTTAACGGGAGAAGCATGAAATATAGGATTTTTGCCTTGGTGATTGAAAAATTAAAATTATTATCGTACTGTTGTGCGAAAAAAAATGTACCTATTAACCCTTATTTTTTTCGCACTCTCGCGAACGCGCGTTTGTTATTACAAATTTTTCATTGTATAAAAAAATAACTTATACACCTGATATTAACAACGAGGTGTTGCTAGGCCCATTAACGTAAGAAAAAGCTTACCAAGCATGTGGTATATTGGCGAAATGGATGAACGAATGTGACTCGTATTGCATACGATGGAAACAATTTTCGTAAATGAGAAAAAAGTTTATACAAGCCTCGTATTGGATAAAATAGCTAATGTAAACGTATCGATTAGAATAAGCGTCAACGTGTATTACAATAAAGTGAAAACTTACGAATCCAATAGATTTAATCATTTTTAAGTGTTCAAATTGAAGCTTATGGTTTTCATTATTATTATTGTTTTTTTGCATTTGTATGCTTGGCTAATTTTAGCTCCGTGTTTTGAAAATCAAATTACGTTAGTAGATAGTCTATGAAGTAAGGTACGTATAATGTTTAAGAATGAACACGTTTTTGTAAAAATTATTTCTTCTAAAAGGAAAATATACACGTTTTAAATAAAACCAGTAACCTGATTATTTACTAAAAATAATGATATGATTTACATTAAAACCTCTCGATGAGAAAGGTGCACGCGAAATTACAAAAAAAATCGAAATGTAAATGAGAATGGATACGACGATATACACTTGCCACGCGTGTTATACCGCAGAGAGAGGCACAAGTCAAAGTAGCGAGGGCGGAAAGAAAGCTCGGTTTCTCATTTTTTATATTCTTACCCAAAGCAAGAGTATAGTATTGCAGGCGCGTGTCTCCTCTGCGGACATACATATATACACACGATAACGCACAGCTCAGTAAGTATATATATATACGGCGTGTCTCGCCTTACATGCGAATGAGGAGCTTCGCCGGAGCTTGGCAGAGGTACTATGTGTATACGGAGGAAGGCCCTGACGTGCCTCTACAGTACTTATATATATATATGTGTATGTACGTACAGCTCGGCCTGCTCGGCGAATATTATTACAGCTCAAGAGAAAGGGTCGAGCAGAGCTTACTATCTACCGCCATGCCCTGCGGCCTTCCGTTATACATATATTTATATAGGCATGTGCTACACTACATCACATCCACCTTTTACCGCGTGGGTGCGTGACATTGTATGCTTCCGCATCGTACATTATGTGCCTGTATATATACATACGTTGTACAGATACACTCAAACGATTGAACGAGGGAGTGAGTGTACGTACACCCCCTGACGACCGACGGACCATCAACGAAGAGGAGAACGCAGGGGGCACGGATATAAATAGTTTACCATTCTTGTTGTCTCGCTTTCTCACTCTCTCTCTCTATTGGTAAACAAATACTTTTTTTCAGACAATGCATAAGTCTGACACTAATAAAAATTCGATTCTCGCATCAATACTCCTTAATTTGGCTGCCTCGATCACAGTGCTTCAGTAAAAATATATACATTACAGGGAAAAAAAATATTTTACTTCCACGTTGATGTGTTTCTAGTTTTTTTTTTTTTTTTTTGAAATCCTCTTTTTTCCAATAATCAGTATAGGGCACCTAACGAATGAAAGTGACATTAATTGAACTTACGGTTTGGTACCGAGCTTCTTTTTGACATTATATTTGAAGAATTCCTCCTCTTGCATAATTTTCGCGCTCCCTTGAAATTACAATTTTTTTTTTCTCTTTTAATCCGCTCTGTATGCATTCATGCAAATTATCCAGGGCGTAAGACCAAGATAGTAATTTGAAGAAACCTCCGCGTAAAATAATAATCACGAAAGATAAGTAAAGTATAAATGAAGATAAAAAAAAAAAAAAAAAAAAAAAAGAAGGAGAAAAGGATTTACCAGCAGTACCATACCGTGTAATAATCTCATTAACGCGATCTCCAATGCCAAAACGAGAGCGCCAGCATTTTAAAAAGAAGCAGCTTCTCTCTAATTATTTTTCATAATAATAATAATAACTTATAACTATATGTACATGACGGGGGTGTTAAATGCTGAGCGGAAAAGACACACACCGTGGAATATACATGTAATAAAAAAAGTTTGGTATTTCATGCCCTTTTTTAAATAATGTAAACTATTATTTTATCAACGTGCGTGTTTAAAAGATGTGGTTGAAAAAAAAAAAAAAAAAAATTGCGAGGATGCAATTGGGTCGAAAAGGCCCAGATTTTTTGGACTCGCGCACAACTTGGAAAAAAAGGGGAAAAAATGTATTAAATGAAAATAGTTTTCGTTCTATTCGAGAAACCGGGTAAGTATGTATGAAACTTTGACGGACAAGGAGAAGTAGCGCTACGGAAGACGAAGCAAGCCAAATGGACTGACGCGGACATGTGAGAGGCGGAGAGAGAGAAAAAGGAGAAAGACGCCGGCAGCGGTGGTACATATGTATACCTAGGTACGGGAAACTCTTCTTCTTTCAATTACTTATACAGCAGCGGTAATGCGCGCGTGTACATTTGCTCCTGGGGCGAAATTGAGTTGGACGCCGCGCAAGGGAGCCTCCTATTGCTTTTTCCCTTCGCATCGCGTCGGAGCTTTCGTTTAGGGTTCACGAATAAGGTGCGTGTGCGTGCACCGTTCACCCTCCTCCTCTTGTATGTATAAGTCGCTCTCTGGGCCATCGTTGACATATATATGTAAGTATACAGGTACTCTTAGATAATGATACCAAGGAAGAGATGGAGAAGAAAACGAGGGTAAGATTTGATTTTGCCTGAGGGACGGTTTTTGGGACGCGTGTGGGCTAAGGGTGAAAGAAAGGTCGGGGAGGGTATCGCCTGTCTATATATGTGTACTTTGATTATACGAGTACATGTACATCACCGATGATGATAACTTTTAATAGCTTTTACGTAAACCCATACGTTTACTGCGAGACAAGTAAAATTGTAAAAATCACTCGTTGGTGTATGGATTGAAAAAATAAGAGACGTTTAGAGATGTAGTACGTATGCGAGGTACACGTGCATGGCGATTTGAAAATAAGCTGAAAGAAATAAGTAGACGAGACGGAGAGTCGATCGTCATTCAAACATCCAATCGTCTACTGCGCGCCATAGATTTTTCAATTTCAAAAGGCAGGTGCATGTGCTAGCTCTTACCCATACGTCATAATCTATGTATACATCTATACATGTATTCATTTCCTTGATTTTTCATCAGAAATCGAAAATGTATATAAAAGTACGTATACATAATAATATATTGGTTACGCAGAGGAATTTCCTCCCACATAAGTAAGTATACCGAGCCTCGGCCATCAGCGGGCAGCAATCGTCTTTGACATTATGATAGTAGATGCGCTTACATATTGATAGGTAAGTATACATTTATTCTATAATATTGGAATACGCGCACTGAATCGTGCCGAGGGATGAACTTACAGCTATGGACAATTGAAATACGAGACTCACATTGTAATTGTATTTTTTTTATATCTAGTAAGCGTATATATAGGTATAAAAGAGGTACTTAAATAGGACCGAGAGATCCGGGTATGCCTTATACATGCAGTAAAAGGGCGCAACGGTTAATCAGCGCCTCGCATCATCCTCATTCTCCCCCGGTTCCTCATCTGCAGGCCTCCTCCTCCGGCTCCTTATTTGCTCCATCCCTTCGTCACGTCACTCTCATCCGAGCTCTCTCGCGTAAGTTCATTAACGAAGTATCTACATATACCCATCCCTTGCCTTATATACCCAAGTACTCGCATATGTCGACCCTGTGCGTGTGCCCGCGCGTACATGTTAATCCCTTTGCATGCAGCACGTCAATTGCAGCCGATTCGATTATAAGAGGCGCCTCTCTCGCCAACCTCTGCAGTAGCTCTATTACTTATACACACGCGAGCGTTAATACCTTCAATATGTATAATTAATTACCTGACGATTTCATGGATACATCTGAAAAATTCACTTCAAATCCTGATGGCCCGATTCACGTCAAAACTTCTCTTTTTCCCAAACGCAAAACATGCAGTGTCGCGTGTACTTATGTGTTAAAAAACACATCTGTTTTTCGGTACATCCGCTGATTTTCATGTGCATGGCTTTTATTCATTATCTTTGACAAAATATTTCAAAATGCTGGTTCATTGAAAACAAACAATAACAACAACGAAGCTTCAATAGTTTTTCAAGATAAAACTAAGTTAGTATCTGTACTGTACATTTTACAATAGGCGCATACCAATTCAATCATGTAGGACCGAGACTCGCGATATTTTACTGGTGTCGCCGTTCGATCTCCATTTGTCTCTCTGTGATACAATATACATATGTGTATAAGGTACCCTCCCCCCCAGTCCACACTTGCAAAGACTTTTGCTTCGATAAAAGTTTTCCCTGCCACCGCGTAGGTATACTTATTTTATAAAGAAAATGCAATTCCCCCGCGCTCTCGTGTGATAAGAAAACTTTGCCCCCGGGGAAAATGGTCCAAAGTTGTATGTGCACATACGCGATTATTTTTGCATATTTTTATCATCTTCCTGCAACACGGAGCTCCCCTTCTCTGCTTATTTCCCTCGGTTTGCATTCCAACTAAAAAGTGCAAATGACAACATGACGGAAGAACAAAAATACACCCACTCGAGTTGCAAACGAAAAATGCACCAAATGTGATTTTTTTAAATAATTTATTGGTGCAACAATTATTATAAACATGCATGTAAAGTGAAACGTGTATTTTTTTTTTAATATTTCTGATACGCGTAAACATTTACCTAACTCAGATAGGACACATCTTTTGGAGCATTTTATAAAACTTTTTCAAAAAAATTCTGCGGACAATAAGAGCGTGTTCGTTATAACTTTATAGCTTGGGGAAACATTAAAGTGCTAATTTGTAAGGGGACGAGAGCTCTACCTCCAATTTTTTGGAGTCAAGGTATTTATAATGTACTATTTCAAAAAATTTGTTTTGCCAACTTGCAGATGCCTCTATTAGATGAAAGAAATTCATCATTTTCCGATAAATGAGTGTTTTACCATACACGGAATTGATGCATTTTTGACCAAACCATCGAATACATACATGTATGTGGTTTCGAGTGTGCACTGATTTATCTCTCATAAACGAAATACTATAGTATATTTTACTTGGGTGTGTTGATATACCTCCGCATGTTTTGCCAAATTAAAAAAAAATAAATAAGGAAAAAAAGGATCTTTTGGTTTCTGTGGTTGCTGCCACCCTCTACGTAGCCACATACATGTCACACACCGGGTACTATTATACAGTATTTATGTGCTACTCAATCCATGTGGTTGCGAAAGCTGAGACTCTATTCGTCTTTTCTCGCGGTGGCGCCACTGCTAATTTTTCGTAACTTGAGCCTCGCTCTTTTTATCTCCTTTTCCTATTCCCTGGTTTTAAGTATATTACAATATACGCATGGATTCGTAAACAAAAGGTAGGTATGGGACGAATATCAAGAATCTGGATGTTACATCCTATAACTACATTAATATTTCATCTAAGAAAAATGGCCCTGGAAGTAAAACGATACTTACCTATCGAAATGAGAGATGCTCTGTTACTAATAGTGTCTACTTTGTACTTATCTAACAGTTTTACATGCAACAGACAAGCCTGATTTTGTTTGGAAGAAAAATAAAACGACTTCTTCGCAAACGACTGATTCTAAGGCATTGGCATTTTTCTAAGCTGATAGTGATGGTTGATTCTTAGTAAATATTATCGGAAGGGACGCATCCCCTATTTTTCTGACAGTTAAATATCTACTTCTTAACATTTAATATTTTGCGATATCCATTGAATTGTATCTTTATTCTCTTTATTTTCAGAGGCAATCTAGCTTCTCAAATTTACAGAAAAAAATGTATTTTTTTTTTTTTTTTTAAAGATGTCTTAAAATCTTCGAATCTCGATTGAAGAAGAAAGTTTTTCAAAAAAATTTACTCGAGTATTTCAAAAAATATTATTTTTTATTAAAAAAAAATACTGCCTCCAACTAGTTGCGCAGCTTTAATCATCTGCTAAAAGCTTAAATTTGTTTTCTAAGGTCGACATTTTGATCACCTCCACTTCATCATCCGATTCTTCTTCATCGTCTGTTTTTTCGACGCTATCGTTTTCTACATCTGCGTTTTCATCACAAACTTCTGCGTTTTCCTCTTCCGATTCCGACATAGAATCAATCACACTAGGCGGCTTATCGCCTTCGATACGGGTCCTCGCCTGAATCCACTTAACAATCTCGACATCGGGATGACTTTCCCAACGTTCTACAAAAAACATAAAAAATTGTTATGGCTACGACAAGATGAAAATAACAGTAAACATCATATATTTAATAATAGTAACCTTTTTCAGTAGACCACTTAGGAGGATAGGCGTAAATACAAATTTTTCCCTCTAAAGCCAAACGAAGCAAGAAGTTTGCCGCTTTGTACGTGTCCAGTCTACATGATTTTGCTGTATGAAAGTTTCTTTTCGCGGCCCAGCTATCACAAATATCCATGGCAGACCAGGTGTTATCATTTTCCTGATGCTGCAGTTTCAACAATTTTGGCAAATCTACCCTCTCTGCCAGAAACTTGATAGCTGTATAAGGTTCTCGGACTTGTGCGATAGGATAGGATCCCATTAGAATCTGAAACTGTTTAGGTACCGTTGACGGGAAAACTAAACCGGGACAGTCGCACAGGCAAACATTTTTCGTAAGAAAGATCGTCTGAAAATGTTTGGTATGGCCGGGGGTTCTAGAAACACTGACAACTTTTTTCCCTGTAAAAATATTTTCCAAATTAAAATCAAGACTTTCACATTCAACGGATTTAGCCCGTTTCAAGTATCAAATAATAAATTTACCCATTAAAGCATTAATCAGCGAGGATTTTCCAACATTTGGAGTACCAATACAACCAATGGTTAAAATTCCACTTTTGTACTTTTCATGTTCATAGTAGCTAGTGTCTTTTTTCTCAACTAAAATTTCCTCCTTTCTTTCTAAATCATCAAGATCATACTCTGAATGCATTTCTTCTTGAATTTTTTCCTGCCACAAAGTCAAATCAACCTGATCTCCAACAATCTCTTTGCAAGTCTCCATAATTTTTTTGGCCCCCTCTGCAGCCATCTTTAATTTTCCTTTTTTTCTCCTTGACTTCAAAGCTGTTTCCTCATTTTCAATATTTTCTCTTAAATTATATGTTGGAAACGACGTAAATTGTAAAATGTGGAGTTTGGGATACTTTGTCTTAAAGTATTCTTGCCAAGCAACAACCAATGCTGCTGGAGCTAGATCAATTTTGTTCAAAATTAAAATCATGTCTTTGCCCAGTTTGTTAGTGACGTGGTTGTAGAGATATGGAGGGAACATCATTACAGGATATCTGATATCAACAATGATCAATAATATATCACTCATTTCAAGTACTCTCCACAATTGTCGCCAAGTTTCAAGATTTAGTTCGAAATAACTAATGTTTTCTATTTTTTCCATTTCTTTTAAATACTCCTGCAAGAAATAAATTTTTTTTTAACAAGTATATATAAGAAATGAATAACTCGTCAGTACTACAAAAATTTATTTCCATTACTACTTTCCGTTTGAATTTAAAATTAAAATGTACATATACTTACATGAAAATATCGTTGCTCTCTGACTTCTAACTGTTCTTTGGTCATGCTGAAATCCCAAGGCGGTCTCTTTGGCATATCAATCTCAAGTGGAAAATAATCATCAGAAACTTCTTGTTTTTCTAGAGGATGTAATTCAATTGTACGAGTGGCTTCCTCTTTCCTCTTCTGCAATTCTTCTCTAGATTCTTGATAGAATTGCAACACATACCTGTTTTTGTCAGTGTTATCTTTAGGTAACTTGTTGATTTTCTGAAGATTACACCCAAAATTATTTTGGTTTGTTTCATCACTTCTGCTTGGGTGCCCAGCTGTTATTCGTAACCGTAATTAAATTTAGTTTTTGTTGTAAATAAATTCTACATGCGTTTGTATAATCATCAATAATCAATAGAGGAAGAAAACGCAATAAGAATTGAGTTTGAACGCGTTAGTTTTCATAGTTTTTTTTTAAGCAAAAGGCGGTAAGACATGGTTAAACTTACTTAACAATATGTTAGTTTTTCGTTGATTTTTAATCTGCATCTGCTGCTTCTTAGCTTTTCCGCTGAACGGAGTTTTTCTTCTTCCTTGCGGCATTTTAGAAAATCTCCCAGGTATTCGAGTGACCTTAATTACCTATGCCAAACAAGTTCCAATTTTTTACCAAATTTTATCCAAGTGTTTAATAAATAATCTTTCGACGATTTTCATAAGCACTAAGTAACTACTTATTCATGATAAGAGAAAATCATCTCATAGAAGTTGAGGGCTGAGACTTTATAGCCTTGTGGGCATTAAGAAAAAAGTATAATAAGTAAGCACCTGTGACAGTTGCAATGATGATATGGTTTTTAAACACAAAAGACTCGGATTGATGATAGATTATCAAAATTATTAATTGTTTTTCTCGTATACTTTTTTTTTAAATACATTATAGTATATATTAACCTTATATCTCGTATTCTTTGCCGGCTTCGCACTTCGCAATCTTCGCACTTCGCAATTCACAGGTTCACACACACTTGTTCAACACACTTTTGCAGACTCTGAAGAGGAGAGACCAAATTTTTTATCCATCCATTCATCTCTCTCTTGCAGATTTCTCTCCAAAACTCCAGAACGATCCGTTTCGACGTTAACTAACCTGCATTACAAAATATAAAAACATAACATATATCTCGAGAAACATGGCGGATACGGCTGGAAATTGGTGTTTAATTGAGAGCGATCCTGGTGTTTTTACCGAATTAATCAAGGAATTTGGTAAATGACAATTATTACTCTTTGTTCTTTGCTATTTAAGATGATTGTAGTTTCATGGGAAAGTAAATACATTCCTTTGATCAACTGTAAATTCTTAACACAGTCATGAGCAACGTAACCCATAAAACTTTTGATTATTAAAAAAAAAAAAATGATATCACCCGTGCTTTATGAAAATTTTAATATTCATCCATTTCATCAATTACCTACTTACTTTGACTTTGAAAAACGTTTGTTCAATTACCATCGCCTTTAGTGAATCCACATCTTTGTTAGTTATGATGACATGACAAAAACACAAGGACCTTTAGCTTGTCTTGCCTATCATTTTCTGCATTTTGTCATTTCAGGTGTGAAAGGGGTTCAAGTCGAAGAATTGTACAGTCTCGATGATGATCAGTTTCAAAATTTAAAGTAAGTCGTTTGTACAATCATTCAATGTCTAGTAATAATTGTAAATTCACTACCAAGTATATAAACTTGTAATTGATAGACCAATTCACGGATTGATATTCTTATTCAAATGGGTGAAAGATGATGAACCCTCTGGATCAATTGTACAAGATGACCGCCTGGAAAAAATATTTTTTGCCAAACAGGTTTAAATTTTTAAAAATTTTACCTTGAGCAATAAGAAGTTCTTGAAGTAAATCTACTGATTACAATGTTTTAGGTAATTAATAATGCTTGTGCGACACAAGCTATACTGAGTGTACTGCTGAATTGTAAGCACTCTGATATATCTCTTGGACCAAATTTAGAAGAATTGAAAACATTCTGTCAAAGCTTTGATGCTAATATGAGAGGTCTTGCTCTAAGCAATTCAGATGTCATTAGGACTGTCCACAATTCTTTTGCCAGGTACCATATAATGTGATTTAAGGCTGAAATATCAAAGTTAAATTTACGTGATAATTTTATAGGCAATCGCTGTTTGAATTTGACTGTAAACAATCGAACAAAGATGAAGATGTGTATCACTTTGTTAGTTATGTGCCCATTGATGGAAGATTGTATGAGTTGGATGGATTAAAGGAGGGACCTATTGATCTAGGAGCCTGTCAACCAGGAGATGATTGGGTACAGGCTGCCAAACCTATTATTGAAAAAAGAATAAAAAAGTAACTCATCCAATAGTTAAAATAATAATTAATAAAAATTTGCAATAATATAATATTTGTTTTATCTTTTACCTTAGGTATAATGAAGGAGAAATTCATTTTAACTTGATGGCAATTGTGAGCGACAGAATGATGCTTTACGAGAAACAAAAGAGTTTGACAACTGATCAAGCTGAAATATCCAGGTTGCAATCTTTGATTGATGAAGAAATGTGGAAATCTAAGAAGTACAAAATAGAAAATATTCGGAGGAAGCATAATTATCTTCCTTTAATTGTGGAACTGTTAAAAGTTTTAGCAAAAGAAGGAAAGTTGGTTCCTCTTTATCAGAAAGCAAAAGAGAGGGCTATAGAAAAAGAATCAAAGAAGAATAAGACATGAACGTAATTTCTTGAAACTTAAATTTATTTACCTTTGTAATAAATGCGAAAGCAGTATGAATTGTCATTATATTTTACAGGCATTTACACCCTATCACAAATTTGTACAGATACTTTTTTTTTTTAAGTTAGTGAAAAAAGCCATTTTTGATCATACTACAGTCTCGTTAACATTAATATTTTGGTGATCTTAATAAACTATACAGATTGTAAGTATTTATAAATTTTTTTAATTCCATTAATCCATGTCAATGAACTCTAGTTTATTGTTTGTATACTTCAAACGTGGTAAGATTCTATCGTGCTTCTCATTTATCAAAAATGGAATGTATTTATTGTACAAATAATTTAGAAGCACTGAAAAATATTAAAAAATTACTAAGTATTTGTATATTATTTGAAAATACCAATTTATGCATAAGTAAAAAATTACCTGATGGATTATTAGACTTTCTAGCTTGCCTTGCATCCTTCAGTATTTTATTATAAGCAACCTGCAAAAATTCTTTGGTGTAGCCATCGAAATATGTAACTATTTTGAACCAGTTTATTCTAGTCGTTAATTTATGTTTGTATAAACTGAAAAAAAATTGAGAATTTGGAAAAAAATAATTTACTTGGATATTAATATAAATTTTAGACTTTGTTTTAGTACTTACACTTCAATTAGCTTTATTTTAACATCAATCATGTAAATTGGTTCCGGACAGAACAACTGCAAGTGCAATTTTCTTATCCAAAAACTTTTTAGCAATGTATGATCAATTTCTAGCTCTTTTTCCATTTCTCTCCAAATGCATCCCAAAAGCATATGATTTTTTAATTCTTTAAGATCTTTACATTTTGTAAGATTCATTAGTGTATCGATGAAACATTTGACTCTTTCTAAAGTCCATTCTTCATTGTCAAACAAAAAAATGTATACGTTGAAAACGGTTGAAAAAACAATGCATAAAGTATTTTTTTACTAAGACTTTTGTTACACTTACGTGGTGTTATATTACTTTTTTTTTTTTTGGTACCCATAAAATTATGAATGGAAAAATTCGTTTATAAAAACACTCTACTTAAGAGTTGGAAATTACGATAAGGTTAAACCGAACAAATATTTACTATTTCCGTTTTCAATATACGTGTACATCCATACGTAGATAAATATAAATATCCATGTATGCGTAATTAACATGCGTATCCTCAATTTTTGTGTTCACGTGTCTATACAAATTATTGCAATTGGGCGAAATTTAAATTTGCCATGTGTAAAGCGTTTGGTCGTCTGTCGGCTTAATTTAATGACTAGGTATAAGTATAGACTTATTCGAGTATAGAGCAATGCGTCACAATGACCGACTAAGTATTTTATACCTGTTTTACTCCACATGTGGTCATATGAATGTGATCGGGTGATCGGACTGATCGGAATACAAATTTGCAATCAAATTGTCAAATATCTGTGCGAACCGTCAAAATATAAACATTTTATGAAAACTTTATAAAATTTAATTGTTATTTAGTGAACGTGGCAGTACAAATATATTCAATCATAAATCAAGAAACAATTTCAAATTTATGCAAAGATCATTAATTAAAACGTATACATTATTATTAGTTGATAAAAAAATATATTTCTCATTGAGTACATTATCGAAGAAATCTTTTCATTACAAAGTGAGCAACTACAATTAAAATATAAGGATTTGACATGTACAAATATATATACAAAAATAAAGTTATGATCAATAATAATGTCTTTTTACAAATGATAAAAAAAATCCAAGAAACTGTAAATTAAATATTAACTTTATGATTCGCAAAAGGAATCATGATCTAATGGATCTTTCAGCAGACTACTTGGTACTTTTTTTTCGGAAATAGTGAACACACGTTGAAGTTTAGAATTCAATTTTGGCAAAACTACATCTGTCTCTCTTTCCATCAATTTGGGTATATAATCCCTGAATAAGTAATTAACAATTTCTGAAAAAAATAAGCGAATATATTTTTGAAAATTAAAACACGTAAATTATTAATGAAAAAATCCATTACCAGTTAAACTGTAGTCTTTAAACATTTTTTTGACACGTTGTGTTAATTGGTCAAACATTTGTGACAAAAATAAAGGAGTTGTTCCATCAAAATCCAAACAAATAGCTTCCCACTCTAAGTTTTCTAGTTCCTCTGCTTGCTTCTTAAACAAACTAAATATTTTGCTATATATTGATTTCTTATTCAATACAACTTTTGTTTACTAATTAAAGAACTTACTACTCAATCAATTCAATCTTAAAATCGTTTAAATAAATTGGCTTAGGGCAAAAGAGCTGCATGTGGAGCTGGAGGTACCAAAATTTTTTCAGAACAACACGGTCAATATCTAATTTACTCCCTAATTGATTCCATATGTTTTTGTCATATACTTGATTTTTTAATTCACTAATATGGGAGCAAGATGTTAATTCAAGCATTTCATCAAGAAATTTTCTTACAACTGGATATGTCCACTCAACGTTAGTAGAAACTGTATTATAGCATTGTCATAAAATTATAATAGACGTGGTATTAGTAGTAAGTTAAATTATTTACAGACCTTTGTTGTGAACCAATTCTGATTTTTTCTGTGACTTTTTTCTTCTGATACTGCTATAAGTCGATTTTTTATCACGTTTTAAGTTTGATTTTTTCAACAAGCTGTGGTAACGATTGAATACAGACTTTTTTTTTCTTTTTAATTCTTTTGCCAAATAAGAAATATGATTTTTCCTTTCATTTTTTGGTGTACGTGAGATATAATTCATAATGATTTTATCATCATTCTTATTGAACTTTCTATTGTAAATAAGTAAGTCAAACCCTCAATGCTTGATTATATTCAGGAAGTAAAAATATCATTTTAAAAAACTTACCCTCTTTTTAAATCAGTATTATATAAATTTCTAAACCTTAAGTAAACACTGCACAAACTTCTCCAAGGTAATCCATTTGCTATAAATTGTACAAATTGTAATCTTTGCTCTCTCAAAGGAATTATGAACATTCTATCAGGTTTCATATTTAAAAAAGGTTTGACATTTTTTTCGTTCCATTCATGAATCTGGAAAAAAAAATAAAAAGGTTAAAAACTCTACTACTGGCAAATGGGATAGAAACGTTTTTTTTTTATAGAATACTTACATTGCAAAATCTTTTCCAATTTTTTTTTATCATTTCATCTTCTTTTAAGGAAAATGGTCCCTTTTTCAAGAGCCCATATTTTTTGAATAAAATAGTTTTTTTTTCATCCAGAGGCCGACTTATTGATTGTGATAAAATGAAATGTTGTGGTGGAACTTTGTGTTCCAACTTGACTTTCAGATCAGACAGTCTCTAATGAAAATACAAAGAATTATTTCTACTTACAACTACAATATTCTAAAAAAAATAGTTTGTATATTAAGACAATAACTTGCATCTAAATACATAAATAAATGTATGCACGTACTTTAGCATGAATTTTAATAATTTATAAGTTAAACTCACTGTTAACTGTGGTTGTGGAAGATCGGGAGTTGTATGGTTTGTTTTACTTTTCTCCGAGTTTGTTACTGTTGTAGAAGTTTTAGAAGGCGATTTTCTTTTCGTTTCGTTTTTTTGAGGTGATTTAGAACTATTTTTCATTTTTTTATCTGATTCTGATAGATTTTTTTTTTGTTTTTTTACCAACCAATCTTTTATCCGTGGTGCTTCTATTTTACAAGTTTGACTAACTATTGGTGAATGTTCTAAAACATTAGATGATAATGTATCATTGGTTATCAAAGCATCCACATCATGAGTCATTTCAATGGGATCCTCGTCCACAATATCATGATATATGTCGCTGATTTCTTGTTCACTGATACTCAGTTTATCGATTACAGAAACAGGCGAATGTAGCTGCACTTTTGGTGGTGATGATTTGGGTGTTTCGTTTCTGGCTCTCCTTAGCATGGACTTATTTACCATCTTCCTCAAGTCAGATTGAATCGTAACCTGAGAGCTTTTAACAATTTCATCGTCGCATTCATTTTCTTCTTTTGACAAGCTATCAGACTTTGTTTTGATATTGAAGGACTGCTTTGCTGGAGTTGTACTTTGCGAGACAACTTCAATTTTTGGAGTCCGTATGTATTGAGTTATTTTACTTTGTATTCTTCTTCCGGTATGAGTGTCATTATCTTCCTTCGATATCTTTAGTAATCTTTCCGGATTTTTAGGATTTTCCAACATTTTTACGAGTTTTATTGACGTAGTTTTCAAAGCTGCCAGTTAACCTAAAATTGTGTACGTCACGAGTAATAGATACTACAAAATTATAAATACCTATTATATATCGCTTAACGATAAAGACTTTACCATATAGCAGTCAGTCAATAGGTGACTATAATATATAAATAACGTTAATTAATTCAGTTAACTGTGATTCATTAGACAGTAAAACAAGACACACAGTATGACAGCATATTCATTTAAGTATAAAATGTGTCGGCATTTCAAAGTAGATAAGTATTAGTGTATACACTACTTACTAAACGTAAACAGAAGTTCCATTAAGTATGTTTTGTGTGCGACCCGCGTCGCCGGGTAAGTCGAGTAAGCTCGGAGAGCAAGAATATCTGTTTAGTACCTCGGTTAAAAAAAAATCCAAACCGCTCTGAGCGCCCCATTCCAGGTCGATTTGCATGACCGAACAAAACATTAAGGGCCCAGAATATACAGGACCTATTGGACCAACGTAGCGTTAATTTTAATTGATGAAAAAATGTATTCATTAACACGTTTTGGTTTTTCATTTGTAAAAAACTTCTTGTTCGACAAGTTGGAATCAAAAGCCATTGGATAATATTTGTTTTAATTTAATAACCATACAAAAGGTATTGTGTGTAGAAAAAAACAACGACATGAATTCAAGTTATGCAAATCATATCTATTGCATTTTTTATTTTGAACAATATTTCCAGCATATTGTCAATTTTTTCACTAGCTATTACAATACTTATAAATAATAACTATGTACAAATATTTTCTAGTTTAAAATTCTTTTTGTCTGCTTTGAAATAGTTTACATGAGAAGCTGCTGACTATTTTTTCCATACTGCCTTTCAGATGTTTATAGAGCCTGTGAGAATGCATCGACGTCACAATGCAAAAATAAATACATGTAGCACATCAAACATTCAGAATCAGAATATAATAAAATTTATAAGTTTGTAGAATTGCAATAAGATTAACAGATTACATCATGAACGACTTTGTTTCACGAGATTCCCCGTGTCATTCTTTTGATGGTTTTTTAAAGATGTATTTATCTACCAGGTTGTACGTCATTGCAACGATTATACATCCAATAGCTGCTGATTGTGCACCAACTCGAAGTTGAATTAAAAACAACGAAGGAGATACCAAAAAGCCTTTGGTCCTCCACCTGTAAAATCCATATCCTAAGGCTCCAGACATTGCACCAAGACCTTTCAACATAAATTTTAACACTATTTAGTAAGTGAAAATTGATCATTAGTAAATAAAATAGTAAAATGTAATTTACTTGATATCACTGCAGGTTTTGTTTGGAAATTTCTGATTAAAGTGTCAGTAAAAGTTTCTTCTTCATATGTGCTGGCAAAAGTTTCATATTCAGGAGGATGAGGTGACATTTTGAAAGTGCTCTGCTAATCTAAAAATAAAATAATGATCTTGTTTGTTGATTTTTATGGATTTCTGTCATTTCTAGCATTAGTGTTACATTTAATAAGCAATATGGTGTATCCAAATACAGTGAAAAATCACTCGATATTTCATCACACATCATGGCACATTGAATGAATTTCGATCTGTGTTGCAATTTAACCTCGTGAGAAAAATTCGCACCAAGGCCAAACTTTTATTATTACGATAATTCTTATACTCTGAAGTAAAAGTTCATGACGGGAAAAAATGTAATCATCAAGTTTTATAACGATCTTTCAAATCAATGTCAACCACGAAGACCACTATACCAAGGTCACCTGTATATATTATCTGTTAATACTACTTACTAACAAATCTTATACTAATAGGTATCTACACATCTCACAATAATCTCAATGATTTCCAGATGATAATCTCCAAAAAAAAGAGAATTAATAAGGAAATTACTTTAACAATAATAGTAGTTATGTGATATGTGAAAGAGTATCGAAAAATAATAAAAGCAATAAGACTAAGAACAACAACAAAAAAAGTAAAAAATGAAAAGCTTACCCGTAATGTCGAAGCAGAACCTTATATGTATGTTATGTACCCAGTGTAGCCCTCTACTCGTGGGTTATGAACTTGAAAAACTTCTCGTGTCACTCTGCAGGTCTGTCAGCTGGCGAGCGTTAGATCATTTGAACATATATATATATATAACTGTAGAGTATGGGGAATGGGGATATTCCGCAATCGCGCCAGTATTTGTATAAGACGTGACAACGTTGCGTGGTTGGGGGCGCTACTGTCGATTTACTGGTAGTTGTGTTGTACCGTTCCAACGTTCCGGGGTTACTGGGTTAATCGGATATAAAAAATTTGACTATTTGTTTATTGTTTTAGAATATTAGAATAGTGATTGTGATCATTTTGCATTGTAACAGTGATTTTGGGATGGAAAAAATTAAATTATCGAGATAAAACTCGCCCCGTGTGCATATGCATAAATATGAATAAGACATGCGCAGTTTAAAAGGACTCTGTTACAGATGTTAACATTATATTACATCGTTTATTATGCTTTTTTTTTTTGGAAAATCAAGGATTTGGTAGCAAGAATATGATTATCCTCATAAGCATACGAAGCGCATGAATTATGACGAGGTATACAAGTGAAAAATTATCCTTAAGGTTGAAATTCGAGTGACCTTATTTTTAAACATAAGATGTATACATGGACCATTTCACAAAAATGCATTTTTACGTGTTATGTCCAATAGAAAGTTTAAACAATGCATTGTACATTATTCTTTTCTTGCTAAAGGTTCCAAAATAAAATTTAAAAAATGTACCTCATGGGCCTTAATTGGTAGAAAAAATAGGAGGGAAAAGATGCCATTCCGCAAATACATATTTAAAGAAATAAGTCAATTCGACTGAACGTATAGTTAAAGGTACTTAATTAACAATTCGGAAAAAATGATAATAACTTCCCAGTAATTATCAATCAATAAAAATGTTTATTATAGTTTTGGAATTAATAATAATTTCGTTGGCCAATGTAAAATTTAATTCGTTTGAAATTAAAAAAACCTTCCCTCCTCGTTAAATTTTAGCGTATGAGTTTTTTTAATCGGACAAAAAAATTTCCAGCTTATTTGAGCCTTACATCGCAAAAACTGTAACTTTTGGAAACCGCAGAGTCAAAGTATGTAGTGGCACTTTTCGTGAAATAATCCATGTACATGTATGTGTATGTATATACATCGTTATTTGTCTCGCTCTCTGCAACTCTCTCCCCACGTTGGCGGCCACGACGTCTCCCACACGACCTCGATGAGCGAGAGTACCGAGGAGACTCTACGGAGAGTTAGTTAGCTCTAGGTTTGGCTGGCGGCTGGCTGCGAGAGGCAGTAGTCGACTGGTCGCAAGATTTTCTTTTTTTTTTTTTTCAACCTGATAAGTACGTGAAACGCAAGACTCTTGTCTTCCAAACGCAAGCAGCCATGATGACGGATGAAAAAACATGTTGATTGATATCTAGTGACGATAAGGATAATTTTGACGGTAAGTGGATAGTATATAAAATGATACGTATTAGACGTCAGACAAGGACGAGGGACACCTGACTTTCTCTCCCTTCGGAGGCCAATGCGTCAGATGGGAGAACGCACTTTCGCTCTTAATTTTTTTTTTCTCTTTCGTTTCGTAATAATACTTAGATTCTCACGTTCATGCGTTTCCTTTTTTCCTCTTCTGACCAGTTGAATAATTAATCGGTTAAAAGCTTGTTATTGGAATACTTCCTATGATGAAGTCACTTTTTTTTCTGTTTAAGAATAATATCTATGATGTAGGTACTTCAGTGAGACTAATTAGGTATATTCAGCAGTATGCATTCCTATGATGACGTGCTACTATATATGTTCATTTCTTCACAATCCAAACAACAGCTGTACTTAACTCTATAGAATTAGTCTTGTAACAAAATACGAATGATAATGTTTCGCACTTGCTGAGGTTTTCCTTCCACTTATAGAATCCTATTATGTTTTATCTATGTTGGAGCTTATGATTCAGTACACTGAACATCTTGAAACTTTCTAAATTAGTTTGACATGGATTATTTTGTCATTGAAATCACGATTGTCTGAAACAAAAAATTATGTTTACTCTTAAATACTTTTATGACAGTTTTAAATTTTCTGATGCATGTATTTAAAGAGATCATAGCTTATATGAACTTGTGATACCTCTGTTTTATTGCATCATAATAGAAAAATTATCAAAACTTGTATACTCTTAAATTTTATGTAATGGTAAATAAACTTTTACATCATTCTTAAGAGTAGAAATAAGTTAGATTCGATTTAATTGATGGAAATATTTTATTTAAACTTGACTATTTCTATTATGTTAAATCTATAGAGCTGTCCATAACTCATCATGGCAATGGAGCAAAAAAATATTATCAGAGTTGGTTCCAGGAAGAGTGAACTTGCACTTATTCAAACCAATCATGTCATAAAATGTATCAAGGATCGTAATCCTGACAAGGAATTTAAGATTATTACTATGAACACAAAAGGAGATCGAATACTTGATATACCACTGCCAAAAATTGGTGAAAAGTCGCTGTTTACCGAAGAACTGGAAAATGCTCTGGAAAATGGCAGAGTTGATTTTCTGGTTCATTCGCTTAAAGATTTACCTACCACACTGCGAGATGGCTTAGCAATTGGAGCTATTCTTGAAAGAGAAGATCCTAGAGATGCAGTTGTCATGTCTAAAACTTTTAGTACCTTTACCCTTGAAACTTTGCCACCTGGTAGTGTTATTGGCACAAGTTCATTGCGCAGATCAGCATACTTGTCCAGAAGTATGAAACATTTAAAAGTTGACACTGTCAGAGGAAATTTAAACACAAGATTAAAAAAGTTGGATGATGAAAAAGGAAATTACGCTGCTCTCATATTGGCAGTAGCAGGCCTTAAAAGAATGGGATGGGAGGACAGAATAAGCCAGTACTTAGAGTCCGAAGATACTTTGTATGCAGTGGGTCAAGGTGCTTTGGCTGTTGAGTGCAGAGAAGGAGATTCCAGAATTTTATCATTGTTGGAGCCCTTAAATGATTTACAAACAACATTAAGATGTGTTGCTGAAAGGTCGTTTTTAAAATATTTAGGTGGTGGTTGTTCTGCACCAGTTGGAGTTTTCAGTACTCTGGAAAACAAGGAATTATCTGTAACAGGGGCAGTTTGGTCATTAGATGGAAAAGTGTTAATACGAGATTCATTAAAATGTAAATTATATTTTCCAAGTGAAGAGACTAATGGAGAACCACCAAAAAAGTGTCCTTATACAGAACCAAGAACTTTCTGTAGTGTAATACCTGGGAGATTTAGCAATTTAAGTCTGTATGGAGCAGAAAAATTGGGAAAAGATGTTGCAAAAATCCTAGTGAAAAAGAATGCCCTGGAAGTAATGGCAGATGCCAGAAAGGAGATATTAAGTACAGTTTAATTTATTTAATGCTTGGTGCAGGGTTGTTACTACATATTGTATATGTAAAGAGATGTCTATATTATATGTAAAAAGCAATTTATTAAAGTGGTTTTGTTGTTTATCTGAAAAATGATGCCTTTTTAACTTGAGTTATGTGGATAAAATTTTGTTCGAGTTAAATAAAATAAAAAACTCATTTGTTATGTTGTCAGGTAACGCGGACATCCTTATCAAAAAGTTATTTAATTTTTTAAATGCAAATTTATTCTGTGTACTGGAAAACATTTACATACGTCATTTACCTAATGAGACTAGCATTGATATTTTCGTGCAAATTTTTATTTTGTGAATATTAGCATTTTATTGTGACATATTATGTACATTATTTGTATGAAATATGAAAATTTGAGCAAGTACTTGAAAAACTTGACTTTACGTTTACTGAAATTTTTTTCAATTGACATTATTTTTTATTTTATACATGTAATTTGTATTATTTTAATAAAAGTCTGTTCAAAAAATTTTGTTTCGTATTTAGAACATGATCTAGTTATTATTAATCGATTGATTCTATTGCGTATCCAACTTTATTCTTGAACCCTTGTATATCACATCATTCTATCAAGTCTAAAAAATATATAAATTATTTAAAATAGACAAATTACTTCATAAAGAAAATTTATCGTAGCAGATAAGGATTTATTACTTCAATTGGTACTTTTAATTCATATTATTTAAATTAAAATAATAATTAAGCACTTATAATGTTTACCTACTTAGAATCCTATACCTACTGAAATTTTTAGCTGTACTTTTCTAATTTTAAATTGAAATTACGCGGGTAATAACTTAGTGATTCAGTTTCTCTCTCTCGGGAGTCTCGGGGGGTGCGTAAAGTGCGTTATTGCGCGCGCAAGTCCAAATCTAAAGAGAAAGGGAAAGAGAACTTTTTAGTAAAGGTTAGTCTAACCTCTTTGGTTCATCAAAAGTTGTGGTGACACTGGTGTGACTGTGACACTGTGACCTGCTCTCGTCAATGCAGCAGCAGCACTGCAGTGTGGTGTACTTATCTTGAAAGCGCGTGTTCCATTATATAGTAATTTAACCTTGTGTTGATACTAATTTTTTTTTACCAATAAGTAATTAACTTACTTTTTATTTGAGTGAGTCGTCCCATTGAATAGTGATCCGATCGTTCGCAAGTCATGGGTGACATCAAGGCGTTTATGCACCAGTGGTGCACGAAAAACCAAGCGGAGCCTCAGTTCGAAGTGAGGCCTACTGGTAAGTGTCTGCATGTCAAACATGTCGGCCATTTTAGCGTTTGCCGCATCAAATCAATAATTAAAACATACGAATATATGCCTACTTGTAAATGAAAAAAAAAAATGAAAATATGCCTACTTGTGTACTCCAATTAACGTGAGCTTACACATTTTTTTGTCTCACGTGAATCTCTTTAATCTTAAGGTCCCAAGCATAGACAACGGTTTCTCTGCGAGCTACGCGTCACCGGCTACGATTACGTAGCCATTGGCAACTCAACTAACAAAAAGGACTCTCAGGGCAATGCCTCGCGTGATTTTCTCAACTACCTGGTGCGCATCGGCAAACTCAATGCCAATGACGTTCCCGCTGATTTGGGTACAACTGGGCCGGCTGACATTAGCCAGGAGCCGGGTGGCACCAGTACGCCCAATAGACCCGTTTTCAGAGATGGCATGACACCCAACGACATTGGCCAAGCCTACAGGCCTTACAATGAGAGAGGACAAAACAATTACACGTACATAGACAGATTGGCCGATCAAAAGAGGGTTGAAGAAGCCGAGGATGTGGACGTTAATTCTGGCATTCACGGCAACTGGACGATCGAAAATGCCAAGTCTAAACTGCATCAGTTCATGCAGATTCATAAAATTAACACCGATTATAAGTATACCCCGGTTGGGCCTGATCACACCAGGTATACAGTTACATGACTCAATTAAATATCTTTTTTTTTCTATTTTTCTATTCTAATACCTTGTAGTGGGTGCATAAACATAATAACGCAGTTTGAACTGCGAAAATCTTCAAAAATGATTATTTTTGTGTTCGAAATATTCATTTTAAATGTATGATGATATTTAAGGTAAACTTTTCGAACACCAATAACTTTGAAAAGAAACAAAATAAAAAATTCTTTGCATGGTAGTTTTTGGATCTATTTATGTACCAATTTTTTATGTAAGTTATAAACGAGACCACTTTGGAGTACGATATTGAAGCAAAAATGCAGTGACAATAGAAAACACTGCAAATTTGATATCAGGGTAACCAATTTAACTGATCGAAGTCTACCAAAGAATCTCACCTTGTGGTGGCTTTCAATCACCAAATTGGTACTTTTGATGCTTTTAAAAATTATAAGACAGTAAAACCAAAACTTTTATTGCACTGGTTCAATAATAGTTTTGGTGCTGTTCCTTGCAGATATATGATCAAACGTGCTCCAACATGGTCTCGGGTAACTTTTAAAATGGTGAGTACCATTCCTTTGATATTATTTTTTATATTTCGATATACTCACTTGATAATAATATGATTATTCGTTTAATAATACAGTAGCCTGTTTGCTTTATTAAAATCATAAAAACCATTTTACAGGAGCTTTATGGCTGAGATGTCATTTTATGTCAAACAACTTGGACGAAGTAAGACTTTTTTTTACTCGCTAAAATAATAAATAATAATAATAACTACTAAATTTTAACATAAACATTTTTCAACAGATGTCACAGGTCGCGAAACAGGGTCAAACAAGCAGACAGCATCTAAGAGCTGTGCTCTTTCGCTTGTGAGACAATTATATCATTTAGGAGTCATAGAAGCATTTTCTGGAACATTGAAAACAAAAAAAGAAGGTGATCAGATGAAGCCTTACCCGGTAAACATTCTCCCAGAGTTGGTAGAGGAAGTTCAATCACTTCTAGAGAGTTTAGAAATCAAGCCCATTTCGATTAATCAGGTAAAATTTTACTCATTTTATCTTAACGTACGTTTTCATATGGTGCATATTATTGAAAGAAAAATCTCAATGACATTGACAATGGCACAATATAATTTTTCTCATTGACTACAGCCAACATCAGTACCTGCTAAAACAGAAGATGAAAACAATAGAACAAGTCCCGCCATCTCTCTAGTCACGGATCATGTTCTCGATGATTTTATTTCATCAAAGCCCCAGCCTGCTGGTGTCGTTAGCTGGTCTCCTCCACAACAAAACTGGAATCCTTGGACTGGCTGCAATATCGACGAGGGGCCTCTCGCTACTATGCCACTTGATAAACTGTCCGAAGATATTATGAATGATGCTCGTGATCGCATGCAACAGACGCAAGATCTACAACAGAGCTTGAAATCCCGCTCTAAGCTTCCGGTGTTTGCTAAAAAAAATGAAATCATGGCGGCTATCAACGAACACCCGGTCGTCATAATCCGTGGTAACACTGGATGCGGTAAGACGACTCAAGTCTGTCAATTTATCCTAGACGATTACATCGCTAGTGGCCAAGGTGCTTACTGTTCCATTGCCGTAACCCAGCCGAGACGTATCTCGGCGGTTTCAGTATCCGATCGTATAGCTGTTGAAAGGTGCGAGCCTCTTGGTCAGAGTGTTGGTTACTCCGTCCGTTTCGAGTCTTGCCTTCCAAGACCCTATGGTAGCATTATGTTTTGCACTGTTGGGGTGTTGCTCAGAAAGTTGGAAGGCGGTTTGAGGGGAGTATCTCACGTTATTGTTGACGAGATCCACGAGCGCGATGTCAACTCTGACTTCATCATGGTCGTGCTCCGTGATATGATTCACGTGTACCCAGATTTAAGAATCATTCTTATGTCTGCCACTATTGACACCACTCTCTTCAGTCAATACTTCAACAACTGTCCAGTCATTGAAATTCCCGGGCGATCGTACCCTGTACAGCAGTACTTCCTCGAAGACTGCATAGAATTGACGAAATTTGTGCCACCATTAGATTCGAGGAAGCGCAAGAAGCGAGATGAGGATGACTTGCCAAATGATGCAGAACCAGAAGAAAACTTAAATAAGATCGTTCCTGTAAACTACAGTACTCACACGAAAAATTCAATGTCACAGCTCACGGAGAAAGATATTAGCTTTGAGCTCATAGAAAGCCTTTTGCGTTACGTCAAGGAACAAAACATCCCTGGTGCCGTCTTGATCTTCTTACCGGGATGGAATCTTATCTTTGCGCTGATGAAACATCTGCAGCAGCATCCACTGTTTGGTGGTAGTGATTACGTCATCATCCCGCTGCACTCACAGCTACCGCGTGAGGACCAACGCAAAGTATTTGATCCGGTAGGAGAGAACAGGACCAAGATTATTTTGTCAACCAATATCGCCGAGACTTCAATTACTATCGATGATGTCGTCTACGTCATTGATTCGTGCAAAGCTAAGATGAAGCTTTTTACCTCGCACAACAATATGACTAACTATGCCACTGTGTGGGCTAGTAAGACGAATCTTGAGCAAAGAAAAGGCCGTGCTGGTCGTGTACGTCCTGGTTTTTGTTTTCATCTCTGCTCCAGAGCTCGTTTTGAAAAAATGGACGAACATATGACACCTGAAATGTTCCGAACACCGTTGCACGAGCTTGCGCTCAGTATCAAATTACTGAGATTGGGAAGCATTGGACAATTTTTATCAAAAGCTATTGAACCACCTCCAATTGACGCTGTCATTGAAGCTGAAGTGATGCTGAGAGGTGAGTTTTCTTTTTATACACTACCAAAATTTTGTAATAAAATGGTAAATTCGAAAAAGTAATAAATAACATTATTTCAGAAATGAAGTGTTTGGATAAGAATGATGAGCTCACGCCACTAGGCAAAATCCTCGCTCGTTTACCGATCGAACCGCGCCTTGGCAAAATGATGATCCTTGGCTGCATGTTCCGAATAGGTGATGCCTTGTCTACCATGGCAGCCAATAGCTCAACTTTTCCAGAGGTGTATAACATGGGTCCAGATATGCGACGGCTATCCCATCAACAGAAGGCGTTTGCTGGCGCCCGCTACAGTGATCATGTAGCCATGTTGCACGTCTTCCAGTGCTGGGAAGAAGCCAGAGCTGGAGGCGAATACGCTGAAACCACTTTTTGCGAATCCAAAAATGTGAGCTTGCCAACTTTGCGTGTTACCTGGGAAGCTAAAGTAAGTTTGTTTTCTCAATCAGTCGATATTCGTGGATTTACGTGCATTTAATATATTTTGTTTTGCATTTATTTCAGAATCAATTACAAGCGCTTTTGACGAGTGCTGGATTCCCAGAGGAAACTCTCTGTCCAACACCTTTGAACTACCAAGCTGGTGCGGACGTTCGTCTGGACACTATCACAGCTTTGCTTTGCATGGGTCTATATCCAAACGTTTGTTTCCACAAAGAAAAGAGAAAAGTTTTGACCACAGAATCAAAAGCTGCTCTGATACACAAAACTTCCGTAAATTGTAGCAATTACGAGCAGAACTTCCCATTCCCGTTCTTCGTATTTGGAGAAAAAGTAATAATTATCAATAAAAACGAATCATCAACCTTAGTAATAGTTGTATTATATTAAAAACTTCATTGTGTTTGATAGATTCGTACTCGAGCCGTTTCCTGTAAGCAAATGACAATGGTGTCACCCCTTCATTTACTGCTTTTCGGCTCGCGTAAAGTAGAATATGTTGATGGCATCATCAAACTTGACAATTGGATAAACCTCGAAATGAATCCTCACCATGCCGCGGTGATAGTTGCACTTAGACCCGCTTTGGAGAGTCTAGTAATAAAAGCTTCTAAAGATCCAGAGACCATTCTAGAACTCTCTCCTTTGGATGAAAAGGTATGTTATTATATTTTACGTACTTGCATGTGTTAAGTTTAATACAAGATCTTTTTTAACTTGATCATTTTTCTTTTTTTTCTCAGGTGCTTTCAGTTGTCAAAAGTCTGTGTGGGATGAACGCCTGTCGACATAACATGGAGCCCATTACCGGCGGTGGGTTTACGTCTAGACGACCACCGCGAGGACACATGACTGGAAGGGACTTTGGACCTGGTGATCGTGGAGGTTTTGGAGGTTTTGGTCGTGGTGGCGGCAATAACGACAATAGTCCACCTCCTAAACTAATGAACTTAGATACTGGATTCTCTAGAGGCGGTCGCGGTTTCCCAGGAAATAACTTTGGTGGTCGCGGTAGCTTTCGTGGAAATAACTTTGGATTTAGGGGTGGACGAGGAGGTGGGTTCCGAGGCCGAGGATTTTTTTAAGGAAGATAGCATCTTTCTTTTTTTTCTATTAACTTTTTGTAAAAAAATATTTAAAAAAAAAAAAAAAAAAATTCTGTAACAGAACAAATTCCATTATAATTTTAGCAAATATGAATAAAGATTACTTAATTATAATGTTTTTTAAAAGCTTTTCAAGTTTTTAATCAAAGCTTAAATGTAATCTCTTATAACCATGTTTCATATGAAAATCTGATGACAAATAAATTTGACGTATTAAGTGTATTGTAACGTATTTTTATTTTGGTGAAATTTTTAATACCTATCTTTTTTTAAATGTTGACTTGTTTGTAGCAAATTCTTTGATTTTATGTAATGAGATGAGTATATTTATAACTTATGTAATCGTAAGACTCAGTAAAAATATAATGGTTAAAATTTCACTTGTAGTTTAAATCATTTATGATTAATTACATAAATATTATGTTTTACAATATTGCCTAAAAATTGAGTGTTAGCTATAGGGCTTTAACTTATACTTATGAAAAAAAATATCTAGACTTCAAAAATTGAAAGCGATTTTGGAGGTTAATCCCTCAGATAGCAGACTGTCTGCTCCACATAACAAACGCCGCGGCCGCGCCGTCTCTCAAATGACCGTGCATGCTGGGGCTGCGGTGTGCACATTGCCTCAAGTACTTTTTTCATAAGTATAACAAAATAAAAGCTTTCCTCATTCAAATTGTTTGCATATTTCCCTTGTTCTGCAATACTTATAACATATAAGTACTCATCGATGGATGACGAGTAGTGCTGAGACTGTTGAGGTTGCTGACCAGTGACCACAGATCCTTCTGACTGCATCTGCCCCAACCTAAATATGTGGTGTGTGTGTCATATTTAAAGCACTAAATTGGATAAAATTAAAAACCTGAATAAGGAACCATCGACACATCGCGAATCTTAATTATATTAAATCCTATGCCACTAAGGAGCGAAAAGTAAGCTGTGATCATCGTGAAATTTTAAACCGAAAGTGATGTGTCGATAAAAGTAACAAATGTACCCTTGTGCGTACTTATATACTCTTGACTCGTCTCACAATGATTATATAAATAACGTGTGCTCGTGTGTCAGTTTGTCTCTTCTTTCGGCTTAGGAAGCGGATGACAATGCTGCAGTTTGGGGGCGCGCTCGTCTGCTCGAACTCGAGGAGGACGCCGAGGCTCTCCTGGTGGATCACCGCGCAAAACTTTCTCTACTCGGTGAGAACGGCACAAACCGCGGCCACTGCTGCGGCCACGGCTAACACGTCCCACGAAGCCGAGCCTGCCAAAGTGCCTCTAGTACGTGTTGACTCTGACTAAGTATACTTTGACATGTTCCCTGATTTCTTTTTCTTTGGTGATATTTAACGTTAGCAGGAACTATCTTTATCCAATTTCATAAGCGAGATATGTCGCTGTATCAAGGTATTGATGAATGATATTGTTTGTAGGAAGAAAAAGTTGTCGAGCATGGCATTCAAAGCCAAAAGAATCCTTATCCCAATAAAAGAAGAATGTTTACAAGTAAAGCACTTCTCACAGCAACGTTTAAAAGCTTGAGCATAACTGCAGAAAATGCTGAATCAGATAAAATCAAGGAGCTCAATGAAAGGGTAAGAGCTGCTCAAACGGTTGATGAAATTTTAGCAGTGACAGACGATCCCGAATTTAATAAACAGAATGCAGCTACCATCATACCTATTCTGTATAACTGGATAAGTGATGATAAAGTTAAAATAAGTGATTTGCAGACAAACAACAAGTTTTGGAAAGCTTTTAATAAACTAAGCACTTACAAGAGACCACCTTTGTATAGAGACTATGATGATCCGTTGAGTCAGCATTCAAATCTGCAGATTGAAAAAATAAATAATTTAAATACTTATCAGCTGATTACAGTGAGTATAACTTAATTGACTTTGTAAGTAAATAAAATTTTTATTTGAATTTCAATTTTTTGCATAGGTCTTATCAAAACTAGCAAGTAAACAGCAAAGAATAACTCCATTACTTCAAGCAGTAACTGCTAAAATAGCCGATTCAAACGATTATCTTAACGTAAAATTGCTAGCGGATGTTTTGTACAGTGTAGCCGTGCTTACTTTTTACAATAATGTAGGAATAAATTTGGATAATATATCCCTTATAAGTCTATGACTTTATAAATATTATCAAATGTTGTTTTTTTTTTTTTAAGGTGTTAATGGAAAAAATAAGTAAAGATTTACTGGACGTTATACCTTCAAACGAGAACAGTGCAGTTATAGGATCGATTTTAAGATCCATAGGTGTGTTACGTTACAGAGATGAGTCGTTACTCGATTCATTATCTACATGGATTGTTGATCACAAAGAAATTATCAGGCCTCAAGAAATCCACAATTTTTTTATGACATTAGCGCACCTAGGATATGTACCAAAAAATTTTAACGAGCTACTGCAGGTAAAAAATTAATATTTAACCAACAATTTAGGAAAAAAAAAACCATTCCGCGTTTTCACTTATAAATTTTTATTATATTACAGAAAATCGTTTTACCATTGAAAGAGAGTGATATGTGTGATAGCAGTGAATGGTTAGACGTTATTTGGGCTTTGACCATCTTAAATCAGGCTACTAATGTACAGTTTGAGTCAGTTTTAAATAGTGGGTTCTTAAATCGGTTATTTGGTAAGTAGCGTTTTTCTTACGAAAACTTGTAATAAATTAGATAATGCTTGATTTTTTTTTTAATTATTATTATTATTATTTTTTTTTTCAGATACATCCGAATACTCAATACCAAAGTCATTAAAAATATTAAATATAAACGCGGCAGCGCAGCTTTTGCCAGATTACAAGGGTAAATATACCATCTCAATGCATACATTTTTTTCATAATAAATATTTTAAAGAATGTAGATGAAAGATAAAAACCGTAATTAAAATATTTTTTTAGGTTCACTACTTCCTAAAGATTCTCCCCTTTTCGATATTACATTATTGTGTTCTAAGGAGAAACGAGATCTTTCAAATTCTGTAAATAGTGCATTAAAAATATTATCCCCTGCTAACTCTATTAATTTAAATATTAATACTAAAATGGGATTCTCGATAGGTAAGTAATTCCAATATGTTTACCTATCTCAATATTAGATTAATTTTCCAATCACGAAATTGATTCGATAATTATTTTTTCAGATGCCGAAATTTGCGTAGATAGTAAATGCTCCCCTGTTCCTATCAGTGCAAAGTCAGTTAAACAGAAAGGAGTATTCAGGATAGCGATTCTTACTTGTTGTTATCATGATTTTTGTCGAGGAGTTACCGAGGTCGTGGGACCTATGAAATTCTATTGCAAATTGTTACAGATCCAAGGATATAAAATAATGATAATACCTTACACGGATGTGAATTTCAAAGACAAACTTATTCAAAGAGTGCAGTATATTAACGATAACATAAAGAAGCTTGTGAAAGTTTCTAGTAAATAAATTTTATTGTACAAAAATGGTTTTGTTTTTGTTTTTTTTTTTTTTTTTTTTTTGTAAATTTGAAAAAAGGAAAAACTTGATGTCAAGTGGTATTGTGTATTATATATACATTATATTTGATATGCATATTACGACGAATTATCAAATGCATCGTGTTAATTGTACACAATTGGTGAAACATATTCAAAATTGTAGATAGTAAACGAAAGTTTATTACAAATGTCGAAAAAATTATGTTTCACGTTAAAAATAAAAAAATTTTTTAAAAATTTCTCACTACTTGGAGTAATTTTAATGCCGTTTTTTAAAAATATTACAAGAAATAACTATAAGTTTTTAATTGAATGGTACAACCACTGACCTAATTATACATGTATATATAACATTTTGACAAAAATTGGATTCAGTAAATTTTTCATTGAAAACTATGAATGAATTTTCAACAAACAAATGTGCTTTAGCACTTAAATGTAAAATCAAAGTAATAACTTCATCCGAAATTCAAAAGTCATTTGTACTCCAATTTGTCGATCAGTTTCTCCTTTTCTCACCCCACCCACATAATCATCACAAAATCTCTCCGGCAAATGACGTAACGCAATGGCTGCTCTCTCTCCGGCGACATGACAGTATAACGACGATGTGTGCGGCGCATGAATGAGTTTTATGCAGAGACTCTCTGCCAGAGAGCTGTGTGTGTTGTGGTGTTTCGTGTCGTGGCACATAAATTAAAATCCAAGGCATTCCTTGCTAAATTGCCAATAATAATATTTAATCTTGATGTGTGAGGCTCTCGTCACCAGGACCAATAACTCTGCATAAAAATGGTAAACTTCGCTGGATAAAACATCCACATATTTCGGAGTCATCTGCAACGAGTTGGCAATCTATTGGCTGTAAAGGCTCAATTTAAATACTTATTTCTTTTGACAGATGCAATTTATGCTGTTGTTCAGCCGTCAGGGCAAACTGAGGTTGCAGAAGTGGTACGTTGCACATCCGGACAAGCTCAAGAAAAAGATAACCCGTGAGCTGATAACGACAATCCTTGCCAGAAAGCCAAAGATGTCGAGCTTCCTCGAGTGGAAGGACGTCAAGGTTGTGTACAAGAGGTACCTACCTAATGTTTTATTTAAATATTTGTATGAGCATAAGTAATTTATAGTATCAAAAGTTATACATCAAACATATTTTGCAGGTATGCGAGTTTATACTTTTGTTGTGCTATTGAGCAAAATGACAATGAGTTGTTGACACTTGAGATCATTCATCGTTACGTCGAGTTGCTTGACAAATATTTCGGCAGTGTAAGTTAACAAGCCTTTTTTCATGAACTTATTTTTTGGCAGCTAAATTAGTAATGGGTGTTATTATCTATGTACTATGGAAAACAATTAACTTCATTAGTAGGTGGTGTGGTTCCCTCAATATTGTTTATTTGCAGTTTATTACAATTTTTTTCTACTATTACTTATTTATTTACGCCTTTTAAAAATTTTCAAAGTAATATGTTATGTACAATTTGATGATTATTTCTAATAGTTATTACAATGATTAAATGGACAATGTTTCCATTGATTGTTATAGGTTTGTGAATTAGACATTATTTTCAACTTTGAGAAAGCATATTTCATACTCGATGAATTGCTTGTTGGAGGCGAGATACAAGAGACCAGCAAAAAAAATGTTCTCAAAGCAATTGCTGCACAGGATCTATTGCAGGAGGTTAGTTACGGAGATGTTCCCATTGAATTGTGATTGTTGTTTAAATGTTTATTCCCTCCCTCGACCTTTGGATCATTATGGTTTATTTATTTGTATTTATATTTTTATTCAAGTTTTAAGGTGGGTCAAGGTTTTATGTGGGAGAAACACCATATGTTATAGAATTTTTTTTAGATATATTTACAATGGTTATTTACACTCATAGTTACACTTCATATTATTTGTACAGTGCTACATATAAATCGATCTAATCGAAAAGGAAAAAACGATTTTATCATTAAAAACACATACAGTACAATATTTTAAGTAATACAAATAGTTGATCATTCAATTGTTCTCAACAAAAAATGCTTTGAACTCTATATGTGTTAACATTCAAAGCATTACTGTGCCAAAGTGATCCATAGGCTTGATTGTTTCCTTAATAACATCTAACATGAAAATGTCGTGTAAAGTATATGCATCTTTTTTGCATTATTAAAAAAAAATTGCATGGAAAAGATTACGCCTCTTTCTCACATAACCGAATAGTGCAACTAAAAAATGTGACAATTCAAAAAAAATGTTGAAATGTTTCCATCTAGGGTATTCATGTTTGTGTGTGTTTGTGTTGTTATGTGTTTTCACAGCATGCAAGTAATGTACAAATTTACACATTTTTTTACTTACGTCGACTAAAAATGTTACTTCAATCAAAAGTGTTGAGGTATTTCTAGCCGAGTTGGTAAAAAAAAATACGCACACCACAGCAAGAAATAGAGAAAATCTTAGATAATGTGCTCATCAGGCAACAATTACTTAATCTAAAATTTTCTTTACTCTTGTTTTCCAAGTGCGTTATGTACTTATGAAAATTAAAAATATGTACATACAACAGCTTAATGAAATTTATCAAGTAACTTTTAGTAGTAGAGCATAATACAGCGCATAAGATAACAAACGTTTGATAGTTTCGGAAAAGTCAGGATTTATCAAGTACGAAAAATGTTCTGTCACCCAGCATTCAATCTCAAGCCGGTATCCAAAATAAACAAACGATACATCTTATTATTTTTATTGACCAATAATATTTACTTTAGTGTAACCAATAATGGATATTTAAATTATAATTTTCAAAAAAGTTTAAGTAAATCCATACAGAATGAAAATCTTTAACTGGAAAATGAAGTAAAGCCAAGTTTTAAAAATTATTTAAGATTTGCACAAAATTTAATTTATTTATACATAGTATGTTAATATTATAGCGCATGTTATGTCCTTAATTTTCAAAAATCATGCAAATTCATACTTTGAATAAGCATTTGTGACCGATAATTACGGTAATAATGCCTAGTATGTTTGAATGTTTGGATATTTAACAACAAAAACGATGATAGATCTCATAAGTTTATCAAACATCTTGCCTCAAATGTTTTATATACTCTTGAAAGATATAACAATTGCATTACTAAAATTCACTATTAAATACATGTATATATATAAACACGGATATTTTTTTTAAATAACTATTGAAATCACGTAATATTTACTTTTTATTGATATATTATTTTCTCACTAATATACTTACAAACGTCAATACAACTGATTCCCCTATCAATGGCAAATAATACTCTTAATCTTAATTTTATACGATGTAATGTGCTTATTTTGGTTGATGCATTATAACGCATTAGCATTTGAGTTGGCGTATTCAATAAACAAAGGGGTATTTTTTAGCTCCACTCAAAATAACATGCATTTAATTTTATATTTTAATTCTTCGTAAATTAAGTACAATGAAAGATAAATCCTTTTATATTCATCAAACCATAACACCTTAAAAATCTTACAACACTATTAATATTATTGACTCATTTCGTATCTAATTCGAATGATATTTTGATGCATTCAATATTTATAATGACGTAAAGTAATTTATTCAAGATCGTTGTTCAATGTAATTTTTTTTTTAATTGAAAAACTTAATAAAGTGCTTTTTATCAAACTTAAACAGAGCTTTTACAGCTTATTTTTTTTTTTAATTTTTTTTTAATAAGTATTTTAACGTATAAGGTGTGTTTGCAAGTGATCCTGCTTGGTAGAGTGTGCGTATTACAATCCACCGTGTCGTCTTGTATTTGTCTTGGTCTTTGTTTAGTGCGTATCAACAATTTTGAAAAATCCTATGTTGAAACAAACCATCTTAAATAATTGGTAACCAACCAAATTGAATAGAAAAATAATTGGAAATATTATTTAAAACATATTAATACAAATGCTTGAATCCACTATACATCTCCCGATAAGAGTTATCTATTCAATTTCACGGTACCCTCAACAAACATTTTTTTTTTTTTTTTATTACTAGTGAAATTTTGCATACCCGGATATGTGAGATAAAATCTACTTGAAATCAAGTCGACTACCTCAATAATAAAATTAATTTGAAAATGTTTGAAAAATCCAACTACAAGCTGCAATTATATTGAACTAATGTAATAGATGCTTCAATTGAAGTCGTTCTTTTGTGTAAATTTATTTCATCGTTATTAACAGTTTTCAAGTCTTGATAACACAAACACGTAAAATGGAAATAAAATTTGAGTAGTCGTTGAATAATAATTTGTCATATCCGGTTAAGCAAAGTAAAAAAACAAAAAAAAAAACAAAAAAAAAAAAAAAACCGTAGTTACTAAAGAAGGAGTATTTGTTTCTGGAAAAGGACGAAGCTGTTGAAGGTGCACTACGAGATGTAGGGCTTTTGTAGACGCGATGTAACAAAAGTAATAACTGACGTTTCCAAATCAAATATTATAAAGGATGGATCCTCTTCGCCGAGCCCGAGAACACAAACAAACCCATAAAATGGTGCCGAGTGGAAAATGCGTCTTTGTTTCGCTCAACATCGTCGGCTGCGCGCGTCTCAATCTGCCCTTCCTACACACACTTTTTCTCCCTCCATCGGAAATTATTCATTTCATGCTCGTGACACGTAGATTTAACGATAAGAAGCAATTTTTCGCTCCGAGAGTAAACAACAAAACTTTGGATGCTCGATACATTCATGTGAGAATATTAATATCGTCGGCCTGGAAAAAGTTATCCGTTTAGTAAATCGAATGTAGCTCATGACGAGTCTCAACGTAATGTGCCAAGTGCTCGATCTTATGCAGCACGAAACGCGAAACCATAACTTGACGAAATCTCAAGGGTTACCGCACAGTGTCAAAATATAACTAAATACAAATGTGCCATTCGTGGATACAGTTACTTAATCCTTGATGCACAATCTGCTATTTTAAATGCATTCCATCGAGTTATGTTTGCGCTTTTTTTTATGCGTTGGTTCATGTGCGATATAATGCGAGTCGAGATTTTCACAGTTTCGATTTTGTCTCGAAATAATTTATATTTTAGTGAACGACTGATGAAAAAAAATTACCAAGTTTATAAAATACGAACGACATTTGTATATCTTGTATCCCAAAAGTGCCACAACTCATTCCACGTTTTCGAAAGGCTGATGTGTTCTTCCGTTGTACCCAATTAAAAAAAAAAAAAAAAAAAAAAAAAGTGATATTTATTTGAACACAGAATTTATTATTTGATAGAAAAATTATAGAGTAAAATTAAATGAAAAATTCAGCACCAAGGGATTGAAATTCATAGAAATAAATAGTAACTATAGCAATGTGTTGGTATAAACCATTCATGTACAATATATTGACGGATAATCCGATTTTTCCAGGATTTGATTGATAGATTTGTCGCTTATTATTACTTGAGTTATTATAGGTATTTTGATGCATTTTAGCGCGTCAAATTAATATTTATGTGTACGATTTATGTCGTTTTATACCAAGATGACAATGTCTCAACAATCATTACATAAGTAAGCCATATTTTTGTACAAACATATTATATACCCATCCACACATCGATAATGCGTATGTGTCCAACTTAAACTTTGTAATGATGATTATTATATTAATGACAAACAAATGAATCGAACGATAATATAGAGAGAAAGCGTCCAAATAATATATATATATATATTTTTTGTTAACACAATAGTATAAGCTTCGGTATATTCAATGATGTTTAGTGAATAAGATTGCATTTATCACTTAAAAATATCGAATACACTAGTAATAATTATATATATTTTCTAACGACAGTAGCAACTTCTAGATGTTATTTCAATACCTGTCTACAGTTTAGTCAGCAGTATATTACCAAACATACAAATTCAAAAGAAAATTATTTGTTTAATCTTAAGAATACATTTTAACCCATGCGATCTCCTTGCAAATTTATGTCGATTCCAATTGTCAATGCACTAAACTTCGTTTTTCTCGAATTACTCAACAATAAAGCAATCTTTTTAAGTAGTAATTAACATCTTACTTTTTTTATTTATTATCTAATATTATTAAAACTGTTGGTTAATATAAGTTAATAATGTGCTTCATACACTTACCTCCCTAAAATTGGTATAAGATTAATTTGTTTTGTAAATGTATTTGTGAAACAAATTCTTCACATTTATACTAATGGGTATTTTATACCGTAGCAATATAGTGATTTTAAAAAAGTGCAGTAACGAATGTTTGAATAGTAGCGTATTTTTGAATACACAAAAAAACGCTTTTTTCGAGTGTCAAATTATTAACACTTTTCAATTATTGCTAACACTATTTACATCTTTTTATTTTACCATTTTTACTTTTTATGTGCATATTTGTGTGTTAAACCATGAGAAAAAAAAAAAAAAATTATATACATGACGAGCAAAGGCTTTTGTGTGATATGAAAAGGGTTCAGTTCATCATTTGAAGCTGCTACAAGAAGAGAATAATAAGCTTTTTCTGAAACGTAGGTACGTGTTTGTTATACTCTACATTCAATAATATCGTGCTGTTTATCATTGCTGTACATATTTGACGATGATATTGTTAAATTCCAACGCGCAAGTGCAGCATCAAAGTAATTGACCCCTATTCATGTTTTGAGCACACTCGTAAAAAATGTTCTTGTCATCATATAAAATACATAATAATAATAATATTCACTAAAACCTAAATTATTAAAGTTTGGCTACTGAATTTTTTGCCCATCATGTGACAAGAACATTTTTTAAAATCATGACATTACTGATAAGTGCACTTATTAATAAAATTTAGTAACGGGAGCGATCAATGTCTTGTTGCAGGAGGAAACACCGCAGGGCTTCTTCGAGGATCATGGGCTCGGATAAATCGGGCCAGCAACAAACTCTCGGCACTGCTCTTTGCTTTTTTTCTCCCTCCAATCGATTACCGGTTTTTAGGAATCGGTGTCGATACAAATTATTCTTTACGCCAAGAGAGAAGATGAGGGATGAAGGAAGATGGAGAAGAAAAAAAAGGGCAGATAACTTTTCTTTCCGACAAGACTTTGAAAGCAGCGGTATTTCGTACTCCTATTTTTTCGTAGTATAATTAAAAGCATGTGGTGTGATTACAGATGCTTTTTTGTGTAAGAGCAGATGAGCGAAAAAAAAAAACAAAAACAAAAAAACACGTTTTAGAGCGATTGATCTTTTTCGGATGATCTTTGGTATTTTGTTTGAAGTAATTAAGGGGTGCTATGAAAAATCGCTTGGAAGTATTAAAAAATTCAACAGCAAGGAAGTGAATTTGCTGACGTGATTTTAAGTTATTAAACTAATAAGTGTACTTAATATTACCGCTCATTTACTGAAAAATCATCAAAAAATTAGTTTATTCCGTTTTTGAAACTGTACTAACGCAACAACCTAACTAACGAATTTTTACAGTGATATTTTCAAATGGTATTTACTTATTGTATGAATCAGTATAATAGTAACATGTTTAGCGTTATTGATCGACTGAAAAAATTTTGCCTTCAAACGCAAAAATATATATACATCTAAAGCACCTGTAATAGCAGCACCTATTGACCTATTATTTATTAAGTTTTATTAATGGACACCTAAGATTATTCTTTAAGTTTATATACATGTTTAAAAACCTACTAGCTATTTCGTTGACAAGAAAAAATAAACAAAAGGTTTAAAAACACTGTAGTATCCTTGTTTAAGGGTGTATCCTAAAATGCTTATTGCACTTAATATGATATAGAGCACCGAATAATTTCGAACCCCACAAGTGCTCCAAAGCTTACACTCATTCGTAGCCTGTCAGCAATACAAACTTATACCCATACTTATATGTATATACGTATACATGTACACTTGCTCACTGCATCGAAATAATCGCGATAGGAATTTTCTCACCTATACGATGTAATGTGCTTATTTTGGTTGATGCATTATAACGCATTAGCATTTGAGTTGGCGTATTCAATAAACAAAGGGGTATTTTTTAGCTCCACTCAAAATAACATGCATTTAATTTTATATTTTAATTCTTCGTAAATTAAGTACAATGANATATATATATATGTATAAAAATGAAACATGACAGAACAAGTTAAGTTTGTTGTTATAATTACGGTACAGATGAATTGATTGTTATTTCTTCCTACAATGATTTATACAATTGAAATGTTCAATAACCCACAGGCAATGATAAAGATTTCACCTTCGCAAACGTTTGAGAAAAGTATTTCGATCGATTGTCATGTACACGATCTACAGCTGTAGTCACATTGTACGTGAGAAGTTCCGACATTCAAGTCTTAGTTTTTATTACTTGTTTTTAACCTATTTGATGATCAACGATTATCATTATTGTATTTTAGCGTTATAATATATTACATACACTATATCGTAAGCAGTTAATTAAACAGTTACAATTATTAATAAGTACCATTGAATATGCAAGTTTTTAAATTTATTAGGAGGTACAAAATTGTTTTGAATCACTATATTGTTTTATAAAATTTTAAGAGTCGTTTCCATTAATATTACTATTATTACTCTTAAAAATGCCTATTCACACTTTGACCCAAATTATTTCAAAGAAAAAGGTAAAAAGTTGTCAACGTCATAGTTATTATCGTTATTGGTGTAAAAATTATATTCTATGGAAATCGATTATTCCGTAACTATACGATAGACTATATACTTTTGTCTCCGTCCATACAGTAAAATTTGATGTAAATGATATGTACAACGTGCTCATTGCTCATTTTTGTAATGTTGTAAACATTGATGTGTTATATCATTACTATATTACAAATATTTTGACCCTTGTGTATTTTATCTTGTTTCATTAGACTTAGTCCATAAATGACTAGTTACTACGAAGTATTGTAAAAAAAACTGATGTACAATAAAGATTTTTTTTAAAAGTTTGTATTGATTTGAATATGAAATTATAGTGTCATGTCAATATACGAAATTATTATTTTTTTTTTTTACTTCGACAAATGAAAAAAAATATTTGCTAAAGTTGGAACATATAAAAAGGTACTACTTAAAAAAAAGCATCATCGATCACAAATCCAGAATATTTTGAACTCATTCTCCAATTATTGGTAATACTCGAGTTCATGTACTTTGATTCTCCGAATATCGCGAAAAATCCATGCATACTTGACGAGATCTGAATTAGTTTATACTTTTAATAAATAATAGGCTTGCATACGTTTACCGTATTACTTCATTCGTTGTAAGTACATTTTTAATCAGCATATGTATATGTATCTCGCTTTCGTGCGGGTATGTTTACTTCTTTATGCTCAACCACATGTAAATACTTTGTTGAAGCTTTGATGAGCGTTGCATTGGGCACAAAATGTAGTTTTCAATTTTTGGCTCGATAATGCAGTTGTTAAAGAACAACGATTACGCTAGGTTACATGTCGGGCTCAAGGTAAGCGCTGAGCGCTGATTTTTCAATTTAATTTGTACTCTATAGATGATTTGAATCACGTATTGAGAGATGATAGTTTGAGAAAATGAGATTTTTTAAACAATGTTTAACTCTTTAGCTGTACAAATTAAAAAAAAAAAAAAAAAAATCGACCACGGACAATTTATGCAAAATAAAGTACGTTCAGGAAGATAAAACAAAACTATCCACGCGCGAAAATCTGAAAACCATCCACATCCTTGGAAAAGCTGCACTTGTGAGACTCAGCAGCAGCAAAAACATCTTCGCTTTCAGATTAGCATCGTCATGCGATCGATACGCTCGCAATTTTTCAAAAGATCCTCTCACCTTCACTTCTCGTGTTCAGCTTCAATGATATATACATACAGCCGTACGAATGGTGGTTAATGTAGGTGTACACTAAACAACCCGGGCGAGAAAATAGTTGTTTGGTGTTATGTTGCATATACTTTCTTTGAGGAGCAACCAACATTTATTTTTATTGAATTATATTTTTTATTTAAATTATTTCTCGGACGTCGATGTTTAACCGACGCGTGAATCGAGTGAACGGAAAAAAGAGAGAAAAAAATGACGGCAGTCCGATAACTCGATTCAAATGCAATGTGCAGTATGGACAGTTACAGATAATCAACATGATTTCTCATGACGATCAACGTGCAGTAGGACTCAGTTGATGAAATAATGGTCATCCAAGTAGAAAAAGCCGTGTTTGGTAAGACCGACCTCGTACTTTGAAACGGACGGCAGACGGATATTAGGATACGATTGGACTATCGTGAAACAATCAACTGTATGGCTATTTTTGATTTGGGTCCCCACGAGGGCGTGTATGGAGAAAAAAAAAAAAAAAAGAAATTGTTCGATTTGTTCGCGTAACAAAAGCAGTAGTGCGTTTTAAAAAGAGATATGTAATCGATTGGTGCAAAGCAACGAGAAAGCAAAAATAAAAATTGAATGACCGCATATATTATAGCTATAAGCTCCAATAATGGTGTAACGTCCACCATGTGTACAGGTGTTATAATATAATTACACCCGCGCATCTCATTGGGTTAATAATTTATCGCATCTTGCGTTGCATCAGGTGAAACAATGTAATAAGCACACGTATACTGTAAATATGTGCAGTCAATAGTGGATGATTCATGAGGTATGTATATAAAGCGCTCCGAGAAAAAAATATTTTGACAGGAGCACGCGGGGGTGGGGGGATGAAAAATAAGGGGTGATATTCCAAGAGCTAGAGAATTTACGCATATCATTTCGGAAAATGCCGTGCCCTACATATATGCGTGTAGTGTGAGACTGAGAGTTAAAGTGATGTGTTACATATCCATGGGTAATTATATACACGACATATGTGCATAGAAGGGGGGAGGGGGACAAACCAAAAATCCGTGACGTCAGTAAGTGTCGCGCTTGCGCGTGTAGCCGATGTGTGTGTTCATATATAGGTTGTATGATGTATGCACATCATATATATTATGCTCTCTCGCTACAGTCACGCGTGTACATACATACCCGTATTACCCCTATATGTATACGCAGAGAGACACAAAGGATGTATAGGTATAGAGAGTACATACCGAGGAGGCAAAATGTATAATAAACGAAGAGAATAGCCGTGTATACGCTCGTTTGCGCGTTTCCCTGTTTACCTGGTGCTTGGCTTTTTTTTTTCCCCCTCTCGTTCTCAGCGTTCTCGAGCTTGCGCCCTCGAGCTTTTTCTCCTCTTCCTCTATTTTTATCTCTCCCTCGTTTTCGTACAGCTGGGGCCGTGCCGCGACTGCCGCGTGTACAAGTATCGCCCACACACGGGCGCACGGGCGTCCAGACCGCGGAGTCGATATTAGGTCATATACAGGCACGGAATATGGAGCTAACAGGAAGAAGAGTATATACGTACGGAGCAAGGGGAATAAAAGCTGCAAGCTCGACGCGCACAACGAGCCTCTCGAAAGCTCATTGTGGTGTCGTACAACGCGGCATATGGTGATGATGGAGCTCGCACCTTCGACAGCCCCTTTTCCTATCGGCGATACAAATGTACTTTGCAAGATATATATATGCTTGTCCGACAATTTATAAATATATATGTGTATATAAGTACATACAAAGTCCTTGTCTCTTTTTTTTTTCCCTTGTAATAATATACATGCATAGACGGGCCACGACGGCTTATTCGACGATAGCGGGCGAGTACGCGCGCGCATATTACTTATGTTGTGCTCACAGAAGAGAGGAGCGTATTCAAGCTTAACACGTATTCTGGCGCGCGTTTACTAGTTTCCATCCGACGAGCGAGCGACGGACACAACGCGGGTGTGCGTATGTATGTGTACCTATACGTACTACATAATAATATTATAACTATATATACATATCTGGGTACATATTATACGTAGAGAACTTACACCTCCAAAGCTCCACTTTTTATTATAAGTATACGCTACCTATAATTACCTAGACTAGCGTGGTTTTTTTTTTTTTTTTTCATATATATAATAGCGCGATTCCGAAGGGTTGTATATTCATTGTACTAGTGCGATATTAATGCTGTTGTATTCTGATATACGGTAAGCTGAATCTAAAACAACGAGTCGTGTGTGTGTGTGTGTGTACCTACTGCCTTGTGGGGTGATTCGTTTGCTGTGACAATTAGTGCCACACAAGTATTGTAGTGCTTATGTGTGCGGAGAAGTAGGTATGTACAATTTTCATGGCTTGGAATGTGTGTGCGTGTAGCCGAAAGCTCATCCGAGAGTGAAGAAATGCCGAGTCGAGAGGAGTTTAGTTGCGCTTGCGGAGCTTTTTTTTGATAAAAAACAAAAAAAAATAATTGAGCGCGTAGTGTGTCCAACTCTGACGAATCTATGCTATTGAGTACGAAAAGAGATACATATGTATATATGTATATGCGGGTACTTTTCGTTCTCGGTTGATAATTTTCTTTCTTTTTTTCACAATTTTTACACGGCAAGTAGAACGTTAAAAACATATACATTACGCGCATATTTACAATGTATACTTTGTTTATCTGAAATTGGTGACAATAACAGAATTTTATCGTTACACGCTTGTCATTCTTCATTCCCACGTACGTCAATCTATATATATATATACTGCACGTAGATTGGAAATTCTCTTGTTATGTTCTTTCGATACAGTGGATAAGTGTAAGTACGAGAGGCACGATGCCTTGAACGGCCAACCTATAAATATGTTTCATGGTGATTTTGTAACCAAGAAAATAAACTCACTCTTGGATATTTATCGATTATAAGTATTCTAAATTAAGCTGCGCGTTTCAACGGTATACATACACCCATACCTATTATACCTATATTATTACATGCATACAACATAAGTACACCAATACCTTGAGAGTGGGAGAGAGAGAGAGAGCACGCACATAACATAACCTAGCTTACCCTGCTCATGTATACGATTAAAGGCCGTGCCGTGCAGCATATATATATATTATTTTCAATACATTCACTGCAACCAGCTTACAAGTAGTATAATACAAATTATAGACAGACGGCCCCCGATAATCCATACTTGTACTACTGCCGTCTTGTATTTTTTGCACCAAGTTTTCTTTTATGTTTTTTTTTTTTTTTTTTTTTTTTTTTTTTTTACTACTGCACATTCATTATCGAAGCTTCACTTTTTAACAATTTTAGTTTTACGTGTTGCCGAGTGTTGGGTCCTGCATACAATAACTACCGACTCTTTCAACGTGTACAACTGAATGGTAGGATAAATATAAGTTTGCCGTGATCGTGCCATTGGTTCGTTCCGCTAAAAGGGCCAACGAAGAAGCTTAAGCACGTCTCAGATTATTCCTGTGACTTTCTCGCTCAGCATACAATTACCTATGGATATGTGAAATTTAGGTATATGTACGGGTCAGTACCGCTCTGAGTATACTGGAGAGTAGGAAACGCTAAGTATAGGGTAAAATGACGCACACGAAGTTCATGTGATTTCGCTAAAATACACACACACACACACATACACACACACACACACACACATGTGTGACACGTATGTTTACGCACGTGCAGTTGATTAAAATAACAAACGCATTCGAAGATGCTGATGGCATAAGAGCACGTCAATCCAAGTTTTTTTTTTTTTTTTTTTTCCAATCTCCTTAACGCGAAAGACTGAAATTAAAGACAAGCATTTTGTGTCTTTGACAAAGTATATAGATGAGATACACAAAATTAGCAAATAGCATATATATATATATATATAGAGCGCGCGGTGGCTCGGTCGGCTAGGTCGTGGATTAGCACGCGGGAGACTGCGGGTTCGATTCCCGGCCATAGTGCGACTTTTTCGGGCAAGTACCTCTGTGATTTTTCGCATGTGCTTTTTCACCACGCAATGCTCCTCGAGGAGGGTTTAGGCGACCTTCTCGCAGCAAAATTGCCTTATTTCCCCCTACCCCCCGCCCAGTAATGTGAGGCCTCCTATCCCTTTCCTTGTCCCTTTCCCCAAGTGCTAAGTGCCCATAGTAGTGCCCTTATTAAAAGGAGCCGGACGTAAAGCACTATAATATAAATATATATATATACGCGTGAGACTCGAAATCTAATGGGAAATTCCTAATTAATTCGCGCAGGTGTATTTATATTGCTTAAAGTACGAAACGAGTGAGGACGATTTTTTAAATATAAATTTGACGTGAGACTAGAATAGTTACATATTATCTACATGTCAATGTTGCGCACATTCATCAACGCCTTGTAAGGTACAATGCTTTGTACAGCATAGCTGAAGGTACAATTTCTTGTTGAAATAAGATTAAATTGTCTTACTTTGAGAAAAAAAGGAAATTAAAAAAATATTATCTTGTTTCAAGGGATTATATTTTACTTGGCACTGTTCTAGTAAATATTTTCTTGCTTCCAAGATATTTTTTCTCTCAGCGTAATATGGAAGCGAAACGAAATATCAAGTTTTGCACTATTCGATGTATTCAAAGGATGAATAATCAAACAAATAAAAATAAAGCTTCCAATGGCCTTTGTTATCCAATATTTATTAATCAAACAGACAAAGTTTCGCTTTAATTTTATATTTGATCCAATGAAGTTCTCAAAAAGTAGTTAAATAATAAAAAAAATAAAAAACTAAAATCATTAGAATCTTTATTTGACTATGCATTGATTCACGCATTATTCTATTAACCCTTTTTTTCCGTGCGTGGGGTATACAACGCGATGCTTTGATGCTTGAACTGTCATGCTTGTGCGCGAACTCGAGTAGAAAATGGATTTTACATCGTTTGCCGTTGCACACGGGCATCGAAGTGATAAGCTCGAGTTTTCTCTCTCTCTTCAGTTCGGAGTGTTCGGCTTCGAGCTACATCGATTTTTGTTGCCTATGTGTTTTATTTTCGTAAATTTTTCACGGTGCACTATGTTACTTACAACGTTTCCACGCAATAAATGGATGTATTATATACTTTCTGCTTTGGCAACCACACTTGCATACCTATACTTATGCTTGAAAAAATGTAAGGGTTATTTAAATGATGAATTTCCGACAGAAATGAAGGAAAAAAAATGATTTTGATACAAGTTTGTTGTTTCTCTTCATATATTATTAATAATCGCTGATGTGTTTGCATGTAGTTGTAGTTACTGCTACTTACAAATAAAACAACAGCGGATATAATTATATACTATGCCCGGTGTATACGTAATTGTAGCTGTACGAGTAAAGTGTGAAACAAAAAAATGTCACGAGATGGACGTACGACGAAATTTTACTGGCGCGATTAATAGCCACATTGAGCTGAAAACTTTGTCCCGTGGTTCATTGGTTTCGCGTATACACGAGCATCTCTTTCTCGTCCTGCAGAAATACGCGCATACGTGTGTGAGTGTATACAAACATGGCAAAGGCGCTCGCGGAGCTTTGAGCTCACTCCACTCGGACCCGAGAGTCAGTTTGAGATGCCATCAAGCGCACACTTACCTGCGCGTGTATCCACCTACAACATGTTTTCGCCAATACGTAGGTACTTACATCCCATAATTTCTCCTACATACATTTACCTCTGTTTGTCTCCTGTGCGCGATGGTATACAAGCACTCATGATTTGTCTATGTATATACCTACCTATAGTGCCTTGGCGCAGGCGCGCTTTGAAGTGCCAAAGGCCAAACTGTTGTCACATGCCATTCATTTTCTTGCGTACCTACTCTCTCTCTTCCTCCCTCATTTATACATATACCTACCTACCCAATCACATGGTACGTACCCGTACACGAGGATTACATGCACATTAGCTGGTGGTCCTCTATATATTATATCTCCCTCGCACACATTGAATGTTCACCCTCAAAGGGGGGGATGAAATGACACAAGGATGTATGGAAAATGATGAATTTTACGTTATTTTCTGTTTAAGGACTAACTCGAGGACGGAGGAGGAGCAAAGAAGACAAGATTGTAAAAAAAAAAAAAAAAAAAAAAAAAAAAGTACGGAGGATACGCAAAGCAGTTGGTGTGTATGGGTGTGTATAGAATAAGGGGAGCAGCGTGTGCCCGTTGCTTCGTGAATCCGTGAGTGCGTTTATATGAATATACTTACTCTCGCGGAGGAGGAAGAAGAAGAAGAAGTGCTGACAAAGACGAAAAGCATATACATATATACATATATAAATGTATAGAGAGGAGGAGGAGAACATATATTATAAGCAATAGAGGATAGTGTATAATAAGGGGTGGGTGCGCGCGCGCAGCCTCCCCCGATCATCAGCTGCCCTCTATTCTTCATCCCCTTGTCTCTCTCTCTCGTGTATTATTCGTCGAGCGGCCCAGCCACAGCCGTTGTTCCAGCCGGGACGACAGCAGCTGCAAGGATGGAGAGGCATCGGGTGTGACTGTGCGCGGATACGTAGGGACACACATGTACGCGTCTATCCATGAATGATGTATATATATATACATATACGAACGGACCAAGTATAAAAGTAGGGGCGCACGCTTGCGCAGCCGTTCAACGGGAGGGTGGCGTCGGCTAGCTGTACGGAGCGGGCTCGAGCGTCAAACGCGCACACCAGGAGGAGGGTGCAGGCCACGGGCAGCAGTAGTATTAGTCGAGTCGAGCCCCTGTCCCCGCGGGAGCGATTCATTGCGAGAGGGGAGGGCCCACGGCCATGCCAGCCTTGCTGGTTGTTGTTGGATCATCGGGAGCTACGAGCTCGGCGGCTGGATCACCGGGACCGGCCAGGAGCACCGGAGTCCCGAGCTATGCCCCCGTTGTCCCCTCGACCCGTCAACGAGGAGGATGAGGCTACCCGCGACCCCCCTTTTGCCAATTGCCGTCGCACCCGGGCTTCTTACGGTCACGCCGACCAACCCTCGACCGACACGGAAAGGAAGCACCACCAATGGAAGTGTAACCGCTCGCCGACACGAGGAAGCATCTTAAGTGGTGGTTGTGGTGGTGGTGGTAGTGATAGGCGAGCGCTTGGCTCACCACCAGCTGTTTTTGTTTTTGTCGTTGCCGAGTGGGTGCCAGAGGTCCTGCTCCTCGCGATGTCGTTGCCCGTGTTGCCCTCGTCCGGCCGCCACTCGGGAATCACGTAGTGCCACCCTTGCCGGCCACGCTACCAACAACAACAACAACAACAACAGCTCCTTCCGTTCGTACCCTGTTCCTTTGCTCATAAAACGTAGCCCCTTCCTCTTTCATTTCCTCGTTGGTATACGTAAATACACAGCACGCGTATACTGGTGACAACGGCACCGCTACGGAGGACCGAATAATCCAAAGGGGACGGCGATGAGCGATGAGGATCGCGGGTCAGTTGCCATCAGCCTCGGCAGTAGTGGCGCCGGCCCGTTACGGGCTCTCTTGTTCGTTATCTTGCTACTGGAGCCCCCGTTGAGGCTACCCGCGGCCTCAAAGTGAGGATCTGGCGCAGGTGTCACAACCCCAGCCGGAGCACAAGTAGCAGCAGCAGCAGCAGCAGCAGCAGCAGCAGCAGTAACAGTAGCAGCGGTGCGGTAGCGACCGGGGGAGGTACGGGCGGCGCTGGAGCAGGAGCAACAACAGCAGCAGCAGCAGCAGTTGCCACCGCCGCTGCTGCTGCACCGCCATCATCGACATCGCCGTCGTCGTCGTCGTCGTCGTCGTCGATGATGTCGTCTTCGTCAACCTGCGCTGGCTCCGCTGGTCCTCCTCCTTCTTCTTCGGTTGTTGTTGTTGTTCCTAGTGCTGGTAGTGGAAATATTGGTGCTGGTGGTAGTGCTCAAGAGGGAGCCTCGACGACGACGACGACGACGACGACGACGACAAGCGCCACGGCTGCGGTGGCTGGCCTTGTGGGTCCCGGCTACGGTCACACCCTCGCCAGAAAGACCTTCCACAAGCCGACCTACTGCCACAGCTGCACCGACATGCTCTGGGGCATACTGCAACAGGGCTACATATGCGAGGGTGAGTATACATATATATACTTTATTTTATTTTACGTTTTTGTTTTTTTGTTTTTTTTTCTTCATCTTACCTTCCCCTCGTCTTCGTCTTCCCTCGCCTACCCCCCCCCCTCCCTATATAGCCATCTATCTACAACGCGATTAGCCTAAGTACGACCGGAGGGTGATCTTTACTACTTGCTTATCGTAATACATTGACGTAGACTTTGTTTGCTTTTGCGATTCAACCGAGAACGGGAGGGAGATTTTTTTTTTTTTTTTTTTCCTTTCAAAGGAGTTCGGGGGGCTACTTATTTCACGAATGATTTTTTAAAATATCAAGGTGCCGTAAAGTGTTATCACTACTCGTTAGATATATCGCAGGGATGAAAGTATACATGTACACTCGATATAGTTTGTATGTGTTACGTGCATCAATGAATGAGGAGCGACTCGGTCGATTTGGCGAATTATCTCTCGCGTAATGTATCTTCACTTTGTGACTTCGAGGGCCAATGTATAGGTGCCCATGAAAACGTACGATTGCCCACTTGAAAGTAAAAGAGTCTTGAACAGCCCAGTAAGTATATGTATACATATACTTGGGTACTATATGCAGGGCGAGCCAAAGATGAATGAGAGCTCGGGACTTGAAATATACATGGGTACATAATATAGAGTCGATAGAAAATAAAGGAATGAATTGGATGGAAAACAACAAGCCCCGAAATGAGTGTACACGGGCAACACAATAAAAACACAATCCTCGGCGCCCATGTTGAAAGGATAGAGCAACGATTACTCGTGCCCGCCGCGACGAACAAAAGCTAGTTTTTTCTTTTTTTCACAAAAAAGAGCCGGGTCGGAGGGGGAGATGCTCTTTTTCCCTTTGATGGACTTTGAAGCTCCCTGTGTAAAGGTGTCTCGATGGATCACGGCGGCGGCTGCTGCCTCGGTGCTTTTGAGACATCCAATTGAGCAAGAGAGCCCTCATCCACCCCGGACGATCGGGAGGGAGCCCTCCTTCCATCGGACGGCTGCGTGCAACCCTTACTTTCTTTTTGTTCGGCCGAGCTCGATTTCTACCATCACGAATACTTTTTCCTTCCTCTCACATCGTTGCAGTTAATAATTACATACATACTGTGTGTACACCTGGACTACCCATTGGTGCGCAAGAGGTTTTCTTTATCGTATTATAACAACATCCCACACGCATACATCTAAGGATTTTATAGGTATATACAGGAGCACACAACGCCTCCGCGATAAAGCGTAATTTTATGCGATCACGTTTTAAGTTTCGTACGCATATGTATGTATATTATGTATTATTTCGTTTGAATACGTACACCATGAAATAAACGAGGGAAAAGAGATACGTAAAACAAAAAAGTTTGCCTCTTGCTCATAATTATTATAACTATGTCGTATATTTATACCTACATGGTAAAGTGTACCTATAATTATTAGATTTGGATTACCTATACATAATATAATACATTATCTGTATAATATAACGTGAGTGATTTTCAAGTGCAATACGTGTAAATTTGCTTATTGAGTACAAGATTGACCGTGAAATGGTATGATGAAGCCTGCGTAAAACTATGTACATATTGTGTATAAGGTACACCTCGATTTATGTTCTGGATACATATAAGTAGGTATACGGTGAGTGTCGCACTATAATACGTTGTAACGTGTAAGCCTATACCGCTTAACGGGTTAACATGTGTCCATACGTATTTGATTTTGTAATATTGGGATGTGAAATGAAAGGACCACGCGATTCACGAAAATAAAAACCGGATGATCGGCGTCGGAGGGGCTCGTTTGAACGGAATGAGAGCATACAATTGACGTTTTCTCGTTGGTTTAGCCTCTAAGGCGATTAAACCGTCTCCTCCTCTGTCTGTACACATAAACACATATTTCACCCCCAACGTAGTCTCGTTCAGGGGTTATATAATATGTATACATACAACGACACACGCTTATATATAGCTGCATCAAAAAAAAAAATATATATATATATTTGTAAAAGTACCCGAAGCGCGCGTGTGTATATACCTACCCCGTGCATTCTATAAAGTGCGACACTCGAGTGACCTTTTAGTGTTTAAGGGTGTACGCTCGAAGGGCTCGCTCGTTTAATCTGGCGTGTGCCCCTTTTGTACCCACTGTTCTAAAAATAATGACAACCAACCACTGCCCGTGTCTTATACATTACATGTGTATTTAATGCTCTACTGGTATAGATAGGTACCTATGTACTTGTGGGACCGGGTTTTTTGAGAGGAACAACAGGGGTTTGGGTGTTTTCAAGATTTTGCCATTTTTTTTCCTTCATCTTTTATTTATTTGGCCACCCGATCCTGCCTTGGTTAACCAATAAATCTTTGATCGTGACGAATGTCGATGTCGTTATTGTGTTGGCGTCGCTGCACAACGCAGTAGTTGTGTGATTTCGTGGCGTCAAGGCCAGCATTACTTTTGTAAATAGATACAACATCGGGTTATTATCCGGCTAATGGTATAATTATCGCCAGGTACAATGAAATGGTATAGTGGTTGTGCTGTTTCCGCCCCCTTTTTGCGCGAAAGTGGGTCTTCCTCTGGGTGAAAATAATAGCTCCGATCGAGCTTGGTGTTATACAGCTCCGAAAAAAAAAAAAAAAAAAAAAAGGGGTGCACACCTCGTACGTGACTCTATTTGCCAGGCAACGGTACCCGACCTACGAGGGAGCTCGGCCGGTCGATATCGTTTTAATTGAACGACGGAAATACGGAATCACGTCAGTTTGAGCGAAAAAAGGCAAAAAAAACAACCCCCTATAGGTATACCGAGGCAGTGATAAATTGAGTGGCCCGGAGGCACCGTTTTCCGTTCCGCGGGCTCGCGGAAAATGGAAAATTAAAAAATGAAGACAGCCAGAGAGAGAGAGAGTGCAGGATATAACAATATATGTATATATAATAGGTCGAGTCTCCCAAGGTGAGTCAGGAAACGAGAGCCGCAAGAGAAAGTTTTGCCCATCAGCTTGCCGAGCTAATTTGCGTGCGCCCACCGTGCGACGGAAGGTGCGATCACGCTGTTTATTTATTTCTCCTTTTGCTCCTCTCGAGGGTTGAAAAATCCAGTCCCACGTGGTAAAAAAAAAACAAAATTCATGATCGAACCAACTGGTATAAAACTCTTTTGAAACACATACTTATATACCAAGTCACAGTAAATAATTATGGTGTACTCACGTGTAAGTAAAAAAAAAAAAAAATTTTCTTGTTTCTCTTGACACCCAAGCCTTGTTTCCTCCCCGGAGCGTTCCTTTACTTTTTTCTTTTGCCACCGTCGTCCCACCAGCTGCAGGGCCTCCTCTTCTTCCTCTTTGACTATTTGCGCGCGCAGACTTGCTCCGAGGGACGTAACACATGCATTGTAAACCTGAAACGGAGTCTTATTGTCATAGCAAAGAGATAAAGTTTTTTTTTTTTTTTTTCATTCGGTCATGTGTATTTACACCTTTTAGACACCTTCAATTCGTAAGGCAGTAGTTACAGCTCGCTTTGGTCAGACGTGATGGGTCGCGTACTGTACACGTGGACTCTTCAGGCTCGTTGGTGCTCTGTGTTGTACAAGCTTCAGTGAGAAGAGCAAAAGGACAGAGAAAAACTGATGTCACACGGCACTGCAAATTTTTTTTTTTTTTTTTATTTTCCTCGGCATTATCAAAAAGCCCATTTGGTGAAAAAAAAAATACAGTTAAAAAAAAAAAAAAAAAAAAAAAAAAGAGCAAGTATTATTTTTCGGTACTTGTGACGAGTGGGTATAGGTATTGTGTTGCTCCCCCAAGCGTCGAAAATCGGTGCAATCGATGGTGGCGGCGCCGCTGTGAGAGAGCCCCTCAGCTGGTCGATGAAAAACAAGAGGAAATGACAAAAGAAAGAAACGAGATGATGTACACCCAAACCCAAGGATGGAAAGACGGACGAAAACACAGTCAAAATAGTTAGAGTCCCCTCTCTCTGTTGTCGGCTCGATCGAGCAATGGATGGCTGGGTGAAAAAAAAAAAAAAAAAAAGTAGGGGAAAGAGGGTCGATTTGTCCTGTATCCGGGCTAAGCTCGTGCCGATGAGTAAAGGAGGGAGAGAGGCCCATAAAACTGGCCGGCCTCCAAGCGAGGGGTGCATAACCCGCTGTACTCTGCTCTGCTCATCCGATGATGCTGGCGTGCACGCGGAGCATCAGCCTATGTACTGCCGAGGGAAGGGGTGCGGAGGCGTATGAATGGGAAAGTGTTGCTGCTGTCCATTCAGGTTCACTCGCAATTGCTTCGCCATTCTTTCTCCAAACCAATATACCCTCCGCTTCTCTCTGGTGCTGGTGAATGTGCAGCGTGTGGCCAAATATACGTATTATACACGTGAGACCTTGGTTTATCATGCAGTTTTCCACGGTCGTGCACACTATACACATTTAAGTTTAGTACATATTTACCATAAATGGGGGTCACGTGCAGTGAAACATTTTCTCTTTTTCTTTTCATTCTTCTGTTATAAAAGTGTTGATGTTTGAAAATTTTTCATTTCCTTGTTTCACGGCTACTTGATGTAAAAAGTACGCTTACGTTTGCCTCTTATGATTACAATGCAGGCGTGGGTTGTGTGAGCAATAGGAGTACGGCGAAATATTGACGATTTTGCTGAGAAAAAGCGAATCTAAATCGGTGAAACGTGCACTGCACACGTGCATTTTATATACATAAGTAAACGTAAAGTACTTCAATGAGCAGCAGTGCAAACGATGATTAATCATAGCCACCCGCGTGTACAAGTGTGTGTGTGTGTACTTGTTTGCATGAGCAATGCGTGTACCCGCGCTGGTATAGGCTTTTACTTACAGTATACGTGTAACAGCACACGCGAGTTGTTCGTTGAGAAGCCGAGGAAACGTCGTTTCAAGACTCTCGTTAATGATTTTAAATAACCTCTCTTTCATTCTCCTTCTCGTGTCAAACACTCGACAAAAGCCCCCTGCCCATTGAATACCGCTAGCAACGATGCTTACACTTTCGTGCAAAGTTAATTTGTGTTTTTTTTTTCCCCTCCAACAATCGCTACCTCGTTGGTTATTTCAAGTCCTCATCCCCACTGGATCTCCAAAAAATCTATTTTTATTTTCAATCATCCAACGTAACTGAAATTTAAATCAAGAGTTATATTTTTTAATCTTTTCAATCCTGTTGTCAGTTGAGAGACAGTTTTCATTATTTCCTCGTACAACTTTAACTCAATGTAAAAAGTATACAAGGCAATTCAAATGGCTGCGCCGTTAACTAGTTTTTCCAAAATCATCACTTTACCTTTGAAAACAAGAGGGCAGAGTGGGCCGTAAACAAATATATACAGATGTGCGCCAGTATACAAGCTCTGTCGGCCGCGTCGCGACCACGACTTTGTGTGCAAGAGCACACGGACCACGTTTGTACAGCTCTCGCCTGCCCTACAAAAGCGAAAGACGTCGAGAGAGAGAGAGAGAGAGAGATGGGGCAAAGAAAAATAACACGAGCCTCAACTGCGGTACATATATATATATTATTTATGTATATACCGGGGTGAGAGTGTCTCGCTGTTGATGTTTCTATGCACCTGCATGGCTGCTTAATGAAGCTATACCCAGCGTGTAGCTGCTATACGTATAGGTACCCCAAAAGTCCTCGAGAGCGAAATATAGAGAGATAGAGAGAGAGAGAGGGGGGGGGGCTGACGTCGTGCTCTCTAGCATTGATCACGAGTGGGAGGGAGGGATTGCAAGCTCTCTCTTTCTCTGTACCACCCTCCCCCGTGTAGGTTGGAGCTTTTTCCGAGCTACACGTATTTTCGTGGATGTAGCCTTACGAAGGAGAAAAAGGGGCCCCGGGGGTTATACTACGATGTCTCTTTTGGCCGAAAAAACTCCCTAAATTACACGCCCCTGGTCTATCTCCCTCGCCCCAGCACCAAACACGATTATCCGCCGTTTCCATGAGTCTTCTTTTCTTTCAGCTTTTTTCCCCTCGCGCTCTGCTGGTTCTTCCAGCTTGCTCGTTTTAGGCACTTCACCCACTCTATTATAACCCCGAGTTTTCAGGCGCCACCGCTGTTTTTTTTTTTTTTTTTTTTTTTTTTTTCCCCTTTTTTTGAAAAAACAACACTTTAAAAAACCCGTACAAAAAAAATTTTTTTGTTTTTTTTTTTTTTTTTTTTTTTTTTTCTTTAACTGTACGAATGGTCGGTTGATGATTTTTTTTTTTTATTTTTTTTTTTATTTGAAAGTCCCGAAAAAGGAATGAAGCAAAGAAAGCGATGGTTCCCGCTCCGATGAGAGAGCCAATAAGTTTATTAAGACGCGAGCGCCGGGCCGGACGTTGGCGCTTCGGACGCGCTTGTCCGGTTCGATTTTCATTTCTGATTGCTCCCGGTATACCCATCGCTTTCCCTTTTGACCTCGTTCAAATTGCCCTACCCGTCGAGCCAATTTCTATAAATTCATCAGGGACAATATTCGTACATATATTATGGCTAAGAGCTTTTTTTACCTGTTACACGAGAGAAGACATTGCACTGAGTGTGTTTTACGTATACGTATAGACAATAACGCGCATGCACGACGCCATAAATTCGTCACGTGTAGCATACGTAGCTCTAATTAGTATGTACGTGCATGGGAGAGGCTCGTCACGTACAATCAATCAGAGTATATTTATGTATAGCGGGCCGATACGCGCGCGTTCCATTACTTGGTAAATACAATGTATATACGTTGTCGATGGGAATTACGAAAGGGGCTTTTTGAAACGAGCCAGAGAGTTGCGACCTCTTCCACCATCGCCGCGCGTTTAATGTTGTTACGCGCGCAGTGTTACAATATAGGTATACGCATGTGATTGTGTCCCTTCCACCCCCTGTGCGAGCCTTGTTTACCCTATACCATATTAACAAGCGCGTATATTGGGCAACTGTCGGTACATTGCTGCGCGTGTGACTTTCTAATATTAGTAATTTTCGAAAGAGGCAAGAAAAAGGAGCCCGTACGGGCAGGAGGGCCAATAAAATCATGAAAATCAATGTTTCGTTGACTTATAACCATTGTGATGGAGAAGTCGTAGGGGGAAAAAAAAAAATTCAAAGATAAGAGTTAAAATATAGATCCGTCGTAGAGTTGCGCGTGTAGCGTGGTAATCTTTATGCGTTGTTCGAACTTTGTGCACATTTACTGTAGATTGCGTCATCACGGTCGCAGGAGTGTCGATGAGGAGCTTTGATAAAAAAACGGGGTATTGATTTAATAATAACTAATACTGTGTGACTACCTGCTCCATCGAAACGGAAAACTTGAAAACCAAAAAAAAAAAAAAAAACCAAGTATTAAAACGCTTTGTAAACTATGGTCGGATTCAGTAAGAAGAAAAAATTGACCCTAAAGGTAGATAGTTATATTGAAGAAAAAAAAAAAAAAAAAAAAAAAAAAAAAAAAAAAAAAAAAAAAAAAAAAAAAAAAAAAAAAAAAAAAAAAAAAAAAAAAAGTACTAATAACATATAAATATACGAAGAGAAGGCAAAATAGTGCATCCCTCCTCTCTTTGCCTCGCGCATTGTTCCTACAAGTACAGATATCAATTATAAATAATATATGTGTGTGTGTCAGGTCGCGTAGTCTCGCGCGTTTATATATACGTATATGCTCGTATTATACCGGTTCAACACACAATGTGTTGGTATACCTACTATAGTATATAGGTATCTATAATACTTATTACCAGAAGAAGTGCCGGTGGCGTGTGAGCGCTGGGGGTTGGTGTATATAATTATGTGTGCATTACGTATGTACCAACACGTTGCGCTGGATATATAATAGAGAAGACAGTGTGTATGCAGGCGATACCGAATGAGCGCATTCTCGAGGTAGAATGTCTACATGTGCATAAGTAAGGGGGTTTCTATATAATATTTCGATGGATGCACGCGGACAATGGATATGGAACGCGTGTGTATAGGCAGGCGTGCAGGTATGCATGCACTGATATGTCGATCTATATATATATGTATACCAATACACCTATTATGTATAATAAGTATAAGTGTAACTTATTCTCGGGGGAGGAGACACTTTGCGGGGATGATCGCCGCGCGCACAATACTCGTGTGTCTCCATGCATACACATATGTAATTATATATCTGCACTCGAAAGCGTCAAGTACAATACCCACATCTAAGCGTGTATATATATATACCTGATGCTCCTTACATTGCTGTCGATAAATTCCCTCGGTATACTTACTCGGCGGCTCGACGTGGCTTTGAACGCGCGCGTCCATATAGAAGAGACTCATCGACATCTTCTTTGCGCGAGCCCGGCGTTTCCGTGAGAGATAGATAAGTTACAAGTATAATGTGTATGTATATATTATATATAGGTGCATCGACCGATATGCACATTGTATGTATACATGTAGGACAGGTACAACGACACACACGCCGTCTCTTTTGTGGTACGTATACACGTGCGCGGAGCATAGAAAAAGCCTTCTTTTTTTTTCTCCCTCGCGACCCCGCCACGCATCCAATATCACATGAGGGTACAATGCCCATACTAGATTAGCTCGCGTCCGTATACAGCTAGGGGCATACGAATGCCACATATACATATATTATATACGTATACACCACATATGGGTGTACTGATGGTAAAAGGGAGCACTCTTCTGTTGTGATGGCTAATTCTTTTTTTCCCCTTTTTTGACCCCTACCTCCCTCCTTCCCTCTTCTTCAACTAGTCGCGAATGTAAAGCGTATATATAGTACCGTGTATATAGGTAAGTATATCGGTGGGTGTGTACACATGTCTGCATTTTTTATGCTCATTGTGCAGGCCAACGACAATTAAAAACACCACAGGTCGGGAGGGAGCTTTCATTGAAAACGTGCACGCAGACGAGTATATATATATATGTTTTTTTTTTTTTTTTTTTTTATTCACGCAGGTATAGATCACGCGGCTATTGTGCAGAAAACATTCATTGTGCGAAACGCGTAAATTCACGTGCCGACGTTAAAGAGAGGCAAACAAACAAGGGAAAAAAAAGAAGCACACATTTATCATCTTTGGCTTGCACAACAACTGTAGTAACATATATATAACGAAATAATCGAAAATAAGTGACGTGCGGATGGTAAATCGCTCGTATATCTTCTGAAATAACCAGGCTGAAAACTATAATTATACTTACGACAGGTTATTACATATATATATACCTATTTGTAGATTATTATTTAGCCGCGGGTACCACTCACATGTACCTTATATTTTTTTCATGCATGCACTTTGTCTGTATGCGTGTATAGATAGTTATACTGGGAACATAATATACAGCACTAATTATACCTTTATGTATATATATATGTGTATGTACATGCACCCCATATGTATATATTATGCCGTTTGCTTTCAGTTTGCAACTTTGTGGTGCACGAGCGCTGCGTGAAAAGCCTCGCCTCGCCCTGCTCCAGCATAGCGGCGAACCTCATTAAGGTAAAACACGCCTATACCTCCGTATACGTATGTATACTACACCCATGCCGTGCGCACTACTTTGATGTACCCATTCTAAATTAATTTCACTTAAAATGTAATAAAAACATTTTAAGGGGACAAGTTGTAATATAATAATGTGTCCATAGTACCACTACTTCACCTTGTTATAATCAATTTATGAAATAAAACAGATATAGGTATTGCCCGTTTCAAGTGCGACTTTTGCAAAGAAAAAACTTTTGAAAGCAAAATGTTGGGAAGAATTGTGACGCTTCGAATTACGTATACTGAAACAAATGAGGAATTATATTGTTGTAACAATCTTAACACTCCAATTTGTCGTAGAACCCAGTGGCGCACTGTTGGTCCGAGCCGGTGCATCACAGAAAGAAATTCTGCAATGTCTGTCGGAAGAAACTCGACGATGGCCTCTCCGTACATTGTGAAAGTGAGTTTATATCTTTTAGTTTGTTTGGTTGGAAAAAAAAAAAAAAAAAAAAAAAACCAAACGTTTTCGCAGTATGCGAGTACTTTGTCCACATGGAGTGCCAGGACTTTGCGGTGGCGGACTGCAAGGAGAACGCGACGTACCTGCCGGGAAAGGAGCTCGCGTCGGTGAGGCACACGCACCACTGGCGCGAGGGTAATCTGCCCACCACCTCGAAATGCGTCGTTTGCAAGAAAAACTGCTTTTCCGCCGAGTGCCTCGCCGGGTACCGCTGCGAGTGGTGCGGCATGACGGTTGGCACATTTACATTTTCTTCACTTTTACAACCATTGTTTTTTATTTTGATTGACACGTTAAATCCACCCGTTTTTTTCATATGTGCAGGCACACGCTCCCTGCAGCAGGGAGATACCGGCAGAGTGCACCTTCGGGATGCTCGAGCCGATCTACCTGCCGCCCCACGCGGTCAGTATTCCGCGCACCGAAGTGCCCATGGAGGCCATCATCGGGGTACAAGTGCGCCGAAAAGAAGTCACAGCGCGTAAGTCTTTCCTCCACTTTGGCTTTTTACAACCTTTTTACCTCAAATTCGTATACTCTATTTATCATACATAGACGTGCGTACATAATATTTTACATTACATCATTTCACACATTTATGCCGCTGCAGACATACACTTTTACCATATATATATATATACACACATAATTATAATTATTATTATTATTATATTGTCGCTGCTCTTCATCTTTTTTAGATAATAATATGTATACCTCCTCACCACACGTGTAACCTCAATCACGCTAGATAGCAAATTCCTCGCTCGATTTTTATTATTATTATTATTATTATTATTATTATTATTTCAATACAGCTAACTTTATTGATTCATACCATATAGGTACACTCTTCGCTTTATTTATTTATTTACTTATTGATTCATTTATTTATACACGTAATATTGATGTTTTACACGTCAAAAAGGCTGCGTAGTTTTCATCTTCCGAGCAGTTATTGAAAAATCATGGTGTCAGTGTGTTGTAAGCGCAGCTTTGTGCATAAAAAGAAAAAAAAAAAAAAAAAAAAAAAAAAAAAAAAAACAAACAAACAAACAAACAACATTTTTAATACTTCATTACTTTTTTTTTCAATGTTGGATTTTTAATGAAGAAACTCATTTTACTCGCAACTGTGCCTGCGCTTGTCTTACATTAAAGTTCTCTGTCTTTGTTTTTGCTACAAGTCACTCGAGTATACGATTCTATCGGATCTTCTTTCTTATTTTTATAGCTTATACGGTGTATACATGAGGTACATGTAACGATTAGTTGTATTCATTTTCATCAATGTTTTTAACAAAGGCCATCACTAGAATGTAGTCCATTAATTTAAGTAAAAGCTTTTGTCAAAACTTTGAGCTAAACACAATACGATCGTGTTTTGCAAAAATCTGAAACATAAGTATCACGTTAAACATGATCTTGGCACGGAAAAAATTTTTCAGTTGTATTAAAGATAAAAAAAAAAAATAATAATAATTCTGATCTGTATGAACGTGAGAAATCAGGTCACGCACGTGGGAGTTGTTTTCTTCTTTGAGGGATAAAAGGCCCCCGAACAAAGCCGTTTGACAAAGTTTGCAGTACAAAGAGCGAAGTATCGTGTAGTTTAAAAATATATATATTTCCAATCGTCGTGCGTGTGCAAATGCACCTGGACGCGATTAACACCCTTTTTTTCGTGGCATCGCAAAAATAAAAATAAAAAATGAAAAATTCATCCACACGAACAGTACGACGATGATGTTGTTCCAGTCTTTTTCTCCTACTCGGAGGTAAATATTTATGAATATGGCACGATGTGCGCATAAATATATCTGCCTCTCTTTGACAAAGGCGATGCATGTCACGACTGAAGCTGCAAAGCCTTTTTCTCGAGCGGTGCGCACGTACACGTGCAAGTGACGTTACACGTTTTTATTCATGTATTATTACACGTACCATATTATACGTAATATACAACCGACCGACCGACACACGGTTTTATTCGTGGTGGCGGACGTATTTCAAAGTTACACGTACATACAACTTCGATTAAAGGTATAGAAATATTCTTGCCAAGTAGGTCACGTTATTTTTCTGCTCTGCTCTTTTTTCCTACTTGCTTCCTCACTATCTTTTCTTCAACATCTCGCTGTTTTTTCCACCTCACTTTAATTATACAGTACATTCACGCGTACACCTCTCTGTTGTATACATTTTACCTCGACGCGCCTCTATTTTTTCCTACCGCCAACTTACTCCCTTTTTTTTTTTTTTTTTTCTTCTATCTCGTGGGCTCAAGTGTCGTTACTTCGACCTTTTTGGCCTGCGCCAATTTTTAACGATAAACTGTCGCCGATGCTGTTTTGGAGTACGATTAAGAAACAAATATCAAACATAAAATTTTTGTTTTTAAATAGTTCGTGTGATTCGTTGTGAACAGTATGGTGGAATTTATATAAAATTACTCGTATCAACACTATTAAGTACCATCAAGTACTTGTATCGAAATGGAATGGAGAGTCCCAGCAAGGGCTTCGATATAATTTTGCTGACACAAGTATCGCGCATACTGTCTGACCACACCACTGACTATACTACTTGAAAAATTGATTAATACGTACTAGTGTCATTCGTTTAAACTACCCTAATGTAAAAAAGCTTGGTTGCGTTTAATTCGAACAATTAGCATAGCTAAAAGAAAATATTAATACTATTAGTCGTAGTAGTAGTAATGATAATAATAATAATAATAATAATAAAAAAAAACCAAAATGTAACATCACGAGGACTGATGTGTCTGTGATTTGTGTACCCATGTCCTCAGTTACTTCAAGTATTTAACAAAAAAAACCTTTTTTGAACAAAAATAAAAACAAAAGAAAACAGTGAAACGGCGAACGGCACCGAGCAGTTAGATTTTGCCGAGGGCGAGGGCCAGGCCGAGCTGCACGACGGTACTCGAACGGTACGCAGACTGGCCGCGGCCCTGAGGTGGCTCTCTCTAGTTTTTCCAAGTAGCTGCCATGGAAATTGCCACGCTTCCCCTCCCTACGTTCAAGGTACGGGACGATAGTAAAAAAAAAAAAAAAAAAAAAAGTTTTTACTCAAGCACGACTTTTCATTTGTTGCCTCGTATACAACACGGTTATATAATGATGTGATGATGATGTGTTGATTTTTGCCAGTGTTTTGAGATTAACCACGTCTGCTATGTGCATTTTTTTTTTTTTTTTTTTTTTTTTTTTTTTTTAACTGTACGAATGGTCGGTTGATGATTTTTTTTTTTTATTTTTTTTTTTATTTGAAAGTCCCGAAAAAGGAATGAAGCAAAGAAAGCGATGGTTCCCGCTCCGATGAGAGAGCCAATAAGTATNCGTATACGTCAGTATTTCATGAAACGCTATATTGGTTGTAAACAAGTTTTAAGCAAACATTTCAATAACAACTGAAAAGGTTGTGAATTAGAATTGACAATAACGTTAGAAAGATATGTTTTATCGATAAGATGGATGAAAAATAAAACGGATTATTCAATCACTTTCAGTTCAGTTCATAACTACTGCTGCTTCTCGGTGCTGAATATATAACTATATGTATCTGCGCACTTCGTTCTGCGCACATATGGCAGGACTGATATGAGGCTTTTTATGGTTGTTGATTAAAAAAAAAATCTTTTAAATAACATTTTTAATTAATCCATGATTTTTATGTGCATTTGTGCGTATAATTACTATTATTTATTAGTGTAGAAGTGTAGATATAATATATAAGTACGAGAAACAGGTAGTAAAAACAGGCCGTTCTTTGGACCACATAAATAGACGGGATTGTGCTCCCTTTCAATGGGATGCTAATAAAATTGGCAAAAAATAACCGAAGTAACCGACGATTGCGCTTCTACAACGTTTGACACGCATTTTCTTTGATGTATTAAATATTCTGTTATACATACACTTTAGTTTGATGCTTTCGTAATGTTTGGTTGATAATTTTGCTGCTTAATAATATCCCTAGCTGTTGACAAACATGGGGGTCACTTACATAAACACTTATCCAATATTAAATAGGTATATACTTTCTCTGACTGATCTTACGTATGATCGTATATACAATATGCTTATTGAAAGAATATTTCTTGCCTTTGATGAGGAAAAAAAAATCCAATTGGAGTAACAACGATAGGTGATATAACAACAAATCACTTGCTTCGTAGTTTGCATGAGTCAGCTTTTGAATTCTCGCTTAAAGTGCAAAAATAAACAGCCAATGTGATTCGCTGTGAAAGGAAAATTAATACGAATGGTTTCGTTAACGTAGTTGACTGACTTTGCCTTTGTATGGGAGGGAAAAAAAAAAAAAAAGAAAAAAAAGATGTAACTTTTTGAAACAAAGCAGCATTGTTTTTCTTGATCAATGCGAATGGGCGTACATCCATGCAGTATCGACAACACGTTGTTACCAATTGAATACATAACGCGAGTAAGAAGCCACATCTGGTTTTGCTGTCGCGCTGCAGTTGACATGTTAAGGCATCGAAAGCGCCATTATCCCCATTGAAATGAGCAGCTCCAACGCGGACACAATCGCATCGAGATACATTTACAAACGCAAAGATCAGAGTGCAGGTCGGATGGGTTTGGAAATCAAAGTGTTAAAAAATCATTTAAATTAAACGAGCAACATCGAACCAGTTGTTAAATAAAAAGTGAATGTTTGACATGTGCCTACGTAGACGCGGTCGGCGGCTCCGGGATGCGGCACTGTTCGCTCTCTGCCATGTGCTTCGCCATTAGTCCCCGGGATAGCGATCGGCCATGGGTAAGAGGTGCGAATTGATCCGTCGATTAAGTATCTGCCAGTAACCGTAATAACAACAACAACAACAACAACGGATTATGTTAAAGTCCAACTAATTCCTGCAAAAGCACCTCATAAGGATCGACTGACTCAACCCGTAGCGATCGGAAAACAAGCATTTTTGAAGCTACTGTTTCGACTATACCTATGTACCTCCAACTTGTTTTTCCCCCTGCAATGATACGCGTTCATGGCCTCATGATTACCCAGCCAGCATTTTACATTTCCAAATGACCATAATGAAATCAATATACCATACACCCACCGACCCTATACACGTACTTAAATCGCTGTTATTCTTGCGCTAACCCTCTGTGTTGTACATTATCCATACACCTACACCTTCATCGAATCATGTTTGGTTCTTGCATACACATTTACTTCAATTGTACAGTTAAATCACGTGATGTATAGAACCAAGACGAACAAACCTGTACTTGTTACATAAATGTTTCCGTCACATTTTTACCGCAAATCACATTTTACGTGTTATTTGCATGTAGGCATAATATACGTATGACAAATGTTGAGTTCACTCGATTCACAGATGTGATCCCATTTATACAATACCGGCATCCACGTGTGTGTTATATATTACATGGCCTACATCCGCATGTGTTGCCATGTGTTGTAACAAACTGTTTCACGTGTGGGTGTGTATATAGCCTACCGTTGGAGGAAAGTAATTATCTTGTTTCAAAGTCGAGCCTATACGATTTAAACAAGAAAATTAATCCTTCCCTACTCATTGCACTCGAGATTGCACAACTAATTTCAAGACAATCGTCGAACAGATTAGAAATAATTTTGGATGTAATAAACAAATGGATGAAATTTTCAACAAAACCATGGCCGTAATTTTAAAACCAGAAAAGGGTGAGTTAAGCACTCTTGGGTCGAAAATTACTATACTTTACCCTCGCTTTGTAGAAAAAATTTTCTTTGTTACACCAAATTTAACGGACCATCTACAATAAAATACGAATAAATCCATCGATGTGACATATACATTTTTGTATTTGAACTAATGAATTGCTACGATGTTGTACATGTGTGTATGCGTATTTTATCATCATTGTTATATTTATGTGTAAACCTGCATTATCGTGACCATGGAACTTGTGTATTTTACTGTATTTCTTTTTTCTTTTTTTCTTTTCTTTTTCTCAACTACGAACAATGCTTAATAATAATACATAAATATAATAAAGCATGTGCCAATGGTTTCAGCGAAACTAAAAATTTGAAACAAATGCAAATAATAAGACGGAGGATGACGATGGTAATAATAGTAATCGTAACAATCGCTACCGAGGAAAATCAGGCGTTAATTGCCACATGTGATGATCGATAATGGAGCAGCGTCCAATATGTATACCTATATATGATGACTCCTATATTCCTATAAGGATAATTCGATGTGAAGAATTTATACATGACACGAACTAAATCATCATTGTTGTTATTACTACCATTGTCGTCACTGTAAAACGAAGAACGATAAAAAAAAAACCTCACTACTGACTTGCTCGATGCAAAAAAGAATGTGTTGTCTTTAAAACAACGTTTTACAGCGCGGAGCATCTCCGAGGAGTTTAGCAGCGGAGACACGCGCGTCCCCCGGGACTGCGACGAGACAGTTGGCCTGTCGGCGGGCGGCTCATCCCACCACGGACGGGAGGCACGCTCCGGCAAGGAGGACAAGGAACGCGGCGACGAAGGTACGCGTGGGTGTCTCGTCGATAAACTTTCCTTTTTTTTACTCTATATTATGCGTACACCCAAAATTAACCCGCAATTTGATTAATGTATATAAATACACACAGTCCCTTATATTATACCTATGTACTTGTAACACGTATGTGTATATGGGAAAAGAGAGGAGAAAAGAGGAGAGATGTAGGTTTATAGATGCATGTGTGGTTGTTTGTTACAGAAACGATAAAGGTGTACGACGGCAACAATTCGGTGCGGCATCGGTTGTTCCGAGTTATCAGCGTACCCAGACAGGCGACGACCGCGCAAATCCTGACGCTGGCTCTTCAAGCATTCCACATAACCAGAGACTCGAGTAATCCTTTGCTTTCGTTCCTATGTATACAATCATTCCTAGGGCGCATGAAAATACCTACTTTTTTTTTTTTTTTTTTTTTTTTTCGACCAACAGTAGATACAGGTAGGTAGTTATATAAGCACGCTGGAATCATAAATCACATCTGCCGAGCCGGTAATCGCAGCTTAACCAGCTTATATTTATGTGCACTCCCGAAATTTGGGAGCCTGCTCTGGTGGAGCCGTTAATTATTAAATTTCAATTAAAAAGCAGCTCCCGCGACGCCGAGACGTACGTTTCTCTCACGGGGATTCGCCGGGTCGGCCTGGAAAGTTTCTACTTGAGAATTCCGCGGAAGCGAGACTGCCCGTCCGTCCACTTGATCCCTTGGATTCCTTTGCATGCGCTGTACTTACTAGCTTTTGGAGCCCGTGCGTGGAACTCTAAAAGTCTACCGCAGCTGGACTGGAACGTATTTATTATATATTGTACATCACCTACCTATGCGGACACACGTCGCTCATTAATAAATTTCAAGTACCGCGGAAGGACCTCTATTTAGCGGCTACGGGGGCTCGGAATTTTTCATGCGTCCGTACATTATGACGTATAGGTACATACATCCGAGGCTGCAATGCATCTGCAGTCCGTCCCGGGCTTATAATAATAATAATAATATATAATATGTTCATGTATAAGTTTTCATTGAAGGCGATGTTTTTCCAAAACTGAAAATCCTCGTTGACAATGGGTTGTAAGTGTTTTCGTTTGGCCAATCAACAGGCAATTTCTACCTGACGGACCTGTACACGGGCGAGGAGACGCCGCTAACCGATCCCGCGCCCATCCTCGGCTTGACTCGCAAGGAGGGCAAACGCCCCGCTGTGTTTCTTCGGTTCAAGTAAGCCTCTTTTATTCATGCATGTACGTCCTTTAAATATACTTACATGGTAACCACATCGAGGACCAAACACGCGTGATTGTCCGTCGATAATTTGCAGGGACGTGGAGTACAGCGAGGTACGCGTGTACCCGGGGAAGCTGCAGGTGTCGGATGCCTACTGCACGGTGCCCGTGACGGAACCGACCACGGTCGCCGACATCATCAAGGAGGCGATCCATCACTTTAGACTCGAGAACGACAACAGCGAGGACTACCGCTGCAGCGAGATCCTCTTGGATCGCGGAGGTATATTATATAATATTTTATATAATAACCCATAGTATAAATTGTATATTGATCTACGGGTTGCAATGTTGTATAATGTGGCTCAGTGACGGAACGAGTGTTGGAGCTGGAGGACAAGCCCCTCGAGATAGTGAAGCACCTGGGGAGGGACTCGATCAGGCAGATGGAGCTGATGCGTTTCTACCTGCAGCTAAAGCAGGACCCGCACGGGCCGAACCTGGCCCTGTTCGTGGGCAACCTGCCGCCAAATCTCTCGGAGCGCATGTACGAGAACATGCTCATGGACTTTCTCGGCAAGGAGAACAAGTTCTCCTCGATCGGGCCGATATACTACGAGTACGGCTCGATGGTCATTACTTACGAGGACTCGGACACCGCGGTACGGGCCCTGTACACCCTCAGGGAGTCCAAGTACGAGGAAAAGTACCTGCTGGTCATGTTGTTGCCGAGCATCGAGCCGAGCATGGTGCCGGCCAACGTACAGCCCCTACTTGTTTTCGTGAACGTCAAGTCCGGTGGCTGCCAGGGCCTCGACCTCATATCCAACTTTCGCAAGCTCCTCAACCCCTACCAGGTCTTTGATCTCGACAACGGGGGTCCCCTCCCCGGGTTAGTTTCAACACACGTACACTTATACATGTACAACTACTATACATATAATTACTACTACTTGTTTCCTTTAGATTGTACGTGTTCCGGCACATTGAGAACTACAAGATCCTGGTGTGCGGGGGCGACGGCACGGTCGGTTGGGTGTTGCAGTGTTTGGACAACGTAGGCCAGGACAGCGAGTGCTCCTCGCCGGCGTGCGCCATAGTGCCCCTGGGCACCGGCAACGACCTTGCCCGGGTGCTAAGGTGGGGTTCCGGCTACACCGGGGGCGAGGACCCCCTCAACTTGCTTCGCGACGTCATTGACGCCGAAAAGATACGGCTCGATCGTTGGACCGTGGTCTTTCATCCCGAGGAGAAGGAGAAGGACAAAGAGGAGAACCCCGTGCCGCGACCCATTCCCAACAACGCGGGTGAGTCTCTCGGTCTCTATCCCTCGTTCGTTATCCATACAAATGTGTACTTATTATTGTTGTTGTTTTTTTTTCTTCCCCCATGAAAAAAGTTACCGGGATGACGAGCGAGGACAACACGCAGATATTCGTGATGAACAATTACTTCGGCATCGGTCTGGACGCTGCCCTCTGCTTGGACTTTCACAACGCCCGCGAGGAGAATCCCAACAAATTCAACAGCCGGCTGCACAACAAGAGCGTCTACGTCAAAATGGGCCTGAAAAAGATGGTCGGGCGCAAGCCCTGCAAGGATCTCCATCGAGAAATCAGGCTCGAGGTCGACGGCAAGGTCGTTGATTTGCCCCAAGTCGAGGGCATCATTATTCTCAATATTTTGAGGTCAGTTGTTTTTTCACGTGTATATAATTATTTAACAATCACTTGTGGAGAGGTGTGTTTTTTTTTTTTTTTTTTTTTTTTGTATATGAGAAAAAACGAAATACTTGTTTTGCTCGGATCGGCATGAAAAAAAAAAATAAATAAATAAATAAAATGTGTTATGTATATCTTAGGGGTACGATCTCTATATCAATCTATATAAAAGTGATACTAATAGTATATTACGTACCTAGGCCAGAAAGTGGGGCTGTTACTGACCGCGCTATATTACCGGCCTCGCCTTCGGCTCGGCCGATAATATAGCGCGGTCAGTAATAGCCCCACTTTTTGGGCGTGGTACGTACTTATACTTTTTTTCCTTACACCTCCGCCGAAAGTTCGTCACCACGGTTTTAGTTTTGTTAAAAATGATGGTTTAAAGATCCAGTCAAAGATTTAGTGCATTATGCATTATTGTTGATCGATCGGTCGCTCGAACAATACCACTTAAATGCACGTAGATGAATGTTCATGTGTATAGGTATATCATTTTTGGTATAGAAATTTTTTACATACAATTAATACACGTATTGTATATATATATATATATGTATTGTATAACTACTGCTGCTTCTCGGTGCTGAATATATAACTATATGTATCTGCGCACTTCGTTCTGCGCACATATGGCAGGACTGATATGAGGCTTTTTCTAGCTCAAAATCGGGTCAGATGGAACGAACTTTCGGCGGAGGTGTAAAGAAAATTCATTTTCGAGACATGCAAAAGTTGGGTGTAGTGATGTATAGTGATGGAAGCTGGTTGAGAAAAAATAAACAACCGCAAAATGTCTATAAATTATGATATAGCAAACGAATGAGAAAATTTATCAAGTAAGTAACTTACTTAACTGGGTGTGAAAATTCTTCTTGTTTCGTGTGCAGCTGGGGTTCCGGCGCGAATCCATGGGGTCCCGACAAAGAAGACCAGTTCAACAAACCAAACCACTGGGACGGAATCCTCGAAGTCGTGGGTGTCACTGGTGTCATGCATCTCGGCCAAATACAGTCTGGTCTTCGCAACGGCATGCGGATAGCACAGGTGCGTGTTTAGGTCTTCTCAATTGTATCAATCAAAACACAAACTTAAATATACTTCATAAGAAAATAATATTATATCTACACATGCCTATTTACGTTACGTATTTGGAGGTTATATTTCTTTAATGATCATTCCGACTAGGCACTTCAGTTGGTGTTTACGGTTTACACGGTGTGCACCAGTGCACGTGCACGTAATGATATATATATATATATATATAATATACAGGTATATAACATATGAGGTTCGTTCAAGCCCCCCTGGAGTCGGTTCGGTTCGGTCGGTTTTGTTTTGGGACCAAAAAACATGAAAAAACACGCGTTCACGAGAGTTTGATTCTAGAACCGAACACCTCGGACTTGGCTCCAGGAACTCCGCGAATGACTTTCGAATTGGGACATGAAAAAAATACCCAAAATTGCGGAATCGTTAGCAACGTTTGCAATCACTTTGCAAAAAATTGTCGGATCTTCCGGTTGTCTATAAAAAAATAAAAACTAAATGGTCCAGCGAGAGTCCGGATAAGTACGTTGTCTGGCTCAAATACTCCATATACGGCTATGAAACTTACTTTAATCGTTTGCAATTTAATTGTCGATGATGATTATCTATTGCATTATTGTAAAACTAACAGAAAAACAATGTGAAATAATTATTTCAGTCATTGCGAATGAAGTCTTCTCTGCAGCTATATATATAGATATAGCTCGAGAGCAGACAGCTACCAAACTGGCGGAAAATTCAAATATGTCGCACAGTAGAACAACTTCTATTGATATCAAGATTTATAATTTAAAATAGATATTGAAGAAAAACTAACACATGAGTCATTACAAAAGAACCTTAAACTTATTATTTTTTAAGTGAATTTCGAAAATGTGTTTTTACGTTATGCAATCATCTGCTCTACGTGATTGAAGTCGATTCGGTCTTATCAAGTTGAATTAAATACTAAAAAAACTCTGTTGCAGTATGAATTTGCAACAAGTGTGCATTATTAATAGAACAAATTATTGTGATACAATAAGTATAAAACTATCATTTTGGCGTTTGAAAGTTGGTAACGTGAGTCAGAGCAAATATATATATATATATAGGTACATATATATATATTTATAGGTATACAGCTCGAGTCACTCTAAAGAGATGCGCTCGAATGGGAGAAGGGAGAACGAGCCTTATGTTCACATAAACTGTCATTTGCGGATTGCTTTGATTTACGCGAAATAAGTACCCCTGAGCACAAAGTCAGTTCAAATAATTATAATTATTGAAGCTCACAATTTGTTAGTGCGAGAGTGCAATTAAGAAGTTGAAGTTGTTCTACTGTGCGACATATTTGAATTTTCCGCCAGTTTGGTAGCTGTCTGCTCTCGAGCTATATCTATATATATAGCTGCAGAGAAGACTTCATTCGCAATGACTGAAATAATTATTTCACATTGTTTTTCTGTTAGTTTTACAATAATGCAATAGATAATCATCATCGACAATTAAATTGCAAACGATTAAAGTAAGTTTCATAGCCGTATATGGAGTATTTGAGCCAGACAACGTACTTATCCGGACTCTCGCTGGACCATTTAGTTTTTATTTTTTTATAGACAACCGGAAGATCCGACAATTTTTTGCAAAGTGATTGCAAACGTTGCTAACGATTCCGCAATTTTGGGTATTTTTTTCATGTCCCAATTCGAAAGTCATTCGCGGAGTTCCTGGAGCCCTCGTGAACGTGTTTCTTTTTTGAACCGACCGAACCGAACCGAACCCAGAGGGGGGGGGGGCTTGAACGAGTGTTTTAATTTTTAGCATTCCTTCAGAATCAAGTCAATCGAGAGTATCGAGATTCGAGATTTATTAAAAAATAATGTTTTTATACACGGGAGTGCGCTTGCACGTATATACACGAAGTACACACATTCAACTTACCTTAATTTTCAAATAATAGGGCGGACACATAAAAATCCACTTGCACTCGGACATCCCAGTACAAGTTGATGGAGAGCCGTGGCTCCAAAGTCCTGGTGACGTCGTTGTGCTTAGATCCGCACTAAAGGTAATTGATTACTCACCCTTTACATTCTCTATACATTTTATATAACCTGTAAGTGGTTTGCTTCATTTTTGGTATAGAAATTTTTTACATACAATTATTCGTAAAATAGTAATCTGCCTAATAAAAAAAAAAAATTTGTTTTTTCGTATACGTCAGTATTTCATGAAACGCTATATTGGTTGTAAACAAGTTTTAAGCAAACATTTCAATAACAACTGAAAAGGTTGTGAATTAGAATTGACAATAACGTTAGAAAGATATGTTTTATCGATAAGATGGATGAAAAATAAAACGGATTATTCAATCACTTTCAGTTCAGTTCTCTCGATTTTTGAAATAAAATGTCAAAAAATACGCGTTCTTGCATGATGTTGGTTCCAGAAAAAAGGCAAACCAAATTGGTCGGTTCTACTTGGCTCTCATCGTAATGCGTTTTCGGCCTTTTAACATTCAATAACCGAAGCGATTCTAAGTAAACGTACACTCAACGGACTTTATTTATTGACAAAATAATGAGATGAAAACTAACACTCTATACCGAAAAGAGGCAACAAACCCAGTTGTTTAATTGTATTTATTGTATTTATATAAATGTGGCACGTTACTTATTTATACAGTTTTTCGCCAATATTGCACTCTCTGTCTCTCCATTCCTCATCCTCACTCCCACCTATACCTATACATACTCATGATATGTCTCTTATCGTATACCTATCCTTATGTTATGCCATACTTTTACCTGTTATTCGTTGTTCACGTACATGTCTACTTATCTCTCGTTTTCTCAATAAAAATGTTTTTCTCGACACATACACGCAGTTACATAGCCCCATCTGAAGAATACCTGTACTCACAATGTATTTTCCTCGATTTGATGCATCGCAGCAGTGAGTGCAAACTTTATTCCTCCCTCGACTCCCGTCCTGTGCAGATACAACTTTGGAAACTAAAACTTTCATAGCTGAGGGAAAGCGTAGAAACATGCAAAGCGAATAAACAAATACTTGCAAATGCACATACACGCCAACTTTAATGGGTTACGGCTTAAACTTCATTTATATTGTTAAATTATTCGTATGCATATACTTACGCGTGGGTTATTATTTTCACGAAAACTTTATTAAAGTGTATCCAAGTCACGATAAAACGACAATTCAATTACTGCGCCTTGGAATCTTCCTTGATCTCTTCCGAAACTCCGATACAATTATAAATACCAAATTTCAGAAATTCCATACTAATCATTAAAATGTATGGATATTTTTTTCAAAAGCTTCTCTTTTATGGGTACACATATGCTATATATATGCATGATAGAAACAACAAATAATTTGTACAAACCTGTGCTGACGAGTTTACTCACACGAGGGAGCGCTAACGAGAAACTTTGCTTTATCAAATTTTGTCCAGCGCAGTAGTTCGAAATCAACAAAGTTTTGCACAGCGTACAAAATTGTGTACTGCAACACTTGACCACTATTTCCTCAAACTGGTAAAATTAAACATTTTTTTTTTATTGCAAGATGCGTATGATGATTAATAAAATTATATGCATTTGCATGTTTCTGCGTAAGAACAAGTAACCGTCACGTTAAACAATTGTCCGCAATTGTTCTCTCGTCTTCTGTCTCTTTCATTCACTTTTCATCTCATCCCTTATTCTTTTCTTATATACATACATATGTATATATGTAATATATATTCATTTGTTTATTGGTTTTAGTTGTTTCCATGTGTACTTTGATTTAAAAATTTCCTTTTGTGTTCCTCTGTTCACTTCAGGCAACCATGTTGAAGAAAAATAAGGTCAAGCGGCGAAATACCGAGCCGGCAATCTTACCTGCTAACGGGGAGGGGGTCAAGAGCACAAACGAGTAAAAACACAAAAAAAAAAACCAACAACAACCACTCCCTTCTCGGCCTCCTTCTTCCTCGTTTTGCTAAACTATAGCAATTTAGTGATGTTAGCGGCTTTATCGATCGATCTTGTGGGTTAAACAAACAATAATGATACAAACAAACACACTCGCGCACACTCATCACATCTCACGTACACGGAGCACGATTATAAATTGTATTATGATAATGTCGCAGTGACGCGGCTAACGCGTCGAAGAGAGTAAAGTTCGCTTGCATAAGTAAGTTCAAGAAGGTGTGTACAAAGGGTATAGAGATAAAAATGTACAGAAATACTTATACGCAGCGTGTAAACAATGCCAAGGACGATTATACTCCAAACGAAATATTTTTGTTGATCAATTTACTTTACCCAGAGTACAAAATAATTATGCAGGTATATACGTATACATTTATGATAATGATAAAGACGAGCTCTCTGTCGTGCATGCGTAAGATTTATTGCGGCATTGTTTGTTTTTTCCCACAAAGTGCTGTGAATAATCTAAAGAAATATATTTACGTAAACTTTAATCTCCAAATATTTCGTGTCTCGGTTTTTTTTTTTTTTTTTTTTTTTTTCCTCGTGTGTGTACGTATGTGCTTTATCGCAAAAATTTTCTCTCGATTCTCAACAATCAGTTGCATCACGTCGGAAATAACTTGGGCCAATAACACATGACTGAATGTACCAGCTACTGATGTATATATAACAAATACCATTACCATTGTCATTTTTCTTTGTAATTTCGGGCAGATGGAAAATAATCGATTGCAACCGTCATTTGTACAGCGATAAATAATGATAAAAGATTTCCTTCTAGTTTAGAGCCCAGTAAGTAGACCATATTCTTATGAGTCGTGCATTAGGTATGCATACACGCATTAGAGTAATTTTACAAATTATAGATATATACTTACCTTATTTTTTTGACAATCAAAAAACATTATTTTTGCTGAGACATTTTTACGAAATGTGTAATTAAAACGGACGTCGTTGATTAGCATCATTCCTGCGGAGTGTCTCATAATAGAGAAGTCGACTATGTTCATTAAAATGCGGGAATGTATGGTGTGTTCTTAAAGTGTTATATTTTTCTATGGAAATTCTCGTCAATAAACTAAATAATTATGAATATTTTGATTGGAATCTCGAAAAAAAAAAAAAAAAAAAAAAATGGTAAATAAATCGTTTGCTTTTTACGTAGTAGTCCAAATGCAGTAGATCACACAAATTGATGGATAACTTAAAGCAAAATAAGTACGTATGGAGACGCAATACTTTAAACGTCGCTTGTCACGTGAATCCCTCGACAGAACGAAAAAGAAAGTAGCTTCGCATACTTAGTTTGATTAAATAGGCAAGCCATTGATGGCTTCACAACGTAGAGTCGCTGCATCTTCGCTATAAATTTTTTTTTTTTTTTTTTTCTTCCACGCAGAACTGAGACGAAAAAATAAGCGCCACGTACTGTGCATTTCACACTTCTGTCATCCGTACACGCGTTACACGCATATTAGGCGTTTCTACTCGCTTCTTCAATCTTTTTTTTTTTTTTCTCACCGTATAATTACCACGCTCTTCGACTTTTTTTCAACTAATTCGCCCACTCTGATCATCAGTTTGGAGTCTCCCTTCACGAGCACACGTCATGGCAAGTACGAACGCACGACACGAAAGATAAGCCCCGAAACTCCTCACCCACGATCCTCACCCCGCCGATTTGATGCTTCTCTCCTTACAACACGTATTTCTAGATTTCTGCTGCTTTTGCTTCGTATGTATATATGTATATCTACGTAGGAGAAGACCTGATTTGCGCCTCAGTAGATGACCATCGATTCTGTGTTATGTGTATTTTTACAAACTTGCACCATTTTTTACACTTGTAAGTATATAATATACACACATAAGAACTTGTTGTCATCCAGCTATATGAGTAGGTACTTTTTTATAATGCAACCTTATACACCTTTTTATCTGTATCAAGTTAACAATGTGTACATTTGTATTCATATTTTTTTTTGTGTACACACGAAATTTTGCGCTTTTTTTTTATTTGCTACAGCCAAAGTTTGAGAATAATTATTGTACTTTAGATTTCTTACGAGCTATCCTGGTAGGTAACTCTCAAGTATTTTATCAATTGCGCATTCACACGCAAAAGTATAAACATACGCACTGCGTCTTTATGGATAGTTGCCGCATGTCCTTGAGCGCGTCAGCCTCTTCCGAAACTCCAGCGCAAATCTTGTACAAATCTACTGGTACAAGGCTGTAAGATGGATTTTTTCAAGTTTCGATGAAGTAATTATTTTTACAAATCAATGACACAATTAATAAAATGTCAAGTAATGCTTTTTTTTTTTTTTTTCATAAATTACCCAACATCTTGTAATTTCAGCAAGACCCTTGTAATCGACATCATGGAAAAGTAAATAACAAAGACTGTGTATAACGTAATAGAAAAAACAAAATAACGAATGAACATTTGTTGCCTACTTTCGATGAATGGATTACACGGAAGATGGTTTGAAATGAATGACATTGGTTACAATTTTACGAGCAAATGTGCACTAGGATTGCGCGAAAGGCTGACGCGCTTGTCTCTCGTGAATCGGAAATTTAAAAACACGTAAAATTTTATTTTGCATTACACTTATCGAGTTGTTGGCTACCAGGATTGTACAGAAGACCCACATGTTGTTATTACTATATATTATTCACAACTTGAATATGTATACCCACATCACAATTTTTGTTGATTCGTAGCGATGAGTTACATGTTGTATGATTTATACTTGATCGCAAATTGTTTGGTATTTGCACTTTATAGTGCCATAAACGTGCGTATACAACATCATGATATACCGTAACGTCCAAGTATTATCTCTGTAAAGTGCAAGCTTGAGAAACGAATGAGAAAGTAAAATTTGAGAGGATGAAAAAACAAAAAAAAAAAAAAAAAAAAATGGTAAATAAATCGTTTGCTTTTTACGTAGTAGTCCAAATGCAGTAGATCACACAAATTGATGGATAACTTAAAGCAAAATAAGTACGTATGGAGACGCAATACTTTAAACGTCGCTTGTCACGTGAATCCCTCGACAGAACGAAAAAGAAAGTAGCTTCGCATACTTAGTTTGATTAAATAGGCAAGCCATTGATGGCTTCACAACGTAGAGTCGCTGCATCTTCGCTATAAATTTTTTTTTTTTTTTTTTTTNCATTGTTATACAAGTAGTATTGCAAAATTCTTGTAGGCGTATGTGAGAATTAGACTATAGATCATTTTCCTTTATTTTCTTTCATGACTTTTTTCAAATTCTACGTAGTGGTACCTATTATAAAAATATATATATATCTCCGCACTTGTACTTAATTATTCGGTATTATCAGTTGTTACCTTAGGGTATACGAGTATAAATATATACCCGCAGAACGGCCACGAAAGTCAACATTGTGAGTTCAATGTGCTCCTTGCACATCTCATACTTAAACCTATACTTATACGTAGGATAAATATACAGAATGAGTCTGGGGTTCGAGAGCGCAAGTAACAGCTACACTGTAATAAATGTGATATATAGTAAGTATATATATTATACTTATTTAGAGTCGACAGCATGTCGCGAGTAACCTGTACGGCATAGACAAGACAGATGATGATGATGCTTCGAAACGTGATAATATTTGAGTAAAGATAAGATGGTGGGAGCTCGGTGTATGCATATCTCCAACTATTTTTTTTTTTCCATCGCTTTCGTTGACGGGTTCACAAGGGGTTGCGTTCTTGCAATGGAGAAAGAGAAGGATTAATTTTGCGTGAAAGGGTACGGGTAATCAATGGCTTACCATGATCTTTTTGGTCAAATCGTGCATTGTATAGTCAAAAGAGTATCACGGGGTGAGAGGAAATGAAACGGAAAAGCGCGAGATACGGAGATGTATGTATATTCGTGCGTCACGGATATTAAAAATATCGACTTTTTTTTTACAGAGCTTTGGATGATTAATTTAAGTTAGTCGTAAAGATTAGGCTTAATATTTTTATCCTTTCGCGTTCAATCTGTAGTTTTTCGAATAGTACTGATTAGTGTCGAGTTTTGATGATACTTACTTGTGTTCCACTTCAATTATGCAATTAAACGACACGCACGTGCGTCCAGGCAAACAAATACATGTACACGCGCCCGCAAACATGAGTATTTTTTTTTACACATGAGTAATGAGCATTTTTGCTGTGAATGTAAAACAAGGACACGAAAGTGTTTTTTGTGTGTGACTTAAAACTCGGGATGTGAAAATTCTCGTTGTAAAAACAAGACGTAGGTACAGCAAACAAGCCAAAGCGAGAACTTAATTAAAATCAAGTTTATTTTTAAAAAGTTGAACACAACGCCGGAAGGGACTTGTTTTATTTTTTCATGGGACGGGATGATAAAAATAATTGCCAAAAAAAAGCAAGCGTACGAAAAATAAAAGAGAAAACATATACACACCTTATAATACACATATTGTATGGTGCATGTATATAGCAAGTCGCAAGGGATAGAAATAATATAGCCACGCAATAAAATTATACCCAACAAATACATTCAATGAACCATAAACTTGCTATCGCATCGTTAAGATTAGGCTATGCACGCACGCATTTGTCGTAATAGGTGACTTTAGAGATACGATTATCCATATAACAAGTTTACTGCGTATGTATAAAAAAGTGCTGTAACTCGTAGGAGGGTATTGTTATTATTGTTTTCAATTTTAACTTTTTGTCCGTACAACTTTTATCGATATTATAATATTATACATATGTAGATATTGTATTTCGTTACTTTGACGTTTATGGAATTATGTATAGCTATACATTATGTGCTGTACTTATAATCATTAATTTGTTAATAACTGATGCTATAACTTTTATTACTAAGAATTCAAAGCAAAAACATATATGTATATTTTTTTAAATCATTACACTGTAAATCTAAATGTGTTTAATTACACATATATAGCGTGTATTTTAACACACATAGGCGCGTTATATTTTAAAAGCACTTTAAATGTGTTAAAACAACACGCATAAGTGTGTTGTATTACAATAATGCGTTTCTAACACATGATTTTACACGCGTTGTCCGTGTACATTATCAATTGACGTAAAAGAAATTTATAGTGGAAGCTTCCTAGTGGAGACTGATAGCTGAAAAATATTTAACTTTAATTAAACAAAAGTGACGAGTTTTTGTATGTGTGTTTTGTCTTTTCTACAAAAAAAAAAGGAATCATTTGAGCCAAGACTAGTTTAAGTGACATTAAATTCGCGAGTTTTTGAAAATAATAATTTCAGTAGTGGTACTTGAATCTGCTTGTTTTATTAGTTTTTCTAAGCAATATACAACTTTATTATTTATTTGGCACCAAAACATATGATTTGCGAAGCAAATAAGAAATTAGCAATAATTTGCTTAAAAGCGTGTTGTAATAATACGTTTGAAATGTGTGGAAAATACACACTTGAGGCGTGTTGGAATAAAACGCCTAGAAAACGTGTAAATTCTGTGACGGCGGTTGACACGCTCCAAGTGTATTAAACAACACACTTGGATTTACAGTGTATTGAATATTGTTACGCACACTAGTCACTCGCTTTTTTCGTGCAATCTCGTAAATTATTCATAATTTTTAAACGTTACAGTTTATACACGTAGGTAATATGAGTTTGTACGTTAACGGTTGAGAAGATTAAATTTAATAAAAACTGTTCGATCAGTCGCATTTACGGCATAAGCGTGAAAATTAATAATTGTTTTAACGCAGGTATACATTATAAATTACCATCTCATCAGTTGGGATGTCCATGTGAGCAGATTATTAGTAGTTTTTATTACTGTACTGAACATATTTATTCATGAATCAATGTAACCTTTGCTTATCACAATTCTGTCTCTGGAGGAATTATAGAGCTTATTCAGAAAAATTATCGAATACACACACAAGTGGCCAGCTAATTCATAGTAAACAAAAAAAAAAATGTGTTTCCTTAGTCAATTGTCGAATTAGCGCGACTCAAATTATGCGACATAATACATTTAACCATATACACCTTCCAAGCTTTTTTTGCTCGTCCGGTTGGAGTCTTACAAGCTGCAGTACCTGCAATTCGAGAATCAGGCCCAGGAAAAATAACCGAGTAAATACTTACTTGTAACATGTATTATGTACATACATACCGGGCAGATACGTGATAATTTAATTAGAATTGCACAAGCATTCGCCTACACACCCACTTTATGAAAAAAAGTAACGATAAGCTAAACAAGGCCAAATGTGAAACAGCTTGAATTTCTGTACTGCGATAAAATACGAAAGTAAGCTAACCCCAAAGAGAGCGAATTTTTTTCCTCAATTAAGTATATACGGAGAATAAGTAGCTTGCCGTCAAGGCAGCCTCGGTGCCAAAACCCAATGATGTAAATAATATGACGAATATGGTAGATAGATATATATTAATATACATATTATAAACTCGAAAAACAAAAAAAAAGAAAACATAAACGTTACAATGTTATGAATTGTTTAATAATCGAGAGAGATGTTAGTGAAAAATAGGTAAAAAATTCGCTCTATATATTGTTATTATTATTATTATTATTATTACGATTATCATTGTTATACAAGTAGTATTGCAAAATTCTTGTAGGCGTATGTGAGAATTAGACTATAGATCATTTTCCTTTATTTTCTTTCATGACTTTTTTCAAATTCTACGTAGTGGTACCTATTATAAAAATAATAATGTCGAAGTAAACTATCAAACATACAATATATAACATGATAAAGAAAAGTGGTCGAGAGCATTTTACTGATTGTATATAATATATTATATAGAAAAGCGAAGAAACAATAGATTATGGCTGGCCACCGCCTCTCACCACTCTATTGTCATAAAAGTAATAATTATATTATTAATATATCCAATCGATCTCTTCTGAGTGTAGATCACGTGTACTTTTGTTTCTCTCGGTAATCATTACATCTCTCTTTCTTTTGCGACCAAGAGAAAAATCGAAAAAGAAAGAAAACCACGAAAGAGAGAGAGAGAGTCAATACTTGAGGGGATTAAATGAGAGAGAAAAAAAAAAAAAAAATTGAAGAGGCATTGATCCCATGAGAAGACACTCTCACTTAACGCACACTTGAGTATAAAAAAAAAAAAAAAAAAAAAAAAGAATTTTACGTACTACATGAACGCAAACACACGCACACATAAAATTACACTCAAAAGTACGTAAAAAATACTAGCGAATATTATTTAGTAGTAACCGTAAAGTTTTGATTGATAAGTTATACAACATATAAAATGACTTGAAAATAAATTAATTAAGTGGTCCCACGAGATCGAACGTTAAATTGCGCGGAGGAGTACGAGTAGGTACTTACATTGTACATGAGTTAATGAAGAAACAAAAATGCTGTAAAAAAATATATGGCGTGTTAAAATCGGGGGGGACTTTAAGTACCGCGTGGTAAAAAGTCTCCGACCCGCCCTCCTCCCCCACTCACCCTCGACGAGAATAAGTGACGATACACGAATACACACACATAGATGCACGCATAGAATTAAAGAAAAAAATAATAATAATAATAATAATAACTAACAATTGAATCTCCAATAATTTGTCCATGGTTTTTTTAACGAAGGGTGTTTTGGAGGATCCAGTTTACAAAAAGGAGTATTATGATCTTGCTCTATTCTAGTGATGATTTCTCTTGTGCTGGAACTAACCATACAAACAACACTACTCAATTCACTGAGTCGTCTTTTTGTTTCCCTAACTTTCTTCTGAAGCTAAAATGTGAAAAAAAAAAANTTCAATCTCGAGGTCTGATATTAGTGGACAAACAGTGCCATCCAAAGAGAAATTCTCAAAGTAAATATTTTTTCTATGAGATCATATATGTATAAAGAAGCATATAAACAATTTATACCGTTTCGTTGTGAGTCGACTTCACAGTCCAAAGAGCATGCATCATTATTTATATTTTGTGTAAGGAAAGGTCACGTCTTTGTCAGAAATTGATAGGCAATAAGGGGGAGGGTACAGTAAATAGCAGCTTTTTAGTTAGTAAAAAGAGGTCAGCGGACATGAGTGACGTATGGTGCGGCGTCTTCTACCGCATTTATCTAGATTGCGTCACCCGAAGAAGCACCAGTTCATTAGGTGGGGGTCACCCATTAAATTTTTCCAGCGCCGTCAGTGAGGGATCCTGATCCGGTTCAGACGTTGAGGACATATCATTATTTTTTCTCTCGTTGAGCGGCTTTTTATGTCCGCACGTATTGGTTACTTAGACAACAAAATTACGTTGTAGACAGATGATTATGCTTAAAATAAAGTTTAGCGTGTAATAGTTCTTTAGTTGGCAAATTAATGTAAGTTGAAATATATTGTAAAGTGTGCTTCACTACTGAGAATATTTTACGGTTGTTGTCAGAGTTGATAAATACTTGGCTTAATGAAGATAATATTATTGCCGTAGTCACTGACAACGCTAGTGAAACCATGAGTGCAGTTTCTGAAATTTTTGGTACAGAAGTTCAACTGTTTCGCCTCACTCACACTTTGAGTTCGGCTCTTTCTGAAGTAATTGATTTGAATAAGAAACCGAAAATATTAAAGACAAAATCTAGGCGATTTCCAATTTTTTAATACATCAGTTCAAGCAGCTGATGAACTACTAAAAGTATCTGATTTGACTTTGATACAAAGTACCCAAACGGGTTGGAACTCTGCATGCAAGATATGCATAAGATTTATACAAATATCAGATAAAGCTTTGTCTGTGTTGCTTAAATCCGAGATTTGCCGTCAATGCTCTCTGGAATGGAACTACAAATAATATGCGAATTCGTTAGTTTACTTAAACCTTTCAAAGAAGCTACTGTTACACTATCAGGAGAAATTTATGTGAATGGAAGTTTGACAATACCTGTTATCAGAACATGCGAAGTGACTCTCAGTGAAATTCCACTAAAGGTAGCCACAGCATTAATATCCAAACAACTTTTAATATACTAGTTTTTGTACAGATTCAAAAACATTGAGCATATTCCTTTAACCACTGCATCCATTTTAATAGATCTAAGATTTAAGAAGATACACTTTAAAAATCGCTTATCTTCTGCAGGAGCAATTATTTAATAGCATTTTAAAACAGCTAAAAGATTCAAAATCTATTTATTATTTTAAAAATCCAGAAAGAAAACGCCAAACAAAATGCATACAACTGCTCAGAATTTTTGGTCACATTATAATCAATCGGGTGCAAAAAAATAAGCTTTCTACAGGAAAAACGAATTAAGACTTGTAAAAGAATTGAAGTACAATTTGAATCAGCCTGTTTTCCGAAGACAAGCGATCCACTATAATTTTGAAAATGACACTTTTGTCAGCAACTTGCAGATTTAGGCGTCAAACATTTAACGATACTCGCAACATCGGTTCTGTTAAGGTGGCTCCTCACTATAAATACCACAAGAAGAGTAAGCATACTGCAACACAGCTTTTCATTGGCTGTGGAGGTTCTTGACTAAAAATGGATAGGTACCTATAGTCCCTTCAAAAAAAGTTTAGTCACATCTACACCGTTGACCTATATCGTACAATACAGTGACCCGAGCAGTTAAATCTTACTGTACTATAAACTCACGCCTTACGTGAATTGTAAAAATTCATTTCTCAATGATTATAATTACAAGATTTTTTGTACAAACTAAATACAAAAGATTACACAACATGTTGTCAGTAGCCTTAAACACTACTTCTACGAAATTATATGTGTATACATGTATATATAACCGTGGGATGTACTGAAAATTGCTTTTCAGCCGTCCAACTACTAAGCCACTCGTTACTCGACATTCTTTTATTTACATAGCTTTGTATCAGTCGAAAAATGTATTTAAAATTCTGTGACGTTCTTTTCTTTAATTTTACTGGCAACAACTGGTTTATAAGCAACAATTTTTTTTTACTTTACTGCATGATCAAATTAAACAAGGATGTTCTCTAATACATTCCACGAAGTTAGACGTTCAGGAAACGAAAAAAACTAGAAATTATACTATTTTAAATAAATATCATTCAAGTTAAAGTTTACATTTGATTTAATTTCCGCGCTTTCAAAGCTAAGATAATGGGTTGAATTTTTCAAAATGATGCAAGAAGATTTTGTAAAAATATTCCGTTCAAAACTCTCATAAAAAAAATTGGGTTTGTTTATCGGTATGGTATCAACATACGACTCCTTTATAGTCTAAAATAATTCACACGGGTAAAATTGAGCCCACTTATTGGAAGCTATATATCCATGTGACAAGATGGAGGTAAATCATTGAAACTCTCAGGCTTAGCGATTGCAAGTTTGGTGCTTCACTTCTAATCCCGCGCGAGCACAACATTTTAGAAAATTATATCGATAAAACAGTTAAAAATGCTCGATCCTCTTAGGGATGAAAAAAAAGTGTTAAAGAAACTTGAAATAAATAAAAAAAATTTTTTTTTTTAATTACTGCAGATGGTCCAAAAACTGATAGTAATGACCAAAACTGGTTTTTTTGCGTCAAACATTATTATATTTGAGTAAAAAAAAAGTTTGATAAGAGTATACAATGTTACCAGACGGAAAAAACAGCTTTCAATAAACCCTCTTGGTTCAGTGGCGACTCCGCAAACCACAATCAGTTTTTCTCGAAGTTAAGAAAATTCATATATAGTATTCTTTTGCAGAATGAGAGCTTANAAAAAAAAAAAAAAAAAAAAAAAAAAAAAAAAAAAAAAAAAAAAAAACAAAGAATGTCATCACTTGAACATTCTTATGGAAATTTCCATGAGTCTACGTTTCATGGTAGTGCAAAGCTCTCTCGACTCATTTTCAGATGGCCCTCTTGTATCCTGTCCTGTATTTCTTCAACTCTCGGCAGCTTTGGGGCTGCTACATGCTGGCGAATTCGACGTCTGCGGCTTACTTGACAGTGTGCTTAATGCAGGAATATCCCATTCATCAGTACCTTGATTGACAGTTTCAGTTCCTACTTTGTCTTTTGTTTCTTCCTTCGAATTTACCTGTCCCTCTACTTTTTCAATATCTTTGCCTTTGTCCTTCGTTCTTTCTCTCTCCTTGTCTTTGTTTTTTTTCTTTTCGCTCTTTTTCTTTTCCTTCACAGAATCTTTGCCAGGCGAAGAATCCTTCTTTTTCTTCTTTTTTTTCTTTTTCTCTTCCGACGTGGTGCTTTTGTGCCTCTTGGTAGGTGGAGGTGACAACGATAATGATGATCTCGATTTCCTTCTGCTGCTGTGCGGAACTGGCGATCCTGAACTCCTTCTAACCGTTGACGATGACCTCGACGTTTCTCTGTACTTGTACTTTTTAGGGGGTGGCGAGGGTGATTGGTGCCTCCATCTGTAAGCCGCCATTGCTGCACTTCCGGATGGCACGTAAGGTTCATACGAGGGCGAGCGTCGTTGCGGTCTCGGCGGAGGTGACCTCGAGTACGACGATGGATACTTGGAGTACGGATACCCTGGGCGCCCAAACCTCGGCACAGGTGACGGTGACCGTCTGGATCTCAAAGGGCTCGGTGGCATGCGTCTGGGATACTTCGAGGGAGGCGAGGGCGTGCGTCTGAAGTAGCGCACCGGCGACGAAGCTCCCAAGTAGGCTGGCGAACGACGTCGCACGCTGCGAGGCGAGGGTGGCGAGCGCCGGTAGTAACTTTCCGAGACAGGAGAACGGTACCGACGAGTCCAACCTTGCTCCATTAGGGGAGAACCGGAACGCGAACGAGGCCGTCGGCTGGGGAAGGCCATTGTTGGCTGGTAGTCGGAATCTTCGTCTACGAGTTGCTTCTGTAGATTCTTACGTTGCTCGATGAGCTTGCGCAAGTCTTCTTCCGAGTTTTTCTTTTGATCTTCTATAACGTACTTCAGTCGATCCCTGAGATCTTTTTTCGGCTTTTCGCTGATTATCGTGATGTCTTCGTCGTCATTGACGCTATTGTCTTCGCTTGTTACCTTTTTCATTTGGCAGCTGTTACTGTTATTGCTCGGCCTGTCCAACGGTTCTTCCTTCACCACGATTTTTTCCTGCTTGACGGCAACGTCGGGATGAGACTCACGCTGCTTGAAACCAAGAAAAGATTGGTGGGGCTTTACCGAAAATTCGAAGCCATCCATAGTTTTGAAGTTAGCCGTCGCAGGCGGCGGCGAAGGCGATTGACTGGTACTTAAGGCTGCGGGGACGTGCACTGGTGTCTTCATGTTCTCGAACTCGTCAGGATCGTCCTTTATTACAATCGGCTGAATCGGCTCTACCTTCGGAGGCTCGATGATCATTGGTTCCTCGTCATCTACGTCAATTGGTTCGCTCTTTATTACAATGCTTGGTTTCACAATGGGCATGCTGCTGTTGCTGCTTTCTATAGACATGGCCTCACTCTTGATACTAACGTTACTCGAATCAAGATCCATAGGTTCATTTTTGAAGTTGGAGAGTGGCGCATGATTTGAGTCGTCCGAGCTCAGCTCCCCCTCCTCTTTCTCTCTAGGTGAGCGTGGCTCTGGCTTCACTCGCACTTTTTCCACGGTAAAAGTTTGCTTCGGCAGTGGTGGACTGTAATGATCTTTTTCTTGTCTTACAACAGGTTGTTCTTTTGGCAGAGGTGGATAGTAGGGATCTTTTTCATGTTTAGTTGGCGGTCCCTTGGGCACAGGCGGGTGATACGGGCCTTTTTCGTATATTTCCGGTACTGATTGGTTGCACAGTCGAGCCAATTGATCAGGAGACCATTCTTTTTCTCTTTTTATTTCTGATGGGTGGATTTTATAACCACTGGCCAACGGTGGACTGTGGGTACGAGTTTTTATGGGTTGTGGGGGTACTACTGCTGTTTTCTTTTTACGTTCTACTTCCTCCAAAGTCGGATAATCGAATATTTTTGTTGGATCTCTTATTTTCCTCTTTGGTTGTTTCTGATCAAATGGCTTTTCCCATTTAGGCTTTAGTACCGGAAAATCGTTATAGGGAGTTTCGTAAGCCTTTTCTTTTTTCATTTTTACCAGTTTCTGATCAAACGGTTCTGTTTTTGGTGTTAATGGCACCGATGCATCTAAAAAGTCAAACTCTGATCTTGTAGATGGCGGAGATAAGGTATTTGAGTCTGACAAAAAGTCAAACTCTGATCTCCTTAAAGATGGAGAGGGTCGGTTGTGAAGCGATTTTTCGGTTTTGGGTCTGATACCATTATCTTTTGACTTCGATGAACCATCATAAGTTTCAGTGGGCATTGATGGACAGTCAAAAACTCGGCTTTTTTTTAAGGCAGCACCTCTAACACAATTATATGGCGTAGGATCCAGTACTGGGCGAACATGTGGAGTCTCAGACTTTATGGGCAACGATGGGCTATCATATCCTCCAAATTTTCCCCGAGGTTTGAATACTTTTTCTTTTTTGAAAGAAAATTTAGATCCATCATTGCTGTTAGAATCCCAGTCTTCTTCTTTCATGTTGACTTTTGAGCCACTGGCTTGGAGATACTGAACTGACTTATCAATGAGAGGTGGTCTTTCAAATAAAATAACAATGTCAAAGGCGTCCTTCACTGATGGAGATTTATCAATAATACAACCTCTCGCTGGCAAAAATTCATGTCCCATTTCATCATCAGTAGATGTTAATGTAGTTATAAGTTTGTAAAATTCTTTTGAAAATGTGCCATATACAACGACTCTCCAAATAGCTGGTAATGCTCGAAGAGCTCTGTACACCATTGGATCTGTGAAAATTATAATGAAATATTTACTATAAGCATTTCATAAATACAGGTTATGCCACATAAAAAAGTTGTAACCTTCAAAATACTTTTTCATTAACATAAGCCATGCATTTTATTTCAGAGCTGGAATCATCTACATTTATTAAAAATACTTACTTTTACCATATGGTGTTGCTAAATGCAACATTGCAACACTTCTGCATTTTTTTACTAATGGCATACATTTGGTCTGAACATCTCTTGGCTGACACGTAATAAATGTTGCGTTGTATATACCATTGAATGCTTTTACCCCTTCAGCTGTATCTATCTCATGCTGTAACGTATTTAGCCCAATGACTTTATCACATTTCTGCAAGAAAATACAAAGTTAGTGTTTTTTCTTTGATCATTATGTTTGCTTAAATTATAAATTGGATGATACTTACATGAGACAACATAAGACTCAGTGCGCCAAAATTACATCCTATGTCGATCAATGTGGTTTCATTACAAAGTTCTAGGAAATCGGTCATTACCAAACCCAATTGTATGGCTTCTATAGAATTGAAATTTATACTGGTTTTTGGAGTGTAATTGATTGTTATGGGCCCAACTTTATCTCTCAATTCCAAGCAACCATCCAAAAACGTTGGAGGAAAATTACCCTTTTTTTGTGACCTAGAAAAGTCAACTTTTGTAATATTAACTGACAGCTGATGAAATGAGGAAATAGTAGTTTTCCTACGAGTTTGAAAAGTCTCTGTTTGCGAACCGAGAGGTTTGCGGCCCGAGCCGAAGGCGAGGGCCGTAACGAGGTTCGTAAAGGAGACTTTTCGAACGAGTTCTGGAAAACTGCTTTTTCACCCGAGGAAGTACCAGCCTCCCAAAACCACCCGACGGCGGAAAAATATTTTTTTTAACGTACCACTTTACATTTATGCAGTATAACGATACAACATTACATGCTCTACCAGGTCCAGAATGGAAAAATCTTTTCAAGTGAGGTATTAATGGCTTAATAGCTTTGCCACAAACTGTTAACTGTAATTCACTTTTGTAATTACTTCTAATTTTTATATAAGTCCAGGTTGGTTTTTCGTATACAGAGTCAACGTAATCGTCATCATCAATGTGTAAAGATGTATCTTTTGATGTCACATCCGCAAATCGTTGAAATACCTAAATAATGAAAAAATATTCAAGTTACAATTTTAAAAAATTACTGTGAGTTGTTAAACATTTTTATAGAAAAGTACCTCAACGGTTTTCATTATGTAATCTGGAAATTCACTCGCAAAAATATTTTCACTCATTGTTGATGTTGATGTACCAACGTGTTCAAGTAATAATATTTCACAATCAGCCGTGTGAGCATGTTCATCATCTGTTGATAGAGCACTACATTTAGTCACACCTAAAACAAAGTGTTTTTCTTTTTAATAAATAGAGCAACACCCCATACATTACTGAATGCGAGGTCGTGTTTCATTATAATATAATGTATTTAAAAAACAATTTTTTTTATCTGTTTTGGAAATGTTTGTAAGGAACCACGCAAATTTTTCAATACATCGAAAGTGTATGAATAATAATAATAATAATAATAACTAACAATTGAATCTCCAATAATTTGTCCATGGTTTTTTTAACGAAGGGTGTTTTGGAGGATCCAGTTTACAAAAAGGAGTATTATGATCTTGCTCTATTCTAGTGATGATTTCTCTTGTGCTGGAACTAACCATACAAACAACACTACTCAATTCACTGAGTCGTCTTTTTGTTTCCCTAACTTTCTTCTGAAGCTAAAATGTGAAAAAAAAAAAAAAAAATATATACATAATTAGTGAATTTCAGGCATATACTCACAAAGAAAATCGTATTTTGGTAAGAGCACAAACCATTTCATTGTACCAAGAAGGTATTTCATTTGGTTCATCATGTGCTTCATCAGGAAACTCATGATAATAATCTTCATACTGTTCTTTCTTATCATCTAAAGAATCTGCTTTAACATCTGCCCTTGATGGTGGAACAATATCCTCTGCAAGATCTTGGTCAACTTCATCAAGTAAAGCATTGATTTGGGCATCAAACTCCAGATCTTGATCATCTTTACTTGGTTCAGATATGGGACCAAGCATTGACTCATCATTAAAGTCATTGTGCGCTTCCTGATAGTAATTCATATCTTGACCATGGACATAGAAAGGCTCGCTCAATACTGATGCTTTGACTATAAAGTTGTCAGCACCTACACTCTCATAGTTTTAATTTCTGGAGCATTCCTCTCTCACAATTTTTCAAGCTTATTCAAATAAATTGATCCCTAAAAAAAAGGTTTAAAAAGTTTATTTATTGTTAATGATCATCTATATCAAATTTCATTAAAATTGCTCACTAAAGAAAAAAAAAATTAACAAATAATACTAATTTGTCTTAACTACAAAGTTAAAAATCCCCACTTATCAAAATCAATCAGAAAAAAATGTTTGTTAGAGAGCAAGTTTGGGCTCAGCTACAGCTACCTTCCTATTTGCTATATAAATTTATATTTAACTTTACTACTTCTGTCTGTCAAGCATAGTTCTCGGATATTCAATTTTTCTAAATTTTGTACTCTTCGTTTTTCATAGCTTCCATATTCACTTTGTGTCCGCGTCATATAGTGGTTAAGCATAGTACTGATTGTGAGTAGAATGAAATTACATAATAAGTATATACCGCTCGAAAATCACAAGAAAAATAAAAGCTTTTACAGGGGTGAATAAAAAAGATACTATGTCTGAGTTGAAAATAACAATGTAAGGTTAGTTTTGTTGGTTGTCGAACGATTGTGTAAATTGAAAACAACGAATAAAATCTTTTTCAATAAACATTTGCAGCTGTATCTCTACATAACAGTCAGTAATCGTTTCCGATGCAACTTTATACAGAAACATAACCTGCCGATCACAGGGGTTGATTCGTCATTTTTTCAGTTACATGATTGATAATCAATGAAACTAGCATTACATTATTATTTCAACTTCAAGCAAGTGCAAAGTTTAAGTAAAAACATTCGATAAAAATTGATGATTTTTTAGTGGTTCGGGATGAGATTTTACCAACTTAACTTAGTAGGCCTTTACGTGGCGCTTGTGCTTTAATTACCAGACTACCGAATCATATTGAAAAACAAATTTTTTTTATTAGTTTCCGTGCACAAAAACCCCCAGCGCCAAGATGTGGCGTCAGCGTAGTTAAGAGAATACACGTAGTAGCATGGTTGCCTAAAGTCAATAATTTTTTTCATTAATATCAAGATTCTTCCTTATACTCCGATTATCTATATTAGAATCATTAACTACTCAACTTTGTGATATTTTTTTCATCATGAGAATTTGCTTTAACAAGTTGTAAAAAAGATGTATATCCTTTTGTTGCTGAGGGGTATACGTCTTTTTTACAACCTATTAAGGCAAAATCTCATGCTGGAAAATATATTATCGTGAAGTCGAGGAGTTAGGGATTATATTTGAGAATAATTTGAGATAGTAATAAATTATATTAATGAAAAAAATTATTGGCTTTAAGCATCCATGCTTCTCCGTGTCCTCTCGTAACCACGCGGACCAGCCACAAGTTGGCGCTGGGGGTTTTGGTACATAGAGCCTATACCTAGTGAGCTACATTTATGGATAGGAAAAGTTTTCCGTCTAGCACCGCTGCAAACAATAATTAGCATTAATATAAATATAATTAGTAGCGGAGGGGAGGCTCTACATTATTTCAAACGAAATATCATTCCCAGCTTTTGCTATACGTTTGCTTTGCTTGCACGAAGATGGTTTAGTTCTGAAAGTTTGCGTAATGAACAGGTAAGTACATACATACAGAGTCTAGCGTATGGAGTATCAGCATTTGGGGTAGTATTCTATAATTTTTTTTCACCATGTGTGCCTACTCATATGTTGTAACATAGGCTGATGTACATCAGCAAAGTATAGTTACGGAATACCACTCCTGCAATGCACGTACAAGCACGGCGCCACCACGTACTACACGCTATACTGTAGTAAAAATGTAAAAAAACTCCCAGAAGGCCCGGTGTAATGAAACTAACGCCATTTTGGGATAGCCTTAAACGAAGGCATCATGTAGAACGAACGTAGGGGTTTAGGTTCAGGTACTTATAATACTTGAATGGTGCGGACGACAAAAGTTACCCAAATGTACTTTGATGACAGATTTGTACGGAAATGAGGTTTTTTGATAAATGGACCCTTTACGAAAGCGTACACTTGTGCGTTTCAGAACGCTTCTTATACAAAGTATATATTGCAAGAAAAGAAAGGATTCTCCATTGCAGAAAAGCACACATACTTCAAAAACGTAATCGTAAGTTTTGTAAGCTCAGGCTTAATATTATTACTGTTTTTTCGATGTCAGCGATTGTTTAGTTGTAGAAATAAGCAGCACCTGACTGATAGCACTGATTTCTTCACCGTAAATGGTTGTCTTGGTTGTTTTTTGAATATCTATTGTTCCCGAAAGCTACGTATGTAGGTAGGTGTATAGAATGCACTTCGATCCTGTTCTGCCTGCTCGTACCTTAGATTTTACAACACTGACTGAACAGGCTAGATGCCGCCGTGGTTGGGTTATGTAGGTGGGTCTCGAGTCTCGAGTTTCGGATCGAAGAAGACAACGCGCTCCCCTTACTACTTATCCCTCTTTTTCTATCCTCTTGCCTGGTGAACTCGCCTTCGTGCTCGTGATTGGTCGTAAAGACAATAAAGCCATCCCCGTTTCCCGCACGCGGGACGCAGTTCGCAGTGGATGTTGAGGTTAGATAGCTAGGATGGGTAGCATAAATATTGATATTACTGCAAACAGTGAAAACAAACAGAGAGAGATGCATCAGATTCCTAATTATTTTTATAACAGTCAAGTGCATACTTATTGATTTATCGTACAAATTACCATGAAATTACGAACTATTTTTATCAAATGCCACGTAAAAACAATGCTTTCGTTGAAAATTAGCCAGACACCTGTTAAATAAATTAATAGGCATTGTATTTACCGTATTCCAACCAGGTATTGCTTTTTCGAAGAATAAGATGTAACCAAAAACTTTAGTTAACTTTTTAACAGCAGCTACACTAATGGTCTATTCTTAACACGATTCGCACATTATTAGACTTTCAGGCTACTACTCCGCTAGTTGTCTTGGATAAATAATCAAAGTATGATTTAGTGTAATTTAAACGATTGGGAAAACATTGAGTTTCTTCGTAAATAAAAAGAAACAAATAGTAAATAAAGTCCTGACGGCCTGGCGCGGTAATATTCGTTTCAGTGGGACTATAACTATAGATATTACAGTAGTAGACTAATGGTGGCTTCACAAGTAAAAACGATTACTCGAAAAAGGGTAAGGGTGAGATTACATGGAGTCTGGCAGTCTGCAGACTGGCAGAATCGCGCCAAGTTTAAAATATGTTTCAATATTAATATTTAAAACCTGTTACGTAAGCAAAGAAATAATTATCGTAATACATTTGCATTTCTGTATTAACTAATATTTATGAAAAAAAGGCGACGAAAAACGTTTTTTCACAGTTACATATTGTTATACGTACCAGGTTACATCAGTGACCCTACTGACCGACTGTGCGATGTTAACATAAATCTATAAAAATTAGTACATTACGCCACTAGAGCGCAAAGTGTCACTTTGCGCCCGCCGACTACTTTGGGCCCGTGGGCAGAATGGTAGTTTTCCTACGAGTTTGAAAAGTCTCTGTTTGCGAACCGAGAGGTTTGCGGCCCGAGCCGAAGGCGAGGGACGTAACGAGGTTCGTAAAGGAGACTTTTCGAACGAGTTCCGGAAAACTGCTTTTTCGCCCGAGGACGTACCAGCCTCCCAAAACCACCCGACGGCGGAAAAAGTTATAAAATAATATTTGACACGTATTATTGTAAATGAAATTGATTTTAACTAAGCCTTTATTCTGTTTTGACAATAATTACAATTTTTTCTTTATTTTACTAAATTATTCTGAGATGTTATAATTTAAACATAATTTAAACTTAGCGCGATTCTGCCAGTCTGCAGACTGCCAGACTCCATGTAATCTCACCCTAATTCTATCACGACTTTCGAGATCTCGCAAAAGTAACTATATTTTTTTTCGATAATCGGGATATAATCAATAATCTTCAAACTGCGACCCAAGAGTCATTGATAAGGTATACCTGCGTATTTATGTCCCTGCATATTAGTTACGGAATACCACTCCAGTTCAAGACAGTAAAATAATTTGTAAATATTAGATATACGCCTCAATGGTGTGGGGTTGCTCGGAAGCTCGGAGCGCTCGGACTGCTTGGAGCACCTTAGTCGAACAAATCTATGAAAGAATCGATTACTTGAAAAAAAAAAAAAAATGCATTTTACTAAATGTAAAAGAAATTTTTGTAAAATTATAATTTTTTACGGATAAATACATCTTTTTCAAATTGACATAATTTTAAATAGGTACTAAAACTTGCAAAAACGCGTAAATTTCAATTTGTAAAATCCTGCCTTCTCCAGAGAAAGGAATAAAGCCATGACTTTCTTCGTACATCTGATGTATGTACTGGCAATGTTTTTTATGCTTTTTTCTTCTTTTTCAATTTTTGGTTTATTATTTGTATTTTATACTTACATTAGCAGCTCCGATGATTTTTGTTATTCTGTGAAAAATGTTGTCTGTAATTATTTGGACAAAATAGAGGTCGTGTTCGATTTAGCGCCGAGCGCTCGTTACCGTACTGTGGTATGTTACGATGAATGATACGAGCGCTCGGCGCTAAATCGAACGCAACCTGTAAAGTGTTCAAGTTTGATAAAAATATCAAATAAATTATCTTATTGTCTATCTGAATAGAAACAATACTTGCTACGTTTAAGTTGTTAAAGTGGAGTGACAAAGGGAGCGATGATTTATGTAAAGAAAGAATACAAAATTTCAGTTCGGCTTTAATTGTTGATAACTACGACTGCTTTAATGTATTCTACTCAACGAGGTTTGTATACAGACCCGTTATGAACATGTATACAGAAATTACTGTGAAAAAAAAGACGAATACGTATTTATGTTCAACATATATTACATTTCTATCCCCAAAATTAATCTGATAAATTATACACGCTCTAATAACAAGGAAATACAAGATTTTTTTTCCATATATATGTAGGTACGTATTTGTAAAGTTTGCACTGAAATATGATATTGCGTATATTTTTCAACCAACTCGAAATCGTCGAAGCTGATAATACCTGTAACATATATGTGTACGTTCACACATGCTTATACATCTTTCAAAATAGTGTATTGAGGCTTGAAATTGTTAAATGTTGAACAGTTTGATTGGAAGATTTGTTCATTTATGCAAAAATCCATAGTAAAATGTATTGAACGTATCGCATTAAATATATATATATCTTATCCCTCTTTTTCTATCCTCTTGCCTGGTGAACTCGCCTTCGTGCTCGTGATTGGTCGTAAAGACAATAAAGCCATCCCCGTTTCCCGCACGCGGGACGCAGTTCGCAGTGGATGTTGAGGTTAGATAGCTAGGATGGGTAGCATAAATATTGATATTACTGCAAACAGTGAAAACAAACAGAGAGNATTTTTTTTTTTTTTTAACATTGGTTTTTTCAGAAAAAAATGTGACGAAAAAAATGATAACAGAGTAAGGCAAACACACACAGCGCGCAGAGAGAGATAATACACAAATCATAATATACAACTTCATATTGTACAGTTGGCTGTCGAGTGAGTCGAGTCTCTCTTTCGACTCTCGACGCATCGTAAGTGAGTATATAGGTAGTAATATAGAGATATTTTTTTTTTTTTTTGCTGACAAAAACACATCAGCGAACCGCGAGCCGCAATCCGAGTCAGCCGAACCTTACTCAGTGTGCACTGTGCAGACGAGCGGAGCAGCCATATGTTTTTCTTGCAACCTATATACGTATACAAACAAGAAGTACTTATACATTTAACTCATGTATACTTAAGTCGTCGGCGTCGCCGCACGTTTTTCTGAACATCATTTGGACTCAGATGTGACCTGTGTTTTTTAATACGATCGTGTGGGTGGGTGCATCGTATGCAGCTAATAGGTAAGTACCCACACGTACATCATTATCAAACATCAATTATTATATTTATTTCCCCCCGGGGCGGGGGGAGGGGTGAAAGCCTATACAGTGAACCATGCCTGCTATCATTGATCTCTATGACAACGTACTTCGGTATATGTCGTACTGTAGTATCGTATAGCTGCTGTCTTTTGTTCTGTACGTCAATTGCTTTGTTTATTTATCCGCAATTCATTGTGCAACATACATATCATATACTTGTAAAACTTGATAATGATAATTGCAAAATAGCCATAGAACTTTGGTCAAATTTCTCTCGAGTACTGTCAAAACGGGAATTGCAACAAAGTTGAAAAAATCATCATGTATGTGGCGATGTGCGTGTTTATCAGATAGCTGAGAGAGATACCCAAGTGCTAATAATACACGCATATTTAGTTATTGGTCGAGAGATTTACCGAAAAGAAGAGAACAAAAAAATCTACACACATATATTTTTCGCCGATGGTATTACATATTTGTCCTCTAAACTTCGAAACTACTTTAATAATGTTGTAAATGTAAATGTGCGTATTTATACATAAATATTTATCGTATAATTTTATGAGATTACGTGTACTCTCGCACTGCCTGTGATATACGATGTATGTATAACTTAATTATGTTTTTGATGATGTAGGTGTTTCTGGGTCTCGAGATTTACGCGCAAAATAAGATGTATAGGTACTTAGTGTGCATGCGGCACGTGTGCTGTTCATTGCTTTCATTTTTATTAAGGATTAAATGAAAAAAATAAGTAAACAGTACTTATATATAAATTCTAAATGATTAAGTTACCGGGACTAATCATTCGGCAACTTTTACCATTGATTCTCATAATTCCATAATAAGTACATATATATAATATTATAACCTGTACAAAAAAAATGCGGTCCGAGAGTACCCATACTATATTATAAATATGTACTGTTTCTCATCCAGTCTCACAGCGTTTCGTGTTTACATTATATTTATTGTTTTCCTTTATTTCTCCACTGAGCAGTGAAGTAAATGTTTTTCTCAACGCAATCATAAGCTTTTAAATAAACATAGGTATATATAGGTTTCCAGTATATGGTGGTGGCTATAGTGCACAGATGCACGGACGATGTATCAAGTAAGTATTATTTTGGAGAAAAGAAAATGGAGGGAGAAAAGGAAGCTGCGCGCATGAGAGAAAAAGAAGAATAACGCACGAATGTCTAAACGCCGTGCCATCATATAGCCATAACGAAGAAGATAGATTTAATCTTCGAGTAAGATTTGCACACATCGTGCCAAGTAATTATCCTATAAAATGCGCGTAACACACATTGTGCGAACGTTTCGTCGGCCTCATCAACCGCATGATGTATGTACCCCATGTACTTAAATAAGTGTACCCTAGTAAAGATCAGTGACAGTGACTGTGTCAGCCACATCCGAGTCGTACAAGAGCCGGTCTTGAAGGACCGTATGTGCATGTGTCTAAACGTGTGTCTCTCAATGTATACCTCCTACTTATGTCTGTCTGCAGGCTATCTGCAGTTTGCCTCTTACTCTCGTTCGTTTCATTCTGATAAAATGGCTTTCGAGCAAACACGATGATAATATGGGTTATTATAATATATATATACATACCTATGCATCGTTAATTTATTCAAAGAATTGACCTCTCTCTTTCTTGGTTGACATTCAAACCATTTACATCTAATTTTTTGTTTTTAATTTAAGTAATTCTTTATTTATATTTCCGTCTTTCGTCTTACATTATACATAATATACACAGTTATACCTTCTTTTCCCGCAAATTGAAAAAAAAAAAACCAATCCAAGGGATTGCTCATGCTTTTCACATAGACTGTAAATAATACGCACTTTTAAGTAAACTCAGCAAAAATGATCAGCTACAGTTAATCACGCACGCATTATTATTATTATTATTATTATTATTATTATCATCTGCGTGCGTACTTCTGATGACATGCACATTCGAGAAAAACAAATTTCCATATTTATTTGCGCGGTCAAAAGCACCGTGATAGAACGGCTATCTGATATCATATTCAGCCATTTACAGGCTTTTTACTTTCAACTACATGCTGGACAATGATTTTTAGTTTACAAACAGCAAAAATTAAGGTACAAGCAGTGAATACTTAGTCTCAAGACTTTAGATTAGTACCAAATTAACAATCCAGCAGAGTAATTTTTATATTTTATTTTTCCTCGGTGAAGCGACCAATTCGAATCGACCCTATAATATCTTGCTCGAGTCGTTGGTAATTAGGTACATTCACGGCATTTAAATCTTAGATATTTATAGGTACGATCGTTTCACGGAGAACCTTGTAACATTATGTAATTGTTCTCACTATAGAGACAAATTTATGAGCGACGTTTCACCGTAGCTTAATTGGCTGTGGTATGGTAACTTACAAACTCCACGTAAACAGAATCGGTCACGTAATACCTTTTTTTTATCATTATCAGACCAATATTTTTTATCGTGTCATCCAATTTTATGGTTGAACCGGTATTTTTTCAGATTACGATCAATTATTTTTTATAAATTTTTAAGAAATAACGTACATGATGTAAAGAATCAACTTGAATGGTTCGAATCGCGAATTCAAATTGATATCGATAGCTTGTGCTGCTACAGTTTCCGAAAAGACACCAACGGACTTACACGGGTATTGTATATAGTATACATCTTTGGTGCATGTTATGACCCTAGAATTAAATCATAATAATTCACGGGTCAATTTAACAACGTACCGTTACCGTTCCAAATCAGACGAGTGATTTTAAAATACCAGCAGAGTAACGCGTAACAATACCTAGTTCCCGTGTACGTAGACGCCAGGGTATAGATTTGCGTAAAAGTCGAACCCCGTCGGTTTAATTATTCTGCCCACAGTATTTTTCACAAACTGAATGAAATAAGAGCTGCAAAGTTTGAAATTCACACCATATATCTTTATTTTTCATTAATTCCATGACTCTCCTAGCATTGCAAAAATTTCTACTGTTCACTTTAAAGAGCCTCAAAATGTAAACTCGTGGACTAAAACATTTTCTGGGTGCATGGGAAAATTCAGAAGTATGAAATTTTTTCAAGAAATTTTTTTTTCTTTTTTTTTTTATATTTTAAATAAATCGTAATAAAAATGGGCAAAGTTGAAAAAAAAAAAAAAATGTTTTCTGACAATTAGATTACTCCAAAAAGATAGCATTTTAGAAAAAATTATTGTGAAAATTTTCTACCTAACATTAGACCGAGCCAACGAATCTTGAGATATACAATTTATAACCGTGAAATTAAAGTGCGGTATTTTTTTACTTTTTTTTGTATAACCGCGAAAAATGATGGTGGTCTCATTTGGGCTTGAAGCTATTTTTATATATAAAATATAAATTAATTTTAGCTTCATTTACTTAATTTACTTTTACTGATAAAACTTATCTTATGAGTATATCTTTAATGAAATCTTAAAAATTTCCGGTTCAAGGTTAATTTCATCACTATTTTCTTGAACAAATCTAAAGTGAACTTTTTTTAGTCAACATACGGGGAAAAAAAAAAAACCGAATGATATCATTTTTATCATAAATTTTTAATTTGATACGTTTTTTCAAGATGACGCGTTGTTTAATTCGGGTGTCGATATGTAAAAACATCAACTACTCTATCATTAAAAGCCAACGATAAATGTACATACTTGTGTGTACATTTATCTTATCACCTGCTTATCTCTTTCTCACTTTCTCTTTGTTAAATGGCACTTTAATGGCCATCAGTAAGTGTTACCTGTTATAATTTTTCAGTCAATCACCGAGGAATATCCTAGGAAACCGTACACCTACATATACTGATACCTACTTGATGTAATGGTGTGTCCATAGCCGTATAGCTAATCATAAGAATTCATCAGAGAAATTTTTGTCACTTTATCCTCGTGACCGTTTCGTTCTCGTTCTCGTATACATGTACCGTGACAAATGACTACTCACTGGTCCCCTAAATATCCAAGCATACATCGTGTAATTGAATTTTTTTTTTCTACGTGCTCATTTAATCAACAGGTTTACAGTTACAAATGCAATAATTGATCAGTCTCTAAATTAACGAGGCTACATGACATTCTTACGAATATATTATACTGTAGAGAAGTTACAAGCGTATATACTTACGTGCACCTCGAAGGTCTACTTGAAGATTGTGATTTTTAATTTTATCATAACAGTGCCTTCGTGCGTACGGAATTACTGTAATACACACTTGGTTATTATACTAGTAGATGATGATTGCTGAACCAATGGGGGAAAAAATAGTACAGTATAGTAAAATGAAGGCTAAATATGCCCATTGTTTCTAAAATAAAACTATAATGTACGCGCCTCGTACCATTAATGAAACGTATACTACAGACAAAACATTTTTATTTATTTTTTCTGGAATACCCGCAGATTTTTATTAACCGATTTGCAAACGATTGAAAAATAGCGCTACTTTGAACTTGGCGAATTTTTAACTCTCGAGAACTATAACAATAAAAATAACAAGCAACACGTACTCAAAATCTGCCTTCGAACTGCAAAATCGTTTTTTCGAAAACTACAAAGCAGTAGGAAATATTTTTTGGGACTATGGCACAATCGATTGGAAAGGAATTTGAAAAGGGTCTTGTCAAAAAGAAACGTGTGCCAAAATTGTTTAAACTTTTTTTGTTCGGCTTGCAGGTTGAAAAATAAGGAAAAAGAAGGCGCCCGCGCTATGCAACTGAGAGGATGAGCGGCAACAGCAACATTCGGCTGGTGGTCTTCGGCGCGATCATCGGCCTGGCCGTGATAGCCGACCTCCCAATCTCGCGAGCCGAAGTCTGCAACTCGGAGCGTCCTTTGGTCAACGATGACTTCGAGATTAGTTGCCTGCACCTCGAGGTCAAGATTTTTTGCAAGAAGGCCGTCGAGAGCGTCTGGAGTAATCTCCCCGAGGGCCGGCTGAACCTCACGCAAGCCAAAAAAGTGACTATCCAGAACTGCGCCCTCCCGATTGGCCTCAGCTTGTTAAATGTCACCAAGGCGCTGGGCATCGAGACCAACGACACAGTGAAAATCGAGCAGGCGTGCTCTAAGCTGCGTAAAGAGCACCTCAGCGGCTTTCAGCTAGCCTCGCTCCATCTGCTCAGCAGCAACATCAGCCACGAAGATGAGCACGTGTCGGCTGATCTGTTGAGCGAGGTCGAGATCGAGATGCTCATGATTCAGAATGTGTCGATCCGAATGTTTCCCAAGAATTTTTTCCGTGGCTCGGAGAAACTGCGCGAGATCGAGATCACGGGCGCGGGCCTGAAGGCTATTCGCCGCGATGATCTCGCTCCCCTCGTGGGCCTGAAGAACCTGCTGCTGTTCAGCAACGAGATTGCCGAGATTGAGCCGGGCAGTTTTGACCAGCTCCTTTACCTCAAGCTCATCGAGGTACGCTCTCCATACTCCTTTATACTTATTGCGTTTAAAAAGTATACCCAATTGGTGAATATTGAAAAATTATATATATATATGTTTAGATCAGCAAGAACCGGCTGAAAAACTTGCCGGCCGGTCTTTTCCGCAGACTGATGAAACTCGAGAGACTGAATCTGAGCGAAAATGAGTTTGACGATCTCCCGAGCGATTTGTTGCGCATCGAGCGCAGCAGAATTAAACTCGTAAGACTGAACCACAATCGGGGTGGATTGCAAGCCCTGCCGGCCGGCTTCTTCCGTAATTTGAGTAACTTGAATTACGTCGAGCTGACGAGGTTATTATATAATATACATGTGATGTATTATATTAAATTGTGGGTCAATACAATTTTAATTTTTTTTCATCTGTGCAAATCTCATTTTTCAGCAATAACTTTATTAGCATACCTGCTGATGTATTTTACGGTGCCCATTCGCTCCATTCGCTCAACATCAGCAATAATAGTTTGTCGTATCTGCCACCGAAACTTTTTGAGGGCACATCGAGCCTTGTCGATCTCAGGGCCTCGGAAAATAGGTTTGTAGATTTATTTTACTCAAAAATACTTGGTGGACAATTTTTTTCCGGGATCGACAAAATACTTGGAAATACTGTATATTACTGGTTAACTTAACTTTGGAAAACAGGTTGGTCGAGTTACCCGATGGCCTATTCAAAGACTGCGAGGATCTAGAGAGACTTTACTTTAATGACAATCTACTCACCAATCTCAGCAAGTAATAGTTATTCTTGCATATTTTTGTTTAAATATACGTAACGTAAACATGTATGTGTGTGCTATAATATCGTTTTGTTTTCACGATGTAGCGGCGTTTTTACTGGTCTAAGTAACCTCAAGATTATGCAATTGTCTCATAACAATTTGGTTTACATGGAGCTTAACGCTTGCGCTCTCAAAAGTGTGGAATCCGTTGATTTGTCGAACAACCAATTGACCCTCGCTAGTCCCACAGTGTGGCCGTATTCCTTCTTACTTGGTTGTGCCTCGATTATAGACTTGAATTTGTCTTACAACAACATAACTCAATTTTTTATTGACTGGAGATTCTTAAGTTTAAAGAATTTGAATCTAGAGGGCAATAAAATCACTTACATCTCAGTAAGAATTTTGTTCACTTATTTATTATTATTTCACTTACTTTTTGTCAAACGAACATTTAACGTTTAGGCGTTGACGTAAATATATTTTCTACAGTTAGTAATAATATTAATAATTTACAGAAGTCTAACTTTGACATGCTACGCAGCAAAACTGAGCTCAATTTGAAAAACAACAAAATCTCTACGATCGACTTGGAAGGTCTTGAAAACTTGGCCATGAGATATCAGGAAATGAACGGCCTAAGTAAAGAACTTATAGTGAAACTAGAAGACAATCCCCTCAACTGTGACTGTCACCTGCTAGATTTCTTTCGTTATCTTGAACATGGTATGGACGACGAAGTCTACAATTACGTGCACATCAGCGCCAGGGACATGAGATGCGTGACACCACCTCAACTCAAGGGCTCCCCAATATCTACTATCCGATCGGAAGATCTGCGCTGCCTCACTAAATCGAACGATCCGAGCGACGCGTGCAGCGGTAAATGCACCTGTTGGAGGATACCTGGACGAAAGGTCCTCTCTGTCGACTGCTCGCACAGAAATTTAACGAGCGTACCTTCGATGGTCAATAATTCGGAAAACTGGTCGATAGAGCTCAACATGACTGGGAACCGTTTGCACTCGACGCCCAAAATGAACAACTCCTACTTGGCTAACGTCACGGCTCTAAATTTATCCTTCAACAACATCTCTGACGTGAGGGTTGATGTGTTCTCGAACTCGCTACGCGATCTTAGGCTACACAACAATAGTATCTCGCGCATCAACTATTACGTCGTACAACATCTTTACGACGACGATGACTTGTTGCGTAATCTCACTCTTCACGGCAACCCTTGGATCTGCGATTGCGAGACCCGTAACATGCTCAACTTTGTCCAAAAAAAACTGACGACTTATAAGCTTCACGACGTCACCTGTCGCGAGAACAATCGCAAACTGTCGGAGGTAACGGCGGACGAGTTGTGTGAGGGCATGATCAAATTTATCGTTTTCGTCGCGTTCTTTTTTGCTGCTTGTATCGCCGTTGGAAGCGCCTTAGCAGCCTTTTACTTCAAATACAAGATGAAGATTAAAATGTGGCTCTACTCAAAGCAGTGCTGTCTTTGGTTCGTTACCGAGGCCGAGCTCGATAAAGACAAACTATACGACGCCTTTATCAGTTTTTCACACAAGGACGAGGATTTCGTCGAGAAGGAGATTGTTACAAAGCTTGAGGAGGGGCCTATGTCTTACAAGCTGTGCTTGCATTACAGAGATTGGCTGGCTGGTGAGCTTTAATTTTAATGAAAAAATACAAATTAGATTTCTAATTTTACTATTTTTTAATGCAGGAGAATGGATACCAGAACAAATTGCCCGTTCAGTTGAAGAATCTAAACGAACGATAGTTATAGTGTCTCCAAATTTTTTGGAAAGTGTGTGGGCAAGAATCGAATTTCGTACTGCGTATAATCAAGTAAATGTTTCACATTAAATTTCGCCACTTCTAAGGCTAAAAATTATTAAAAAAAAAAAAATTTTCTTTTGCACAGGCATTGAAAGAAGGCAGAGCCCGAGTCATAGTAGTTCTGTATGGAAACATTGGTAATACAGCAGAACTCGATCCTGAACTCCAAGTTTATCTGAGCATGAATACCTATTTAAAATGGGGTGATCCTTGGTTCTGGGACAAACTGCGGTACGCTCTGCCGCACAAGCAAGAGCTGCCAAAAAAAAAGAAAAGGTCAAAAAACGCTCGAATAATTGAGAAGCACCTATCCCAGTTGCCGGTTAACAATCATCGCCAAAACGAAAAAACCGAAGTAATACCAATGCCTAAAATCACTGCCCAGTCAGATTCGACAAAACTGCTAGAGTCAAATGCCGAAGAAGAAAGACACCTTGGCGCGTGATAAAATTATTACTATTATTATTATCACTATTACTATTGTCAATTTGTTTGTTGTAAGTTTACGATGTTACAAGTGTTTACATATCATGATTATCTGTTCGGTTAGTTACAGTGCTTCTGCGGTTTAAATTGAAAAAAAAAGCATTGATTAAAGATATTTTATATGACCATAGCATATCGCGTAAGATACTTGCGTAATCACCTACCAATCACAAAATTCTAGTTATCTTGTTAAAGATTAATAAATCTTAAAACCTCCAAGATTTCTACATTTTATTTTTTAATAAGGTATTCAGAATTTTATTTGGTGGGTTAATTTACACGAGAATGAATTCTGAGATGTTTATAAGATATGCTAGACTGTTAGTTATTATTTTGCTTAATTAATACTCGTTTTTCAACAAAGCCAGTCAATTTAAAAAAAATATATTCTATGAATAGTGATACTCTCAAAGACACTCGCAGTCGTATATTTTACAAGACTGTAGGATAAACTATTATAATAGTGAACTACTCCTATTACTTTGAACAAATATTTCAATGCAAAATATTTTACATATTTTCATGAATGTTTTACAAACATATCAAACGTGCCCATATTTTTTTAGCTTTTAACAGACAAAAGTGAAGAATTATGACTTTTTTAGAAATAAGTTTAGAAGTTTATAAGTATTTTAAGTTATTTTTAAAACTTTAATGAAATAAATCACTTTTTTATTAAAGCTTCAAAAGCATTGTCAAAACATACCTGACGAAGACTGTCTCAAATATTTTTGTATCTATTTTAAAATAATTTAAAACTATTTAACGTAATTACAAAAAATATTTTTAACTTTTTACCCACAATAATCTTGGAACTTTCAATTTAAATATTTTTAAAGAAGTTGAAAATAAACTTTTCTAGTTGTATAATGTATGTATTGCCGATTTGTTTGTAAATATTTTTTTGTACATACGTAAATCAAGAAAAACTTGCACCTTTTGAAATGTAAAACTGTTTTTATAATTTACCTAAGAATGTTTTCGAACAAATAAAAAAGCTTATGTTGACGAAAATTGTAGTACTTTTGACGATTTTAAAAGTTCATCATTCACAAATTAATCGATGTATTAAAAAAATTTCTGAGGGATTTAAATCATTGACTTCACTTGTATATACATAGTAAATGGTAAGTACTTTTTTTTACAATTTTTGGCAGATCAATTTAATTATATGATCAGTAGTAAAAATAAAATTTTGTTTCTATTTATTTGTTGAAAAAACCAACACGGGTGGTGTGTGTGGTGGTTTATCAAACTCAATTGGAACGAAAATTAAGTAATGTTAATTATACGAGTTACTTGGAACACAAATAATGCAGTAGTAGTAAAATTAAAAAAAAATGGTTTCAGAGTTTTAATAATTTTTAAAGTTAAAAAATTAGAACTTAGTCTAGTTAAACTTAAATCAATTAGTATCTCAGCATAAATATTAGTGAAAACAATCCAACTTTGATAAGACAAATTTTTTGTTAATACTTTCAATGACTACAAGAACAAAAACTATATTAATAGGTGAATAACAAACTTCAAATATATTACAAACATGTTTATCTTGTTAAATAAGACCATCTTTTTTCATACGTTCATATTCCTATGGATAACAAATTTTTTTTAATAATAACATGAAACAATAGTTGAATACTTATTCCATAACTCGGGCGCTTTTAGTCTTTGGACATATGCTGCGCCCGGCTTGGGAAAAATATAGTGTTCGACACTGGTGCGTACAATATAAGTATGGCAAGTACAAAAAAACATACACCCTTTAGCATTGCTTCGTATCGTAGTAGCATCCTCTGATATCAGTATCAAAAGTTACTATTATATTATACAAGTTTATTTTATTTTTTTTTTCACCTGTGTTTATTTGCAATCACTTTGGCTTGGATTCAGTTCGATTCCTAAACTACAATACCAAAAAAACAAGCGTTATTGCATGCATGATTTGGATAATATATCGGTTCTAAGGGGTTCTCAGACGTGTTTTAGTTTAAGAACCGAATGAAGAGCACGTTTAACTCCAAACGATCGCATATGAAGCTAACGTACATAAAAAATTGCAGTTTGTACTTACATGACATTTAAACGTAATAATTTAAAAAATTCATCCTTAGGCACACTATTACAATTGACTTTATATACATACACATGCACACACCATTATTATACATATCGCTGTACAACAGTGCAAATGTCAAGTATCGAAAGTCAGTGGTTGTCACTGGTAAGAGAAATCCTTAAACATGGTAAAAATTTTATTTAAAATCACTTTATCGAGTTTGAGAAAATGTATACTATTGGCAAATCTTTAATTCTTTTTTTTTTTTTTTTTATGTATATTGAAAATGTGTGAAAAAAATTATAATTTACTGTATTTTATATAAATTAGAAAGCCAACTTAACATCATAATTTGAAAAACTATATACGTTACATCGAGAAAAACTATTTCAAGAAAACTGTAATGTTTTTCTAGTGGCTAAGGTAACAGTTTGTAAACATTATGTAGGAGAAAAGCCTCAGTTCATTTCTGTATGTATATTATCTTAAACGTACTTTGTCCATATTTTATAAATTTAGATTTTAAGGCGCTTTGTATTCAAATTTTACAGGATTTTTACACGATACTTTACGTTCAATTAAAATCATTTTAGGGTTCCATAAGTTCATCCTCACTATCTGAATCAATGACGGTAGGATCGGAAGTATTCAATAGCAAGTGTACTTCTTCAACTGTATTTACCTGCAATTATACAAGAATAACTTGTCAAACAAAATATCGGTTGCAGTTTTTGTGCGAAGATCCAAAAAATCGTGAGGAAATAAAATGAAATAAAATAAAAAATAAAAATTCAACTTTCAAACAAATTTTATTTTCAAGCTCACAGTGTGTGTATTGGCCAGCTGAAATATATTTATTAACATAAAAAATTTTATACTTTGTGAAGTTCTTAATCTATTTAACAAATTTTGTGAGTATGAAAAAGTATGAGCTCAAACTTAAAAAAAAGATCTAATGATCGTTTAATTTTGTTGGTTTATAATTTTTTTTTGTTTTTTCTTAAACCAATGTTAAAATATAATTGATTGAGCTTAATAATTAACATTTTTATGAAGTTTTTTCATTAAATTTTTTTTTTTTTTTTTTTCAGAATCCAGCAGTAATCCTCCACACGTTTTTTTGTTTATGTTATA